TTATGGTAGTGCTGGGTTAACGGTAGGACTCGTTGATCTTGAGGGTCTCTTCCAACCTTCATGGTTCTGTGATTTTCCTTGGGTCTCTGGAGCTTGTGACCTTGTGAGATGTTCCCAGACAACTCTCACCTTGAAGACTGACAGGGAGGTTTGGTTTCTATGGATAGAAACCCATCACTTCTGGCTTAAAACACCCCAAATCTTCAGGGCACGGGGCAGGTCAGACCTCCCTCCTCAGGACGGGAGCCTCCACACTCACTGTGTCCTTGTCCTGCTGCCCAGGTGACACTGGACTGTCCAGGAAATGAGGAGATCCCCAGGGTGGACAAGCTGGTGGAGAAGATCCTGCACTGCAGCTGCCAGGCGTGTGGGAAGGAGCCAAGCCACGAAGGAGCCCTGTTCAACGTCTACCTGAACGCTGAGGAGAATATGCCTGCCGAGGGTCCTGGCCCCCACCACTACACCCACCACCAGCAGGACGTGGAGGAACCTCCTGCCTCCAGCCACCACCACCACGAGGAAGAGGGCGAGGAGTGACCCAGCCTGTGCGGACTGTCCTGGCAGGGGGGTGTGAGAGGGAGAGGGTTTGGGGAGGGGGGGGTGGGGTGGAGTCTTTCCTGTCTAATTGCTGCCCTCACGCTTTGCTCCCCGACACCCCGGCGCTGGAAGAATGTTTCAAGGCACAGGCAGGGCTGGAGCTGCTGAGTGGGACACGAGGGCTGTCTTTTCTGATGCAAAACTACTTGCACATCATAGTAATAATATATTGAGAGGAGCGGGAGCATGGATGGGGCAGTTTGGCTGAGAGCAGGAGCTGAGTGGGGCTCCCAGGGCTGTCCACAGGTTCCAAAACTGTGTGGAGCCCTTCTGGGGTTTTCTCTTCTAATGCCTCCTGCCTAGGGTGGAGGAAGAAGGGATGCAGCCTCTCCACAGTCCCACAGGAGATGCACGTCTCTCCTGGGGTGGTGGGACCAGCAGCATCCCTTCTTCCTCCTCTCTCCCTCCCTGCCATGTAGGCTCAGCGTGGACACGCTGTTCCTCCTGGCACCTGCTGGATCTGGACTAATCTAACCCTAACACTTTGTATCGGGCAGCTCTTGGGGAGTGTTTTGCCCCCCAGGATGTGCCTCTGGGGCTGTGTGTGGGAGGTGACTGGGTACTGTGGTGGTGACAGCGCTTACCTTGCTGTCCCCAGGGCCACCACATGGCTCCTTGGGGATGATGAGGGACCTGGATCATGCCATGAGTGCTGAGGCTTCACATTTCATGGCTGCAGGGGAAAGCCAAGAGCCAGGGGGAGTTTGGGTAGGAGCCAGCCCTGTACCCCCTCTCCCTGCTGCACTTCTAATGGTGATGGAGGGAGAAGGGGGCCCAAGGGCCAGGATGTCCCTGTGCTGGCAGGGCTGGGGAGGCTCAGGGTGGGCCCTGTGCCCCTCCTGCTGCCCCTCTCTCTCTGTTGTATAATGCTGATTCTTTGGCGCTGTCCTGACAAGAGCTTCCAGAGCTTGTAATTGATGCCTCCCCCCCCTTTTGATGAGTTTTGTTTTGGTTTTGTTTTTTTTCTTAAATAAATTAGTTCTGACTTCCACTGCTCAGTGCTCTGATGCCTGTCTGGTTTTTGGCAGTGCTGACACCAGGACACCAGCCAGGACAGACAGGAGGGGCCAGGCCAGGCAGAACCGTGGCTCCTGCAGCTTTCTGCTGCATTCCATTTGGGAGGAGGAGGGAGAGCTGCTGAAAGGAAAACTGACCCCAAATCTTCAGCATGTGTTGTGCATGTGGGCACGGGGAACTGCACGTCAGCTGTGGCCCAGGCGCGGTGTCGCTGCAGCCGGGAGGTTTTCAGGCTGTCAGATCCCACTTGTGTGGGAAGTGCGTGGGATCTGTGGGATCACACAACCTTCACCAGCTCTGTTGCCACTAGGTGACAGTCTTGATCCAGCGTGTTTCATCCAGATGTTCAGGGCCTGGGGGAGCTCTTCTGGAGCAGATGAAGGAGAACTTGGACATGGGCTGGACATCCCTCTGTGGGTGAGGAAGGGCTGGGTGCCTTGGCTGAAACCAGTGGGCTCTTTCCCAAAGGGGTTTGGATCAAGCATTCCCTGAGCACCCTCGCAAACCTCTGGTCCCACTGATGCCAGGCCAGTGTGGATGTGCCCTCAGATACAATCAGTGATGCTCCCTGGTCTGAGTCTGACCTTGGGGAAGGTCTCATCATCTCCCAGAGGGGCCAGAGGCTGTGCTGTGCCAGCAGCCAGCTCTTATTGCCTCTCTTTGAGTGCCGCTCTTATTTCCTCCCTCCTTTGAGTCCAGCTCTTCCTGCCCCTCTTGTTGAGGCTCTGGGGGCTCTGCACAGGTTTGGAAAGCAGCTCTCTGAACTTTGGGAAGTGGGAGAGGGTTTGCATTAAGGCGGCAAATGCTACAGTGACAGGCTAAACAGGAAGGACCTGGCAGGGCTGGAGGTGTCCTGTCTGTTAACATAATGTTTTCATGCTGTGAAGTGTCTTCCCAAGGAAGAGCCAGGAAGAGGTGGAGAAACCCGTGGCGGTCACTGAGCACGATCATGTGGCCTTTTACTAGTGTACAGTGGAAACAGGCTGGATTTAGCAGGGGGCTGTTCCTGTAAACTCTGGGAGCTGCAGTCTGAGGTGTTTGAAATGGGATGTCTCCACCTCCTTTCAACACAAGCTGAGCTTCAGCAAAGGTAGGCAGTGATGGACTGTTGTGCAGATGAAAACACAAATCTTTTCAAGGTAGTTAGCCAGGCTCTGCCCAAAATCAAACTTAGGGACCATCCCAGTTAAAGGACGGAATGAGGCTGCTGCATTAATCCCTGGACTGCCTGGATGTCCTCACTGATGTCTCTCAGCATCCCAGTTTGACTCTCTCTGTCTCACCAGCCCTTTGTGTTTTGCCATGTTGACACTTGGGTGTCTGGTTTTGCTTTCCCTGCTAGTGGTACTGGAGAGCGGAGCCAGTGGAAGCCATGATCCCTGCAGATGTGTCTAGAAATGTAGCACAGGGAGAAAGCACAGACAGGCCAGGAGAGCCGCTGGCGTGGAGAAGCTTTTGCAGGGATAATGGTAGGATTTGGACCTCATTTCAAGGCAGGTTTTTAAAAATCCATTTTGCTTCAATGAGTTCAGATTCACTTCCCCAGCAAGCACATCCAAACCAGGAGCAGAAAACCTCCCACTTGAGGAGGAAACACTCCTGAAAGGTTAGGCACAGGTTGCCCTGAGAAGCTGTGGTTGCCCCATCCCTGGGAGTGTCCAAGGCCAGGTTGGACAGGACTTGGAACAACCTGATATAGTGAAAGGTGTACCTGCCCATGGAATGGGATGGGGTTTAAGGTCCCTTCCAGCCCAAACCATTCTGTGATTCCAATCCCCTTCTCAGAAGCAAAAGCTCTGGAGGCAAACTGAGATGCTCCTAAAGCTGGGGTGCAGCCAGGCTGAGAAGGAAGCCTGGACTTGCCCTCTGGCATCACTTCCTCACTGAGCACCAGCATGGATCCAGCTGGGATAAATCTGTCCTGCTGCCTTCACTTATCCTGCCTGGGGATGCTGCTGCAGGGTGGGCTGAGGGTGGGGTTTCTCTCTTCTCCCAGCAACAGATGGGCTGAGGAAGTGAGGGTTTCCTGGTGCAAATGCTTTTCCAAAGAAACCTCCTGCTGTGATCAGAGTGTTGCGTGTGCTGCTCTGCCCTGGGATCCCTGCCAGGACACAGGGATGCAGAGGTGGCTGGGGAGGTTTGGCTGGGAGCATCCAAGGAGGGCGCCCTGGGCAAGCAGAAGGAGGGCAGAGCTTTTCTTGATACCAGTGACAGCAACTGTTTCTCAGAGAGCACTTTGGCACGGGGTGTGTATGGGCTTTGTCTCTGTGCAGGGTGAACCCTGCCTTGCATCTCCCCCATCCTTTGCTCAGAGGTGGTTTCCAGGCCTGAAATGCTTGTTCAGCCACTGGGAAAAATATGACAACGTTGTTGAAAAGGTGATTAGAAAAGTAGGACTTGCTAAAGAGACTGATTTCTGTCCTTGAGTGGGTGACAGGGCAGCACAGACAGCACTGGGGTGCAGTGGGATGGGGTGAGGGGGTGTGTGTGATGCACAGCTGGCACTCCCCACACATCTGCAGCACAACTTCCCAAAGGAAGCATGTTAAGGAAAGCTTTGGTGGAGTCTTGGGGAGGGCAGCAGCTGGCAGTGCCTGGCCCTGTGAGCACAGGGGTGGGTGCCAGGGGCCCAGCAGAGACACACATACGGCTCTGGTTTGTGCTGGAGCCAGTGCCCTCAGCTCTGGTCAACCCTCAACAGAAATCACAGATATTTGTTGGGAAAAACCCACCTTTGGGCAGCTGGGTAATTAAAAAATCCCAATCAATCCCTTCACAGCACCCCGAGGTGTTGGCTCTGATGTGTGGAGGTGGTAGCACAGGATGCTGATGGCACTTGGAGACTCAGGGGTGTTTCCTGATCTGGAGCCACCAGCAGGACCCACTGGGTCCTCTCACATGTTACCTTCCACTTGCCAAAGGGCAAGTTGCCGTGGATGCATGCAGGATTGTCCCTCAGACAAGGATCTAGGCTACCCAAGGTCAGCCCAAAAAACCCTGAAGCAGAGGGGCCAGCCCTCTGGCTGTCCCAGCACCAGTGCAGCCTTTCCCCTTGGCTCTGCCCCTCTGTTCCTGGCTGCAGATTGTGGGAATGTCATCCAGTTTTGTGATGCCTCTACTTGCTTCCTGAGGCCTCATGTGCAGGTTTTGTTGATTTTTTTTTTTTTTTATTTGGTTTTGCAAAATTTTGCTTTTTATTACCCAATGTGGAGGATGGAGCCTGGCACTAGGAGCTGCTGATCAAGCAGAGGATGGAGCCTGGCACTTGGGCTTGGCCACTGACCTGCTGGCCTAGCTGCCAGGTGAACATGGGGGCTCCAGTGCTGGCACAGATGGCAGGATGGCAGGAATGGCAGGGATGGCAGGGAAAGCAGAGAACAGGGCTGTTTCTTTAAGGCAAAAAAGAGAACTCTCGGGCTGGCACTTTGTGTAGTTTAGCCCAGATCCCTGTTTTAATTAGCGTTTCATTTCATCTCCTCCTCTCCCTCTCCAGCCCCACCTCCTTGGAATCAGCATTTCTGCATCCTTTCCTGTGCATTGCAGAGCAGCAGGTGGAAGTCTGTCTGGCACCTGCACACACACACACTCACACACACACCCTGCAGGCTGGACGCACCTCTGCCGCGGGAGAGAACCCTTCCCACACTCCGGATCTTCCTCCTGCCGAGCGAGCTGGGCTGGGAGCATCCCGGTCCTCGCCTCAAGCTGCTCTGCCTCCCCTCGCCGGCTCTGGCTGCAGCACCAGCAGCACCCGGGCACGGAGGACCTCGGGAGGCCCCGGAGAGAGAGCTCTGCAGGGAGCCAAGCCCAGCTGGGGGGGTAAGAGCTGAACCTCGGGGGACTGGAGCATCCCCAGTATCTGGGGCGTCCTGGAGTCCAGATCATCCCCAACATCCAGGGTATCCTGGGTACGGAGCATCCCTGGCATCTGGAGTATCCTGGGATCCAGAGCATCCCCAGCATCTGAAGTATCCTGAGTGCAGAGCATCTGGAGTATCCAGAGCATCCCAGGGGCTCTGGGATCCAGTGCATCCAGTGCATCCAGAGCATCAGAGAATCCATAACATCCTGCCATCCCTGGCATCTCGAGTATCCTGCCATCCAGCACATCCCCAGCATCCAGCAGCAGCATCCAGGGACATCCCAGAGCAGGGGCATTTGCAGGGACGAGGCACTGCCTGGCTGTGAGTAACGGGGAGGGAACCTTGCTTCTGCTGATCGGCTCCTGGGAATGTCACTCTGCCCTGAGTGCCAGTGAAGAGAGAGAGCAGGGGAAGAGAGGGAGACAACGAGGAGGAGAGGGAGAGGAGGAGGAGGAAAGGAGAGGAGAGAGGAGGACAGACACAGAGCAGATAGGTGGTCGTTCTTCCCCTGGATCCAGCTCTGGCGATGATCACGTAGCACAGGTCACGCCAGAGAAGGTCCCCCCAACCCCAAAGCTCCCATGGAGGGCGACCTGGGGGCCCCCAATTCCAGCATGCTGGGGGAGCACTCGCTGCTCGTGGGGAGTAGCTGGGTGGCCGCTTTCCTGTGCTTCATCATCCTGCTGACCACGGCGGGGAACTTCCTCCTCATCCTCCTCATCGTCACTCAGCGCTCCCTCCGCAACACCTCCAACTACTTCCTGGTGTCCCTGTTCATGTCGGACCTTATGGTGGGGCTGGTGGTGATGCCCCCAGCCATGCTCAACCAGCTCTATGGGCGCTGGGTGCTGCGGGGGGACTTCTGCTCCCTCTGGGCCTCCTTCGACGTCATGTGCTGCAGTGCCTCAATCCTCAACCTCTGCATCATCAGCCTGGACCGGTACCTGCTCATCATCTCCCCGCTCAAGTACAAGCTGCGCATGACCTCCTGCAGGGCCCTCTGGCTCATCCTGGCCACCTGGACCGTGGCTGCACTGGCCTCCTTCCTGCCCATCAAGATGGGATGGCACGAGCTGGAGTTCGAGGAGCTCTCCCTGAACGTCACCTCGTGGGGGGACGAAGACCAGTGCCGGCTGGTGGTCAGTTTGCCGTACGCCCTGGTCGCCTCTTGCCTCACCTTCTTCCTCCCATCTGCTGCCATCTCCTTCACCTACTGCCGCATCCTCCTGGCTGCCCGCAAGCAGGCGGTGCAGGTGGCTTCCCTCACCTCCAACGTGGCCACCACCACCACTACTGATGACACCATGCCACAGGTAAGGTGTCCGCAGGGACCTTGTTTTTTGCAGACCTTGTTTTTTGCACAGTTTGGGTGCCTGGGATGTTTCTGCCTTCTGGACAGCCTTAGAACCAGAGCTGGCTTTGGCAACTAGACCACAGGGAGGGAGATTTTGGGCAACATCCACCTTGCTGACGCCCTCTGAAGTGCCCTGTGTCTGTCCCACCAATGGAGGGCTGCTCTGGAGCACACAAACAGCATGAGCAGAAGCAGAGAAATTATAAGATTCAGGCAAAAATGCTCAGTGATGCAAAATAAAGGCACTTTAGCCCCCCTCTTGGCTGGCATCATCCCTGAGGGTTTTAATCTTATATCTGATTTTCCACTTGTAAATCTTGGCTGTGGTGGGTGTGAGACATATGGGGGAGAAGGGTTTCAACTAATAGCAAATGCCAAATTCTGGAGAGCATCTTATTTTGAACAGAAGCTTCTATTTTTGTTACCTGGTTAACGGGAACTGCCAAACCCCTCCTTGTGCAATCACTGGTTTCATGTGTGGGTTTTATAACCAAAACGTGGCTGCACTTGTTTGTATTTCTTCAGCTCTAATTCCCTGTAATAGGCTTTATTGACCACATATCCTACAGGGAAAAGGCAAACTTAATTGTCTTTAAATACCTTGATTTAGTTTGTTCACTCTAAGAGCAGAGACAGGACTCTGCCCAGCTCTCCCACATGACGCACCAAACGGTCAAAAGGAAAAGGACAATCAAAGAATAAACAGACAATATCATAAAGTGTTTATTTTCTCCCTGGATATCAGGTTTTTGGAGTCCACAAACACACTCAGGGGATCAGGGGATGCTCAGGGGCTTTGTCATGTTGTGGAAAACCAGCATCCGCCGCCTGCCTTTCAGCCAGGGCAAGTGACCCAAAAGGTTTCTTGGAGCCCCAAATTTGCTGAAAACAAGGTGTCAGCCAGGGAACCCTCAAATTCCATCTTTTAACCAGATTTTGACTCTCTTTTTGGGCAGGAAGCTGAGTGGCAAAGGAGCATCGTTTGATTACAGTGGAGGGTTGAGATAATCAGTTCATTTTAGATTGCGGGGGGGATGGAGGGCTGAGTTATGGTGTTTGTAGGCTGAAATGTTTCACATCCTACTTTTATAAATGTAGTTAGTTTGTTGCTGTAATCAGCAGCTGGAGCTGCCTCTTTAGGGCTTTGTCTTCACCAAAACATGAGCTGGGTTTTTCTATAAAGAACAGCCTAGTGAGAACCTCCTATTTTACAGTAAAAAAAATAAGGTAATGTTGAGGGTTTCTATTGTTTCCTCTCCCTAATTTGCAGTTCAGGGCCTGTGGTGCATGCCCTGCTCCTGTCTCTTGGAGAAGGGAATTAATGGCAGGGTTTTTTCAGGATTTGGAGCACCTAACCTCACTTTTCTTCGGCAGAGGCTGGCACTGGTGCTGGCAGCTCCAGTCTGGGGAGGCTCATCACCATTCCCTGTCTCCTGCTACAGATTCCCTGTGTCCCAAGCCAGCCTATGGCCGGCAGTGAGAGCAGGAGGTTCACCAACAAGCACAGCAAGAAGGCACTGAAGGCCAGTCTGACCCTGGGCATTCTCCTGGGCATGTTCTTCGTGGCCTGGCTCCCCTTCTTCATTACCAATGTGACGCAGGTAAGAACCTGTGGGGGTTTTGTGTTGGGTTTTCAAAAGCTTTTCACTCGAGATCCAGCTGGGTTCAATCTGAAGGTCTCGCTGGAACACCTCTGGGAGCAAAGAGGCAACTTCCCCAGGGAGCAACAGCAAGGAAAAACCCTTCAAAAGGGATTTGGAGGTTTCCTTTGAAAGGGGAATGTTGGTGTGCCTGGGAAACTGCTCTGGATAGGGGCTGAGGTGGGAGACACTGCTAATCCCTGCTGTGCCCCCCCAGGCTGTCTGTGGCTGTGTCCCAGCCGGATTCTTCGACGTGCTCACCTGGCTGGGATACTGCAACAGCACCATGAACCCCATCATCTACCCACTCTTCATGAGGGACTTCAAGAGAGCCATGGGCAAATTCCTGCCTTGCTGCCGGCGCTCGGGGGAGCCCCGGCCCAGCGCCATATCCTTCTCCATGAGGAACTCCAACAGCGGAGCCCGTGCCGCCACGTCCCTCAAGAACATCCTCACCTTGCAGGCTGAGACTGACTCAGTTGACTCTGGGGCGCTGGGGAATGATCCCAACCTGCTGCCAGCCCCCCTGACCTCCCACGCCCCCTCTATCAGCCTGTGGGACGCAGAGCCCCCGGACGCGGAGCCGCAGGTTGGGCAGCTCGGCACCCCCGTGGCCTGAGTGGGGTCACAGAGCTCCATGTGCTGGGAAGGATGCCTCAGCCCCACACAAACAGCCCACGTGCTGCTGCTCCAATTCCCTCTTCCAGTGCATCGCGCAGCTTGTGGAGGGGCACTGCTGTGGGTAGGTTCAGCCACGTGTCACTGCCTTGTTTCTCTCTCTTCCATCCCTCCTTTGCTCACTGGCACCAGTCCCTCACCCTTCTTGTGGCCTTTGGACAACACTCTCAGGCACGTGGTGGGATTCTTGGGGTATCCCGAGGGGGCCAGGATTCGATGATCCTTGTGGGTCCCTTCCAACTCAGCATATTTTGTGATTCTGTGATTCTAAGATTCTTTCCATCTCTGGTTAGTTTGAACCTTGGATTCCAGATCATCTGTCCCCCTAAACTTAAACCAAGGCTTGGTTTTCAGTTTTCACACATGGATCACCTCCATTTCACCTACTGCACTGAGAGGAGTGATGGAAACACATCCCATGACTCATGGATAAGAGGTTTGGAGCTGCTTCAGCCCATGGAACATCACGTCTTCTTGGAGCTGCGTTTCCTCTCCTGACTTGGAGCATGTCTGTCTCGGTTTCCTGTTAAGCAGTGAGTTACAGCCCAGTGAAACCATCGTGTTTAATCATGGAGAGCTGCACTATGGGGGTTCAACTGGGTGCAGAATGTCCAACACTGATTTTTGGATGTTCTGTGAGGGTGTGGGGATGCGACTCGTCATGGCTTTGTGGGTTGTGTGACAGTAGCAATGGGATCAGTGCCTCTTACAGCTCCATCCTACAGCTTCCCATTCTTGGCACAGGACCACCACACTTCTCTCTGACAATCCGTTAATTTTTAGATGATGCAATTAGAAAATACACCCTCCCCCCCTTTCAAATAGGAATCTAAAGAAATACTGTCTTTTAAATGACAATTCCAGGCCGCCTCCACCCAGCCCACCCCCACCATAGCCATAAGCAGAGAGAACAGTGAGTAATGTGGCAAGTGGGCTCTTAAAATAATCAATAAAACAAATGATTTTAGTAAATTCTTCCTCAAGTGCCTTTGGGCTGCAGAGCTGGGCTGACAGTTGGCTGCTGTGCCCTCCCTGAACCCCTCCCCTCCAAGCCTTCTGCCTAATTCTGAGCTCCCATTAATGGGTTTGACTGTGCTCCTGGAACTCACCAGTATCCAAACAGACACAGAGCATCCCCTGGATATGGAATGCTGGAAGAAACAGCCACGCTCCAAGCAAATCTCACTAGTTTTCTTTCCACGTTGCCCATGGATGTTCCAGAACTAAACAAGAGTTTTTATGGCCAACTTGACATTTACTTGGTACTTTGTACCTCCTGGGAGCTGGCACTGGCCCAGCAGTCAGGGATGAGTGACTGGGACACACTGAGGGTTCATCAGGTTCAAACCTCAAACTGTTCAATACATTTTCCCCTGGATGGGGGGACAGAGAGCCTGGGGCTGGTGTCAAGCATAGAGATCAATATGTGCATCTTCCCACAAAACAGCTTTATATAAAGCCACACTTTGACTACAATTCCTGTTAAAAAGGAGCAGGAAAATGCACGATGGAGTCTGGAAATCTGTTAGGTACTAAATTAGCCTTGGGAGATGGACAGAGAGAGAGAGAGAGATATCTTCAAGCCAAATGTTCAAAAGCAATAGTTCATTACTGTCTCATCAAGACTGTGATAATTAGGTGTTTGCTTGTGGACAAAGCCTTGGATGAGTGGAGAAATCCCATTCTTTCCCTGCAGCCAGCAGCATCAACACTGACCGGGCAAACAGCCTGTCTCAAGAGATGTCTCCCATCACTGCTCCAGAAAGGAGCTGAGAAGGTCTGAGCCCCCCTGGATGTTGGATTTGGGGAGAGGAAACACCAGGCACTGAACCCAAACCGTTGTGCTTTGCTGTGTTACGGCATCATCCCCAAAACCAGCCATGTCTTTGACTCCGTGAGAAATAATCTGCAGGTAAGGTTTGCAGGGAGCCTGGGGAAGGAAGGAGAGGGGGTGCTGGATCAGGGAGGCAGGAGGAAGACCCTCTGTGAACCGAAATTGGAAGGTGCAATTGCACTCCTTCCCCTTCTGAGTCAATGAGACCTCCCAGATCAGGGGTGGGAGGTGTTTGTACCATCACACTTGTGGCAAAGTAGAAAACCCCAGAGGTGTTCTCAGAGCAGAGGCATCCACTTGTCACGCTCCTGCCAGATGCATTTTCCTGGGCTTAGCAGAAAAACAGGACAGAAAACGAGCTTTTATGGAAGATGTGGATCAGTCCCACACGAATTGGGAGCTCTGCTAGCAGGGGATGTAAAGCTGTGTCCTTTCCTCTGCTCTGAGACTGGGGAGAAGAGAGTGGAACCAATTCACTTTTATGGAAGGAGGTAGAAATGAAACAGATTCATGTTTATCCTATGCCAAGTATGGGTTTTATTTTAAGCCAATTAAAAATAAAGGGGGCTTTTAAGGCTGGAGATGTGTGTGTGACTCAAAAGGAAAGTGTCAGTGGGTTGCTGGGCTTGGAGAGCCTGGAAGTTTCATAAGCCATCAGTTTTCCCGCTGCTGTCACCCAGGGTCCCAAATGTGTTTCTAACAGGAACGGGCCCCTCCAACACTCATTGCCATCAACCTGGAGACAGGAAAACAGTCTTGGAGATTGGAAAGTGCCCTGGCAGCCCGAGCCTTTCTCCTCCCCAGCCAGCATAGCTGAAGTGTGGACACTGATCTGCCCAAAGTGGGGCAGGCAGAGCCCTCAACACACCTGAAATCCACAAACCAAACCAATCTCCAGTGGAAAAAACGCTTTTAATTTCCTAGTGATGAGCCCCCCTCTGTGATATGATTAAAATCCCCTCAGAGCCATTTGCTTTTCAGTTATAGGGACACAGTGCTGAGGGGGAACAGCTGCTTCCTGCAAGGATTTGGACGGGGATCTGTCCCGGATTCCTGAGGAGCAGTGCAGATACAGGCAGGAACCACCCCTCTTTCGTCCGTGGGAGCCGCCGTTGGCAGCTGCTCTGAATGCTTTGATCTAGTGCCAAACCAGTGCCACCCTCCAGGCTCACTTGAGGGGCTGGAAACTGCAGCTCCAGCTCCGCCGGCCCTATCCCTGGGGAATCCCAGTGTCACAGCTGGTGCTGTGACAGCGGTTTTAGTGCTGGCTAAGCAGCTCTGCTCTAATTTGCTCCTTCTTCTGCTGCCTGGTCCTTGCTGTCCCTGCTGTGGGAGCAGTTCAGGCAGGGCAGAGAGGGTTCTCCCAGGAGAGAGCTGGAGGAATCCCCTCGGTGAGCACAGCTGGCTGGGAGAGCCTCACCCCCAGCCTCATCCTCCTCTTTCCTGGTGTTTTCCTCTCCCCGAGCCTTGCTGCCTGATTCCCGCAGAGATTTCTTGGCTAGAGGGGGGAAAAGACTGCCACTGCCCTTCTCTACTGGCTGGTATTCCTTGGTTTTAATGCCCACAGCTTTTAGGATCGTGTCCATCTGCTTCATGTAGTCCAGGTGGCCGTTTACCTGCAGGGAACAAGAATCCTGTGAGTGGGGAACCCGTGGGGACCCAGCTCAGCCAAGTCCTTCATCCCAACAGCCACCCCTGCCATGAAACTTGGGTTTGGCTCTGAGGAGGAAAGAATGAGGCTGGAAAACCAAAGAATCACGGAATCATTAAGGTTGGAAAAGATATTTATGATCATCAAGTCCAGCACTGCCAAGGCCACCACTAAACTACATCCCCAAGTGCCACATCCACACGGTTTTTGAACACTTCCAGGGTTGGTGATTCCACCATTGGATAAATGCAGTTGTGTATGGAACTGCCTGAACTGGCAAGCAGCCTTTGGGGCACACGCTGCTGCCGGATTATTTTTCTTCTGAGACGTTTAAAAGCCTGGACCTGGCTGAGTTACAACCCCCAAATCCTGTGTGCCATGAGGGTAAGAGGAGCAGCTCTGCCACAGGGAGAGACACCCAGGTAGGAGATGATTTCTCTTAGTTTAGCTCCCTGTTCTGTGCTAAATGACATTCCTCCAGGTGCCTCAGCTCCCTTGTAAAAGCCAAGATTATCTTATTTAAATTAAGATACAGTCATTAAACCTCACACAGCTACCAAGTGCATTAAGGTTCTTGGCTGGAGGCTGCACCGATCCATCCCACACAATATAAAACCAGGAGCCCAAGAGTTATGGGTCCATAAACCAATTAAAAGTCAACAGCATGAGCAAAAAACCCAGATGTTTTTATTGTAAGATGAATTCCACGATAAGATAAAGCCTTCTGAGATGAATGTTGGAATGTATCCTTCCAGTCAGGGAGCAAGAGAACAGAAAACCTCCTCCGAAGGTGACTGTTGTTTATACTAAAGGCCACATGGTTGGAGAGGAAGAAATTCCTTCCCCATTCCAGGTGTCCTGCACAAACCAAGCACTTGATGCACCAACAGCATCCTGAGATACTGCAGCATCTTTGGTAAATTCAATTTCCAGCAGTTTAAACCTCCCTGACCCAGCCAGAGAGCTGGCTCAGCCTCTTATTTACCCAAACCTTGCTAGTAATTAGGGAATTTCCACATCAAGGAATATGCAACACCCCGGTCCCAGGTTTCGTGCTTCCCAGCCAGCTAGATGAGTGCCCCAGAAAGGGATGATGATGGTAAGAGCTCTTCACAGAGCTCTGCAAAGACACCAGCCATGGACCCTCTGCTCAGCTCCTGCCTGGTTCCAGAGCAATCCTTCAGCTGCCCCATCCCTGGAAGTGTCCATGGCCAGGTTGGATGGGGCTTGGAGCAACCTGGGCTAGTGGAAGGCGTCCCTAACCATGGCAGGGGGTTTGAACTGGTGCCTTCCAACACAAACCGTTCTGGGATTCTGGGATTCATTGCTGTGCCAGCACCAGGGTTCCCAGCACAGCTCTCCCAAAACTAAAGCCAATCTTTCCTCCCAAAAATCCAAACCTCCAAGGAGTTTGCATGAAGTGGCTTTGGAGGGGGAAACATTTGGCTGCACTTAGGGCTTGGAGCAAACTGAAGGATTTAATCTGCACATCAGACATACAATATGTGACTTGAATCCCTCCAGATGGCTCAACATGCTCTGTGTGTTTGGAACTGATTAGTTAACTAAAATAACCATGGAAGGACTGAGGAACTGGCTGTGGGCTGTGGACATTTCCTCTGGAAAAATACAAATCTTTTGCTGCTCAGTCAGGGTGGTTGGTGCCAAAGGAGCAAGGTGGGGATAGACAGGAAGGAGCTGGACTTGCTGGGAGTCGGGGCTGAAGGCCTTTGGTTTATTGCATTCAGAACCTCTCCTGTCACCACCATCTGCCTGCCCTGGTCAGTGCTTGGGGATTTCTCATCCTGGTGTTACTGAGCCATTAGTCAGAGGGAACAAATTTCCTCTGCTACCTTAAGGACTAGATTTTCGTATCTCCTCAGTATCCAGCAGCTTCCACTAAAACAACAGGGAATTCCTCTTCCTTGAGCACCATGATCACCGAGGGATGCAGGGTATGAGCCATTCTGAAGAGCTCATGCAGCTAAAAGAGAAGCTGAGACCTCCTGAAAATCCGTCCCTTCCTGCAGCTCTGCTAAACCTCTAATCTCTAAATCTCTTCCAAGGAAATTCACTCCTGTCTCCAGGACAGCCCAGGAAAGGATTCCCTAAAGCTGGACCAGCACGAGCCCTGAGAAGTGTAAGAGGAGGGAGGACTCTGCTGCAGTGTGACATTGAGCACTGAGCCATCAGCAAAAGAATAGTAAACAAACTGCCTTGCTACTTGCCATCCTGGTGGGAAAATCCAGCAATTCCAGATCTCCAAAGCCTGTTTCCATCTGCTATCAAAGGATGAATTCCTCCACTGGGTAGGCTGTGCAGGAGATGGGAGGGGAACATCTACAACATAGTCAATAAAAACTTTAAAGGGAAATAAAGAGGTTGTTTGAGTATTTATCAGAACAAAGTCCAGGAGGAATTTCAGGATGAATGGAAGAGTGTGCTCAGCACCAGAGCAAATAGATTTCTGCTTGTTTTAAGGAAATGAAAGCAGTGGGGTGGGTTTATTGGTGTGTTTAGGTGACTTTTCCCTGCTCTATCTGACTTTATGGTTGCTATGACTCATTGGAAAACATGAGCCAGCTGTCTCTGGCACTGCTGCTGCTGGGAGATCTCTGGAGGACAACTGATGGCTTTGCTCAGGGGGATCCACCAGCCAGCAGAAAGGAGCCATCAGCTCAGCGTGTTTGGAAAGGTTTTCAAGTTCAAATCCACCCAAAATTGTCAAAAAGTCACTGAGCACAATCAGCTGCGACTGTTAAATTCACAGAGAAGTGGTTTTGTTGTGTACAGAGGAGGAATCCCAGTTTCTCTCTGGTTTGAGCTATAGGAACACAATGTGTGCTGGAGCCTGGCAAGGGGAGGGCAGAGAAAGGGCCGGGAGAAAGGAGACATTCTATATGGTCCTGGCTTTGCCATGGCCTCACGTGGGCACAGGCACAGCTCCTGCTCCATCACAACACTGACATCACTCCATATGGCAGAGATAAGACTTCACTGCTCCCTCCAGAGCCAAGTATCCTGAGGTCATGCCCAGAGTCCTTCAATAAAAGCTCCACCACCCATCCTGAGCAGCAACACAAGGAGTACATTTGGCTCCAAATCCCTGTTTGCTCTGCAGGGCTGTGGAACTGCCCGAGCTGAGCTCAGTGTCCCTCAGCCTCTCTGCTCCCTGTGCCTTCCTCCTGCTGCCCGTCACCAACACCCTATGGATTCACAGGGAATCACTGAGGAGGCAGGCAGTGTGGTGGAGGAAGCACAGGTCACTCATACCCTTGAGAATTTCACCCCTTGGATTTGTTTTGAGCCCATCACGTACAAAGAGCAACTTTCTCATGCAGGAAAAGATTCCATCAAGTTAAAACATCTCTGCAGAGTTGTTATTACAGCAGGAGCAGTAACGACCTTGGAGGGCATCCTTCAGGGATTCCCTGTTAGCAAATACTGTCTGTTTTCACAGCAAATGGTATTTTGGGAGTGGTGAAAGAGTTCCTGGAGTGAGCTGCAGGTTCTGGAGCTCAACTGATAATCACAGCTCACCTTTCAGCAGCCCTTTCCTCCTCTGGGTGTCAGACACTGTGTGTACACACAGAATGGAATCAAACTGCAGAGCCAGCTCAGCAACTTGGGTTATTGTTTACTCTCCCTTTCCCAAAGCTACAGTGAATATGTTGTCCCGGAAGAGCACTGGAGTCCAACCCTACCTCTGAACTGAACTGCCAGACAGTTTTGGGGAGTTACTGGTACAGAAGGGAAGAAGCTCAAATGCCACTGGTGCTTTCCAAAAACTCCTCAGTTCTGGATGCTGCCTCCAAACCCACGCAGAGCATGGTCCAGATGGTGGCACAGGCTGATGGGTTGCAGGGCTCCCAAGTTGTGCCACATTATCACTCAAAATCCAGTCACCCCGGCCAAGCTGGCAGGCTCCTCCGGCCACAGATATTCCCACATGTCAGCCTAAGCCTTAGTTCAGAAGCTGGGCACATCCTGCATGACAGAAGGCATTTACAGAATCCCAGAGTCCTACAATAGTTTGGGTTGGAAGAGACCAGATCGTTCCACCCCTGCCATGGGCAGAGACACCTTTCACTAGCCCAGGTTGCTCCAAGCCCTGTCCAAACTGGTCTTGAACACTTCCAGGGATGGGGCAGCCATCCCTGTGACCCCACAGACCAACAGACAAATAGACTAATTTCCATAAAGCCCTGGATTTCCCCCCAGTGTGAGAGAGGCTCTCCCAGCTCCCCCAGGTTGCTGCTTGAAGCTGAGTTCTGCTCCAAGCTCCTGCTCCTCTGATCCTGTTTTTGCCTGTCACCATGGGAGGTGGCACTGCTCATTTGGAACAAGTGAAAAAAAGAGAAGGAATGAGACCTTGGCAACCTTTTGCCTTTTGAACTCCCCAGGGTTCTTAATTAATCCGTATTTTGTAATGACAATTAATTCTTTGCTGCAAGTCTTGGGAATACAATGGGAAAAAACACAGGTTAACGTGTCTGGGGGAAAAGTCTGACTCACAGAAGTGCCAAAGCAGTTGTATTCCACAAAATTCATCTTCTTATGGTATTGATGTACCTGCCTGGCTGAGGGCTAGAATGCCTTGAATCTGTTTGTCCTCCCTCATAACAGGAATACTGGTCCCTCTCCGGAGAACTGAAAAGAGGGTGGAGCTAGGTGAGGGTAACAAGTCACAGGATGAGTGGAAACAGCCTCAAGCTATGCCAGGGGAGGTTTAGGTTGGATATTAGGAAAAAATTCTTCATGAACAGGGTGGTCAGACAATGGAACAGGCTGCCCAGGGTGGTGGTGGAGTCCCCATCCCCGGAGGGAGTTAAAAGCCGTGTGGATGTGGCACTTGGAGACATGGGTTAGTGGTGGCTTTGGCAGTGCTGGCAGACTGTGATCCATCCCTGCTCTCCACTAGATTTCCAACCACCCCTACCCCTAAATTTGCAAGTTAATCCCTGTTTTCTGATGCCATGAAACTGCCCAGAGAAACTAAAACACCAATTCCTAACCTGTGAGCCTGCCTGAAAATGCTCCCTGTGCTCTGCCTCAGAGCAGTTCTGCAATATTCAAACGTTAATTCAGCCTGCACTGTACAAACTCCCCTGGGAACAAACAGCAATCAGGATAATCCACTGTAGCTCCACCACTTCCTTGGTCTCTAACAGGTGCTGTCAAACAAACCCACTGAATAAATCAGCCCCATTGTAACCATGAGGAAGGATTTTATAACCATTTGATGAGTGGGAGGAGTTTTTCTCTCTGTTTTTTTAACTGACAGTTAGATAAAAAACGCATTAATCAAGAGAGACATGAGATAGAGGCCTTGGAGGTGAGCTCCTGGTTATACTGAGGGCTCTTAGTCCTCCACTCAGAGGATTCTGGTGCTACCACAACCAAGCTGTTTGGATCCAGTCCAGTTTTCATCATGGATGGACTGGGAGATACCAAAAATACTGAGGCTGCCTGTGTAATACTTCCACGCTGAACACCTTTGCATCAGTTACAGTTTTTTATCACACCTTGTTCTTCTGGCAGGAGACTCACGGGAACCTCCAGCAAGGGCATCTGCAGAGATGGAGCTGGTCCCCAGAAAGAAAACTTCTCTATACATCTCTAAATATCAGTACGTATTTTTCTGTTATGCTACTGCACTGTAATTGCAGCAAAATCCATCTTTGCTTTCTTAACATTTAAAAAAAATACTGTCCCTGGAAATTTCCTTCCCATTCTTCCTCCTTTTACTTCTAAAATGTTCAACAGAATGCACTGTATTTCTTCCTATAAAGCTCCATGGTCTGGAAAACAGATCGAGAGAATGACACCTACTTAATATACATTTCTCCCCCAAAGCTTTGCAGTGAGATGAAGGAAGTGGAGGTGTCAGCTCCTTCTGAAGGAGAGCAGCACTGGGATTGTCTGCTGGCACCAGGCAGATGCACAGCCCTAGGAGATGAGCAGAGAGCAGCTCTGTAAACATTATTCATTCAGTTGAAATGTAAATCCTGCTCCTCTGAGGGAAATGGGGAGGCTGCTGCAGGATAAAATGTGCAGGACCCCGGGGGCTTCACAGTTCAGGAAGCAGAAGGTCAATAGAAGGAGGGTGTTTGAAGAGAACTCAAAAAGAGGAGAGTAACACAGACTGACTGACAGGAAACGTCACCCCAGTGCCACCACTTGGCATCTTTGGCCATTTTCAAGCCAGCAACAGATGTCAGATACAAAGCGACTAATGGCAGCTCTGGGGATGGTGAGAAACTGGATGTGAGGGTGTGTGGAAATGCTGACAACTCAGTGAGATGCAAAGATACAAGTGCTGGACCATGTTTAAAAGCCTCCACTATACCCCTTCCAAAATATGGGAAGCCCATATTTTGTTCTGTGAAGTGTCTGTTCTCTCTGTTCAGTACCAAACCCTGTGTTTGCTGGCAAGGGCTGTGCAGAGCTCAGTTATAATGAATGAAATGAGCTGGGAGCAGTTGGGTATTTATAGGCTCAGGAGGATGGTGCTACAAAAATTCTGAAAGCTCTTCAAAGTGCCTTTGGCTCCAGAGTAACACTGACAGTCCCTGCCAGCTTGTGGGGACATTGGGAAAAGTCATGGCAGAACAACAACCATAGAAGTATCCTGAGCTTTGTACCAAGCATCTCCCAGTTTGCAGAGAGTGAAAAATTAATTAAAACAATTAAGATAAGGAAAGACATGATGACATGCCCAAGATTTCTGTGGATATGGATGCACAAGCTGAGTTCTGCATGGTTTTCCATGGAAGAGCTCACTCATGAGACAACAATGTGATGATGAGTTTGCTTAAGGTAATTGAGTTGAATATTGCTGGATATATTGCCAGATGTTATAACAGTGGCTTATCATTAATGACACCGGATAGCTCTGAGGAAGCTGAATGCTTGCCAGATATACCCATGAGTCTCTTCCTGTTTCCTGGAGACCCACACTCCAAACAGGCTGCAGGACCTGGCAAACCAACCATTGCCATCATGGAGCTTCTGTAATTCCAAACCGGTTCCTATTCTAGTCGGTGTGGCCCTGGGGACCAAGGTACAAGGCCCATGGACACGGCCCTGAATGAACCTGAACAGTGTTGGAGGCTCCACCAAGATAAGATTGTGGGCTGCATGCAGTCACATGTTTTGAGTTCCACGTTTTCCAGCTGCCGATCCCATTTCCCCTTGATCCAGACTCACAGGGGTTGGAATGAGATGATATTTAAGGTCCCTTCAACCCAAACCATTTTATGATCCTATGACAGAAAGGTCCTTCTTGGAGAATAATGGCATTTTCTGTATCCACTATGAGATATGTCAGAACCAAAAAACCCCAAATATATCCAAAAGGAGAGGCAAATTCTCATTTTTTTGCTCAATGCTGAACACTGGCTGGGCCAAAAAAATCCAGAGTGAAGTCTGAGATCAGTTTCCCCAAAGACAGGGAAGGAAGAGGGACAATTTACCTGGAGGGGCTCTCTTCAAGTACCCAGTTTCCCCTAAGTAGTGAGTGTGGGGTTACAGTGCTGCAAGCAAAGCATAATGGAGAAAAAAGCAGAATATAGGAACTACTTACTACAGAGGAAAGGTCCATGTTTACCATCCTCCTGTCATCCAGGTCAACTGGCTGGAGTCCTGCGACGTTGAGCTGGACAGAGGAGGTTCTGTACACAAAGCTCAGCAGCCAATCCCCTCTAGAAGCAGAGAAGAGAGGGAATAAATCCTGTTGTCCAAGCAATGCAATGAAGCCCTGGGTTCTTTCAAAAGCTTAGTGAGTCCAACTAATTTGGGTGAGGTTTCCCACTAGGAATTTGTAGCCCCACTGTGAAATCAGAGGGGACAGCTCTGACAGCTGGTTTTCACTTGCCCTGTCCCTATGGACTTCAAAGCCCAAGGAGACAAGTTACACTGGACTGAAACTCGACAAACTGGGCTCAAATCTGATCTTGCAGGAGTTGTATTCAGTGTAATTCATCTGACCTAAACAGAGTTACTCCTGAAGTGACAGAACAAGGCCACCCTTTGTATAAGGGAGAGACCACAGAAATCAGAATCAGCTGAGGTCTTACCAAGAACTATTTGTATAATATTTATTTCATACCTCAATCCTCACAGAAATACCCCATCTCTCTCAGCTCCCTCCTCTAGCTGCCCCTCATGCTTCCTGAATAACCCCAAATTCAGCATCTGAGGGAAAGGTAGAGAACCTGCATAGTGGAATATTTCCTGACAGTCTCCTTACCTGCTTCTTCCTAGGTGTGAGCAACAAGCTACAATTTCTACATCACTTTTCACTCAACACCCAAGACCTCGACTTACCAAATTACCACACACAGGGTTAGACACACACATACTGTTTTATTCCTTTTTTGTGTGTGTTATAGGAAATGAATACACTGAGCTTTTTGCAGTGAAATCGATTTTTGTAGGATGTAGAGAAGAACAATGTTTGCTGGGTAAGCTCAGTTATTTGCAACAATTTCTATCATTTATGGCTTCTTGGAGGAACTCAGAGCACTCCCAGGGAGGCAGCAATTGCTTTTTCCTGATGCACATGAAGAAATACTGTAAGTGCTGTGCACATCCAACATCCCTAAAACCTCCTGAGATGCAAAAAGGACAAAGGCAATCATTTTCAGCCTAACTGACACATAGGATTGAAAATTTGTTGTTTTGATCTTGAATACTTTAAATTAATTTATTTAATTCTTCTTTGTGAGTTAACATACCCTGTTAGAAGCACAGTAACACAATAGTTTCTCACCTCACAGGTATGTGTGTAGGCATCCATATGGATGTGTGCATGGAAAACACCAACAGCATTTTCACCTCTCCTTGACCTGAAGGCTCATGGCTTTATAAATGGTCTTCACTTGCAGGTATATGTTCTTTGCTAATCTTCTTGCCTGGTTCTTTCTCAGTTTATTTCCCCATGCTCTTAGTCTTCCCTGCTTCATTCCTTTGTTTTAATTTTCCCTTATCTGGTTGTGCTGGGAAGCAGTGTTCCTGTCTTCCAATATACAATCATTAGGTTATTAGTCATTAGTCATCAAGCTGTTGCTTGAATTTTTAATAGCTTTTCTGAGATTGCTTCAGCTGTCTGGGGCGTCTGAACCTCCCTCTTCCTACCCAACAGTTCCCACAACTCTGCACAGCAGTTAGTTGCCTGTGTGGTTTTAAAAGGCTGATATTTTTTTCAAGTCTATCTTGGTATTCTTTCACATCCTAACTAAATTTTCTACAACTATTCCAGCTAGTCTTCTTTTGTAAGTAAACCACCTTATTCATGTGGACTATCCTGACCAGAAACCTACTGTAGACATAAAAACCTTCAATTTGCTTGAGCTCCTTCCCTTCCATTGTGATTTTCACGTCTTGTTCCTCATAAGCAGCCCTAAGTATATTGTACCTTAAAGCTTTTATAGATTTTAATTCCCATTCTTTAAGCCAGTGAATTTAACAGCCTTATTTATGGTCCTTTACCTAAAGCTGAGACTTAAAGGGATTTTAGAATACATCAGATGATGCACACAAACACACTGACCCAGCTTTAGGCTGCCAGTGATAAAACACTGTCCCTGTAGGAACAGGACCTACCTGTGGAGCACCTCGGGCTTCCAGTGTCACAATCAGCCTTCAAGTGCCTCCTGAAGCCTCTTACCTGCAATTGATCTGAGGGAGAGACTTCCAGAGAGACAAGGCTCTGCAGCTCCTGAGTCAACATCCTCACCAGCTCAACAATTATTCACTTACGAAGTGTTTAAAAGGGATAAATACGTAAAACCATTTCAAGGATAATGAAGTGGGGACTGAGCACACCTGCAGTAACCATTTATGATCCTGCCCGACACCACTTTGGTGAGAGCTTTCCAGTGCTTGGCTTCTCCTTCCACTGGAGCTCCCAGTAAAATGACGTCTTCAATGATCCCCTGGGAGTCTGTGAAGTGAAAGCAGAACAGCTCAGATTTAAAAGGTAGATCAGAAAATATTTTTACATGAAGGAAGGGTGTGTTCAGATGTGAAGTCCAGAAAAATCGTCCTTTCTGTAGTTTCAATTTGAAGGACAGAAACAACGGAAAGGAGGATCATAAATAAAACTTTGCACAAATGCTAAATGTCTGAAGTTCAGCAGGAGTCAGTAAATGTGAAAAATAGAGATCCTGAGGCAGTGAAAAGGACCAGGCTGATGGCAGGAGGGAGAAGAGATGCTGCTCAAGCAGCAAACATCTGGAAAAGTTTGGAAACCTCGGGAAAGTTCTTTTTGCAGACCCACTGATCTGAGTTTGCACAGAGCTTTGAAACAGGTGACATCCCACAGAGTGATCATGTTATCATACATGAAGGATGATAAACCCTTCCCACAACCAGTCCTTAGAGCTGAGTCCATGAAAAACATGACATGCACATGTAAGAGAAAATTCCAAATTCTTAATATTGATTAGGAAGTAGCAAAAATGGAGGCCTTTGCCAATACAAGTGATGATTTAGTAAACTGTTTCAATTTCCTTGTGCTGTAACCTGAATGCCCAGGGCAGGATTTGGTGAACAGCAGTGTTGACTTTTAAGCATAATAAATCTTCCTCACTTATCAGAGAGCAGCAGCCAGGCAATTCCAGAAGAAATAATGATGGAATGAGAAATATTGGGCAGCTCTGCTACTTTCCTAAACTCCTGGACAATATATCAGTGCCTTTCATAAATCTTTGTGAAGAGAAATGAAGCTCCTGATGTCACAGCAGCTAAATGGAAGACTCATGGGCATAATATTCCAAATTCATACTCTGCACTTGTGGGAGGCCAGGCCCTAGAAGACCTGAGCTAAACCAAATGTTTGAGAGAGAGGCACTGCCTGGCTGGACTTTTAAAACGAAAATCACTTGGTTTCCTTTCCCTGAGAGCAGTAAAGGACTGGAGCTCCCTACAGCGCCTGCTCCTTCTGCACAGTGTAAATCCTAGTGCCTGACAGCAAAATCCAAACGAGCTCTCCTGGAATTAGTCCTTATTGCAAAGGAAATTTTGCACCGATGGAAAAGAGCAAAGAGCAATTCAATTTTGTTAGTGTAATCTGTGTGAGCAATAAAGTCCTGTTCCCGTAATCATGGGCAATCAAAAGGAAACCCAGAGCCTTCCTAACGGGAAGCTTGTTCCTAACAAGGTACTAAATTCTACGGCCACACAGTGAGCCAACTGAATAAACAAACAGCTAATTCATCAGGATTATTTGGGGAAGGTATTGGAAGCTTTTGTTTCTCCAGTCCTTTGTACAGCTTATTTCTTGCTCAGAACAAAAAATGTTTAGGTTTCGCTGAAAAATACTCATTTTATTTGAATATTGACAGAAGAGGACAGAAACCTGGGAACAGATCACTGGCCTGCAAAGTTGCTGAGGCTCGAGATAAATTAAATGTATTTCACAGTTTGCAAATCTTTTAGATGATGAAGAAGAATAAAGTCTGCATAAGCAGGGAAAAACCCCTAATTCATTAACCATTTAGCATTATAGAGAGTCACTATTTAATATGGAGCTTTATATAGAAAAATGTACAATAAAGTCCAAAAAGGTGGGAGCAGAGCAAGAATGATGGGCCAAAATTAAATCCTGATTAAGGTGATTTTTCCAGAAAAAGTGTGGAAGGAAGAAGCTGAACCAGAGGCCTGGCGGGCTTTGCTGTGCCATAGGGATACAACTCACTGGGAAAGGGAAAGCACTTCACTGTGTTAGTCCTGACTGAAAGGAGATCAGGGCTGGAATTCAACCTGTTACAGATGCAGAGCCAGGTCAGTGTTCCAGGGCAGAGTCTGTCAGCAGCATTCCCGACACCTGACCACAGCAGGGATCACAGCCCAGCGGGATAGTGGTCACAGGAGCTGTGATCAGTACCAGATAAATCCCCAGTGTGTGACACCTCATCCCTGTCACACACGGTTGGGTTTCAAGCTTCAGGGTCTGGTGGTAACAGCCATTATCAGTTTGCATTAGTTTGCTAATTGTTAATTATTGAAATACATGGGAATCATGACAAAGAAATCAGGGCAGGGGTCTTCCCACACAGTAACGTGTCTCTCATGGCTCATTTACTCTATCTTCTGCTACAATGTCATTTTTTGGAAACCTGCTGAGCTCTGGCTCCCAAAGTCACCTGTGATGAAGTATCCCAAAGGTTATTCCACTGCTTTGCAGAGAAGCATTTGAACAGAATTTGAGTTCCTGCCATGGTGTTTCACTGGCTAATCCATCATTAGTTATTTGTCCTCAGAAATGCCACTGCCATCTGGATGCAAAGCCCTGCGTGATGAGGCCGTGTGTTTGTGTGAGACATCCAAGGCCAAACCCAAATCAGTCTCAGCTGTCCCAGGTCCCAGCTCCATTCCTTCTGTGGCTTCTCTGGAATGTGTCTTGAGGAAGGCCTTGGCAATCTGTACTTAACATGCTGCTTTTCATCTCACAAACAGCTCAGATTTCAGAATTCAATTACGGAACTGAAAAATCAGAGTAGGGTGGGAGCTGCTCTGATACATCACTATGATGCTCCGACTTCTTTGGAGTGGCAGCCAACCTTCCAACCCCTAAGGATTTCCTCCCATGGATTACTTAGCAACAGGCTATTATATTCCAGACTTAAATAAAAACCTGAAAATATCCCAGCCTCTGGCATTCTCAGGACACAAAAAGTGTAGATCTAGGGCCAGATTAGGATCTGGGTGCTGGCTCCGGTGTAACTCCATTAGGATCATTCTGGATTTGATTAGATTTATTTTGAGAATAGAATTCCTGTATCTGAGGACTTCCATCCTAAACCAGAAGTGAAGTTCTGGTACAAAGCTGTCAGTGCTGACCTCTCCATCCTCACCTGACTCTGTTCCCACTTTTTAGACTTCACTGCACATTTTCCTTTATAAAGCTCCTTATTTACTAGTAATTATCTGTGAGGATAAATGGTTAATGAGTTAAATTGCTGCGTGGGGGGAAGACAGGCACACACTCACTGCTGACTCAAGCCCAAGATACAATTTCCATCAACTGATCATAATGATTTTACTCTCTTTTTCTCTAAATTAAAAATAGAATCTATTAATAAACAGAACCACAATGGGTAATAAATTGACAGATGGTTTTATACTTGACTTTGTGGAAAAATTACCATGAAAATAGCAGATGACAGAGGCATTTCAGTGACTTAAATGGAAGGGAGGACTCAGAGAATCAGATAAAGAGCTGCAGAGAGATCCCAAGAAAGGCAAAGCATCCTCTGCCGAGACCACAGCAGTATGTGGGCAGCTCCAGGCTGATCCAAATGTCCAGTTGTTGTTTATCAGGCCAGACTGACCCACTGGAGCACCTCAAATGAAGGCAGAGGATTTAATCCGCTGAACTGGGGGAAATGACAACAGAATTTGGCTCCAAAGGCATTTCAAAACCATTTTTTAAAGATTTTTGTCCTTTCCTAAAAGAGCCAAGCTCTCTTCCAGAAAAACTCTTCCTCTTGGAAGAAAAACTTCTCTATCAGCAGTAAGAAAAATAAAGGAGAAAAAGGTTATAAGGTGAATTTTACCTTTCTCTTGAGCCATTTCCTGCAGGCAGAAGTAAATGACTCTTGCACCCAGACTGAAGCCAATCAGTGTGACAGGTCTCTTCCCCTGAGAAAGAAAAAAGGAGAGAAATCCATCAAATTCTGCTCTAGATCTGGAGAGACTGGTCTTGGGGTCCCTGAGAACCTGAGACACAGAGCACCGACTTGTCCATCATCTTTGAAACATCTGAGCAATTTGGTTGGTTTCAAAGGGATTATGTCCAGTTCAATATGGAGGATTTTGCATATCTGAGTATTTTGTATGATTTGATCTTCAGAAAATCAATTGAAAGAATCTAATGATTAGAACTTACAACAAAGCAGCTCTTTCAAGCAGAACCAAATCAGATGCTGTCATTGGTTTGAAATTTCCAAATGAAAACCTAACTCAAGGAGCAGAATTTTCCTAAAAATGTTTTAATAAACAGAAGAAGCAGCTGTAATACAAAAAATATCGACCACTTCCAGATTTCAGACTGAGTGACAGCAGCACCATGTGATAGTTATAAAAAATGATGTGAGTTTTAAGCTTTAAGCTTTTATTTTGAATAGCCTAATAAGATTTTCTGTAAGATCAAAGGGAGCCTAATCTTAACATAAATGAGAAATGGTCGTTGTGATATCCAGGGAGCAGGTGTGCAATGGACACCTTACACATCACACTAACTAGTTTTATACTCTCCAGCTCGCTGGAATGTGTGTTTTCACAACAGCAAATGCTTAACATGCAGTAACAAATGCCCCTGAGCAAGACAAAGGGCAAAATAAAGTTTATTGGCTTTCCTGGGATAGGATTTTTATGAGGAATCAAGTTTGTTTCTACTCTGCTATTCCACATTGTTGTGACACACAGCTCTGGTGCCACAGCTCCCTTCCGGTTCCTCTACATCAGTATGGATCAGTGTGAGATGAACATACAGCCAGCAAAAACCAGTGCTAGCCTGGAAAATGATGGCAGGTTTTTGGGGAGCAGAAATGTCTCTTTTCAAGCCTTTTCAGGGTGATTTAATAGCTTCTGTCACTTCTTTCAGATACCACCCCGTTCCACATCTCTGAAGCAAAGCTTACAGGGCATTGGCTGCCACACACTTTTCTCTCAGGTTGCTTTGCTGCTGCCTCTTAATGATCAATGAATATTTTTAACACTCTGTGTTCTCCTCTACTTTTCACCTATCCTTACTTCCTACTCTCCAAATTCCACCAGGGGAGTGGGCATAGCTGTGTTGTGACTCGGTCAAGCCACTAGTCATTTACGACTTGGATCTCTTCTTCCTCATTTAGAAAAGCTTTAGGTTAAATGGAACAAATCTCAGCAGGATTTCTCTGATTCACTTAGGACTTCCTCTTTTCCCCAATACCAGATACCGTCCTGCAGCACTCTTTAAGTTTTTTATTAATTTTTGTCTCCCTGGAACAATACCACTTGACAGTTAACTAGTGTGACTATGAAACTTCACCTCCATGGGCCAATTCCCTTCCAACCCTTATTCCTGGGTAATTTCTGGACAATTACCTGCTGTCGACTGAGCATGATATGTGCAAGGTGCTTGCCTACTTCAGCAGACCGGTGCAGACACACTCCCCAGGGGTTGTCAATGACACTGGCAACAGTCAGGAGCGAAGTTGGCCACGTCAAGGCCGTCACAATCCCTGCAACACACAGAGGTTTCTTAGAAAACATCAAAAGCAAGAGAGTTCACTGAAGTTAAAAGTTGAGCCTAGGAGCTTTTCTCATTTCCAGTTCTTCTTTTCAAGAGCTGAGCTGAGAAATGCTTTGCTGGACTGAAGATAAGGAAGAATCTGATGTTCTGATACAGACGCTGTGAGTGAGTGCAACCTGCGTGTTGGGGAGGCTTATGTACAGCAGTAAAGTGGTCTAATAACGTAGAGAAGTGAACAGTCTCACGTGAAGGAAGGTGTTTCCAGCTGTAATTTCAACAAAATGAGTCACTGATGTGGTGGCTCAGCAATCCAGGAAAGCACAGCTAAATTACAGGTGTGGTACAGGAGGTTCTCAGGTCACTCCTGCAGGGTGGTGCCAACACTGCCTCCTCCAAAATATTCCTTCTTTAGAAAAGCTCCTCTCACAGGGGAACTGCACAAGAGCCACTCAAGCAGATCTGGTATGATTTAAGTTCTTACCTGACAAGACAGTGAATTTTAGGGCTTCTTGAGCCATCATGTTCACAAAACCATTCAGCAGGGAATCCAAGGCATTGCCAAGCTCCATCAAGTACTTGGATTCCCAGGCCAGGCAGTACTGCTCACTCGACTGCAACATGCTGCTCCATGGTGCTGTGAAGCTCCCTGGGAAAGGTTGCAAAGATGGAATTCATGTTTAGATCGAACACAAGAACAGCTGACTCCTGGCAAGAGGAGCCCAGCAGAGAATCAGAACAAAACCCGCAGGACATTGGAATATTCTGGCAATGTTGTTAATGGCAGATCAACACTGAAGGGCAGAGCAGAACTATCATCTTACTTAGCTAAAACCCTTCCCACACTGTTCCTTCCCCAAATGATACAGGGTAGGTTGAGGCAGCTGCTGATCGAAGTGGAACAAGAGCCCCACAATGGGCTGTGAGATTTGGAAACGCGCAGATGGGCAGCTACTTGCAGCTCCAAAATCACAAGGTGGAAAATTCCATAAAATTCCTGTCCTCAGTCCCTCTGTTTAAAGGACTATGTTCATAGACAGACACTGCTGCAAAGAGGAAAAAGGATGACAGTTTAGTTTTGCCCTTTAAAACATTCTAGCAGATTGCTAGTTATGGAAGGAGAATGTGTGTCATCCGTAACTCCCTTTTAAGGGCAAACAGATACGAAAAGGTTCCTGGAGGTACACACTTGCCTCTCTAACAGTGCCTGGGAGCCCTCCAGCCCTGAGGATTTGGACCCCTGGCAAGCAGACAACGAGAGAAGCCAAAACACAGCACTGTTAGTGAAAATAACCTCCCTATGACAGCAAAGCTGCACCCTGACAAGTGACAGGGCAGAGACATCCTGCTGCATTAATGATACCCAGTTTAATTATGATGCTTCTCAATAAATTGGCAGCTGTTCGGTCAGGTTGCTGAACACATTGGCAGACAGGTGACATATTTTTTATGACAAGCTATACTGGAAAATAAAACACTACAGACCTTTCAAGGTCGCTGCCTGGAAGTCACCTTTGAGTGCTGTGCTTAACAGGATTTACTTGGCAAAACTTTCTTGCCAATAAACCTCGTTAGTTGCCTGATACAGAGACAAAAACCACACTATTTTCTGTTAATTGCTGAAGGATAAACATAGGGTCTCAGAGACGCTTGGTCCTAGTGCTGGAAATCTTCTCCCAGACAGACCTTTCCTAGCAAACCATGCAACAGTTATTAACAGAAACAATCCTATCACTACCAACTCCCTGCCCTCTCTCTTTCCTCCGTTTCCCTGGGATTGCAGATTGGTTTACAAAGTCTTACAGTGAAAATTGATGTGGTTTAGTTACCAGGTCATGGAAATGTGGGGTAGACATGGTGCTTTGTGGGCACAAACATAGCCTGGACTGGGACACAGTCCCATCTTTCCAGGTTCCTCTCAGTTTCCTCACCATGTTCTTACCATATTTGCCAGCACACAGCCATCCAGTAATTGCTATGGTGATATGAAGTTGCTTCCCTTCAGTAAGTGGGAGGAATTCAAACTCTTCTATGGCTCCCACACGTTTTTTCATCTTGTATCCTACACACAGCCAGGCAGAAACACACGGCTCAGAAACGGCACAGCGAGGGCACACTCTGCTAACAGCAGAAGTTCCTAAGAAATTAACTGGGTAATTTGGAGAGGGTATTTTTCCTTTCCAAAACCCCCAGCCAGTTTGTGCATTACTTCAAGCTCGGTAAGGAGCCAACATGATCCTTCTGAGCTTGTGTGATCTGAAGGAATCCAGCAGGAGGGTTTTTCTGCTGTAACAGCTGCTGGTGTCCATGGTAGCATCTTTCTAACCCAAAGCAACAAGCCTTAATTTCTTTCATTAACCACACACAAAATATTCTTTCCCTATTTGCTCACCAGGAGCCACACAGTACCTTAATCAGCACCGAAATAAAAATTTCCCAGTTAAGACAACACCTGAAATCACTTCCCTTGCTCTGCAGAGCTCAGTGAAGTCATTAACTGTGCATTATCAGACATGATCCTGTGCCTTAGTGGCTAAGAACTATGTGGTCACTCTTACCAGTAAGACCAGCTCCTGCTGCTCCAAAAAGGGATGCCATGACAGCAATCCCAGCAGTCGATCCCAAAGCAGCTGCTCCAGCACTCCCAATGATTGTGGCAGCTCCTGCAGCAACCAGAGGGGCAGCCAGACCCCCTGTCAAACCTGAGGAGGAAACAAGGGATGTCACCAAACTATTATCCCGTACAAAGCCCAGGCAAGCAGTTCCCTGTGCTAGGTGGGTGCTGCTAATGCTACTGGAAGAGCACAAACAATGGGCTTTTTGCATCCCCAATAAAGGGGCTTTGTGAGACTCTCCCCAGGCCCTGAATCTCTGCCCAAATTCTTTGACTTAAGTAAAAATGAAGAACAACTTCAAAGGCAAAAGAAGACTGTGTGGTACCCCGGGGTAAGCTGCGCCCTATTTTCTCGGGAAACACTGATCTAATCACTTTTGATTTGGGAGTTGAAGATCTGATCCTCTTATAACAGGAGAGCAAAAGAGGAGAAAACATTTTTAAGGGTGACCACCTCAGTTTAATATTTCCCCCAGCCAGTGAAGCTACACTGGAATAATTTTTCCAGCTAATTCTTTCAGTTTTATTTTCAAGTGGCTGAAAATACTTTTCTTGGATTCAGACCTGCCCTGTCCCTTGTGCTGTGTCCCCAGAACACGAAGGGCAGCCTCACCTATCACTGTTCCACCACCAACGGTTGCCAGACCGATCAGCAGGTACCTCTTCAGCTTTTTCCTTCTTTCCTTCTTTTTTCTTGAGACTTCTGTGGTTCTGTGGAGAGATTAGAAGCACAAAAACTGAGGGAAAAGCCTGATGGATAATTTTGCATCAGAATCTGCTTTTATTCTCCTCAGTGTGATTTCCCTCCTGGGAACAGTAAAAAGGAACATGCAGGTGTGGGGAGTGTGACAACACACTGAGATTTATGAGCATGGATTTAGAAATTTAAATTGAATTGATTAAATGGACCACAGGTTTAAACTGAAACAATTTAATTGCTGACAAAAGCCAACAGATGTTACTTACTTGGAAAACCCTTCCTAATAGGGCTGAAGCTTGTAAAAAAAAAAGAAACAAAAAGTCAAAAGCATTTCATTAACTATACGCTGCCTACATGTCCTAAAAAACCACAGGAAAGCTAAGGAGAAACAGGGAAAAGTGTTTGAAACAAAAGGGAATAGAGGTAATTTGTGCTAACAGAGATGCAATTAAACTATTTTCCAACAACAGTGTTTATATCAAGCTGCTTTCTAATTGCACATGGCAATATAATAATATAATAGGAATTAAACACAGTGATTAGTTCATTTGTCTGTGTGTATTTAAGCTATATTTTAATGAGCCTATAAGAAGGAGGTAAATAAACCTAAAAGGAACAAATATCACTTATCAGCCACTACTTTTGACTTCTCTCCACTGTCTTTGCTTTCTCTCTTATGAGAAATGTTTCAACTTCAGAGGAAAGCGGGAGAAACAGAGGATACTGGAATAAGTTGTTTGCAGAGGAAGGTTCCTTCTAGTGGTTAATCCAGGCCTTGAAACGTGAAAATTTATCTTGCTTCCAAAATTGGATATTTTCCCTGTTAATCCCAGCCTAATTGTGGATATTCATTATCCATATAATTGCCTAATCCTTCCTGGAACCCCGTAAGCACACTGTTATTTTGATAAAGACAATTTTACATGAGTCCCAAACAATATGTGGCTTTGTGAAACACAGCAGGAGGGGAATGGAGCTCAGTGGGTGAAATCCCTGAGTCACTGGAGTCGCTGGCAGAACTCCCACGGATTTCCATGGCACGGAGACTTTGTCTCCACAGATATCCTCAAAAAAAACCATTGCGTGTTACCTTTCACAGCTGCAAACGCAGTGTCTGCAGAGCACAACCTCTCCAGCAATTTCTGTATGACCATGGTGGACAAAATGTTGTTTGGCCTTCAGAGAATTGCAGAATCATTTAGTTTGGAAAAGCCCTCCCTGTCCATCGAGTCCACCCTGTGCCCCATCCCCACCTTGTCACCCAGCCCAGAGCACTGAGTGCCACATCCAGTTGTTCCTGGGATACCTCCAGAGGTGGGGACTCCTCCACCTCCCTGGGCAGCCCTTTCCAATGCCTGACCACCCTTTCCAGGAAGAAATTCCTCTGATGTCCAACCTGAACCTCCCCTGGCACAGCTTGAGGCCATTTCCTCTCATCCTGTCAAATGCCCTACTCTGAGCCTCAGTCACCAATCTGAATGCCTGGCTTTGGATAAAACTGCTCCTGGAGTTGTTTACACGAGTGCTGCAGTTGCACTGTCCACACCTAAGCTGGCAATACCCAGCAATTTCTGTTCTACATGGGGTTCATCAGCTTTTACAGTCACTCTGCTGTGTCTCGGGCTGAAAATAATGATCGTCAGAGACCTGGAATATGTCTATCCTGGATTCAGTTATAATAATGAGTAGTTTGAGTTATGTGGGAAGAGAGACAGCGGCAGCTAAATCCTGCCTGGTGATTCAGTAAATGAAACTACTGTCAGGAGAAGTTTTACCTGTCACTGCTTCCCTTCTGGAGCTGCCAGAAATGTGTCTGACAGCTGCTTCCTAATGGCTTCTCCATCAGCATTATCACTGGATTACCAGACTGCTTTTATCCACTGTGGTAATTAACTGCCACTTCTGGTACTTCTCTACCCTCAGTGAGCTCAGATGTGCAGCTTCTTGACTGAACCACAAATTATGTTCTGAGAGGTTGTTTAATGGTCATCTTGCAATAAGGAAAAGTGGCAGGAGTACACGTTAACAAGCAACTGATCTGATGTTTTCCAGCTTCTTACAGAACTGCGTACAAAAGAAAGGTTCATACCTGCAGGTCAGAATGTGTTTGGTGCAAGTTACATGGATTTAAGTGGTTGGAGCATTGTTCTGTAGAGGGTTGTATATTTAATCTTGCAAGTTCCAGGCCTCAATCCAACACATCCACAGCAGCAAAGGCAGGAGCAAACTCTCCCATAAACAAATACCAGTAAAAACCCCTATGCAGGGGCTGCCAAACCCCTATTTGGTTGTTTCTGTTCCAGTGGATGGTCAAAACTGAAGCATCCCAAGCGCAGATTGGTATTCCCAGCCCCAAAAATCTGTGAGGTCATGGTGGTGACTGGTTTCTATTCTGCTTCCTTTCCCCATTGACTTCTGATTTTAAACCAAACAAAGGGTCATCTATTCCCCACAAATCTCAGCCCTGGTTTAGCACTGCAGTAACGAACGTGTTCACACCACAGTCTTGGACTCCTCTTACTATAAAGATTTTTCTTTTTCCTCTCATCTAATATTTACTTCCATGGCTGTGATTTGGGCAAAGAACAAGATTGAAATCCATGGCTTTCTCCACAGCAGACACACAGGAACCCCACTGGGCTGGTGGCAGAGTTTGAAAGCCACACTGTTCATATGGAACATAATTCTCTCCCCATTATGAGACACAGCTTAAAGGCCCAGGACTGAGTCTATTTTCACAAGCCACAGCAAAACAGCCCCCACTAATATCCTAACCCTTGCTCCTGCATGCCAAGTATTTAGCAGTCCATGATCCTTGAGATTATTTTGACTTTCCCTTTTTACACTGTGCTATAAAGTTAAGCTTTATTTAAATACAGCTATACATAAAAGATACCCATCACATGCTGGACCCTACGGTAACATCTGAGGTGGACCATGTCACGGGTGTCGATTAAAGCCTTCATTAGCACTCAGGTTAACCTCATAACCCTTTTGCTGAGTTGACAGATAGGAATATTTCCCTGGAAAGTCCACTATGGACATTTTTACTGCCTTAGATATTGCTAAACTGTCACACAATTCCTGCCTGATAAGCAGAATATAAAGATACTACATTTCTTACATATATCAACTTTTCGGCTGTGTCATATCTAAGAAGCGGTGATTAAGAGAATTAATCTTATATCAATAACACAGAATTAGGATTTGGGTCCGTACATATCTGAAGATACAGACTGTTGTCCTCAGAAATCTCCCTTCAGTAGGAGTTATCCAGTTGTGTCTTAAACGGGCACAGAAATGGACAGATCCACAGCAAATGAGCAGCTGAGGGTCTAATCCTGATATTTATAGGAACTTCATTCTGCAAGGGGCAGTCCTCTCTGCAGGATATTGGGCAAGAGATAAGAGACACAAGATCTTTGTGATGGATTTAAGCAAAATCTACCATGTCTGAAAGGCAACTGGAACAAGGAAAGGAGTCAGTTCAGTATGGAGCAGCTTCTACCACCTCGCAAGGCTGGATCTCAGCTGATTTTAAGAATGGTGAGCTTTCCTGCTTCTCAGTGCTGTGAGGGGGCTGTAACCCTAATCAAGCCATAAATGATTACAGTAAGAGCCATAGGGGGAATAATCAGACACTGGACTTAGGCACAAGTAATTACTGCTAAGCTTTTGAGCACTGGCAGCATTTTTTGATCCCACAGTCAACCCAAATGTTCTTACTCTGACTCTTCCTCTTTTTGTTCCTTCAGGCTCTCAAGCAGAGATTCCTCCAGGACTTCCAGCTCCTCCAAGGGGATTCTCAGCAGCAGGCTGATGTGGCATATCAATACCCTGGCTCGAGCATCGTAGTACCCTTGAACAGAGGGAAGCCCAGGAAATCAGTCAGTCTGATCACACCAGATTAAACAGTGAGCAGAGCACTCAGCTGGGCTGGAGGAACATGTCACAGACAAGCTTGGCTTTTTCTCCCAGGTGCTTTTCTTTTTCCATGTATTGAAACCTGAGAAGAGAGCAATAAATGGAAAATCCTTCTTCCCTGAGAATAGAGACACCACATCAGGTAATGCCTCTATGGCAGGAAAAGGATCTCAAATCCTTCTGTCTCCATCCTCTGTGACAGAGGCCTTTTGGCTCTGGAAAAGGTGCATCTTCTCAACAGAGAAATGCTGCAGCACAACCAGTGCTAACTGGAAATATCAAACATATCCATATGGGTAACTGGACACAGCACACCCTGACTGCACCAACGCAAGAGGTAGCATTTTGTAAAAATGCACCTCCATGTAAAAGCTTCATATTCAATTCATCTTGTTGACAACTTACTCTGGAGTGTAAAACTACACACCAGCTCCCCCAGCAGCACTACTGACAATTGCTTGCTTTTTTACTCCCTGTTGCAAATGGAGGAGTGGACATTGAACTCAGACAACACCAGAGAGCAGAACTTATTACTTCTGGGCTTGTAGGCAGGTGTTCTTCAGGAAAAGACATGTTAAATGTAATAGATTTTATATTATTTGTGCCAATTCTTACTATTTTAATGTGCTTCTCTCAGCAGCACCTGCTGCTTCCTGATGTTTGGCTTTTGTAAAGGGTTCTTGGTGCACTCTGGGATGAAAAACACAAGACCCAACTACAAAGGATGTTTGTGATACCCACTGCACGTAGATCAAATATGGCATTGGGCAATCTATTAAGTTTGTTTATTTATTATCATCATTACCAAGATACCAAACTCATTCAGTAGCCTTTAATGACACCACTCGTTAGATTTATGCTTAGTTGAGAAATAAGGATTGGATTTATCTTCATTCCTTCACGATATTTGCCACGTCCTGCAAGTCCAAGCAGGTGTTTTAACAAGTCCCTTTCTTGTTTCCTGCCTGCTAAAACACTACTGAGCTCCTTCAGAGGCACTAAGTCAGTGAGACTTGGAGATATATTTCTATTAAATTCCAGCTTAGCAAAATAAGAAGTTTTGCAATAACTGATTTGTCAATTTTCCATTAAAAATAAAGCAAGAAAGAACAAAACCTGTTTTGTTCTATTTCACTGTTCTACAGTGCAACAGGCTGATCAGTTTTTTCTTGTGAGAACATGTTAAAACACAGAGATTTAAAAAATGCAAGCAGTGATAGAAACCAGGCTTCTTTTAGAAATGAACATTTTGTTCAGTGGGCAGTCTTTATTTCATTAATTTTATCAGACCAATCCATGTTATGGACTGCAAACCAGAAAATTGTTTTATGTGTAATATAATATATGAGTAAAATCCCATTTATTTATAATGGGTTTCACAGGACACTCTGGAATTTATACCCTGATTTTTTTTTTTTTTTTTTCATTTTAGGCAACAAGCAGAAAATTTGTTAGGCTGAGATTTTCATAGCAGCTTTACTGCCTTCCTAAAGGAAGAGGTCACCTGCTTCCCTGGAACCACTGGAGAAAACCCACCTCACTCCACCATTACTTTACATCTGTTTGCATGTGAAGGTAAGGAGGTGAATAGTTGTTCACTTTTCAATGGGTATTATTAACCATTCCTAATAGTTGTTTTTGAGGGGGATGCAGGGAAGGAGTGTGCTGCTTTTGTCAGAGAGGAAGCTGAGATGAAATAGGGTGGCACCATGAGCTTTTTGAGCTTTTTAAAGTGTCAGATATAAACTCATCTATATTATCTTTACAAAGAACAAATGCTAAGTTAAACTTACCATCTCGAAGAGAGAAAGATAAAAGGTCCTAAAAATAAATAAAAAAAAATATTCAAGTTAAAACTGATGATGAAGGCCTGGAGGGATCAAAACAGAGGCATGAAAACCCATCGGACTGATTTAATTACTGAAGCATCTCAGTTCATAAACATGGGAAGCCAGAAAGTTACAATTCAGTGAGGCAACACAGAGCAAAACCAGTATAAAATTCTCCAAAGGCCAGTACAAAGAGCTGGACAGAAGTAGACAATGCTTGGTATAGCTGAAACATTCCATACTTTTGTTATTAATTATCCTGATCTTACACCAGACTTCCAAGTTTGGAGAAACAGGGCTCTAATCCTCCCTCCCCAATGCCTTCTGCTCCCTATACACTCAAATATACTCACATTTTCAACATGAGTAACGGGTTTGAATGTTCCTCTAATGGACCATTGGCCCCTTTTTTCTTCGGCATTCTGAGAATTCATAGCTCTAGGCTGTAAGGCTGAACCAGCATAAAGTTCTTTTGGATTAAGTGCCCACATAGGAAACTCAAAATTTATGGCCCTCTGTCAAGATGGAGGGATTTGACTTCTGTGTTGGCTCTTCAGCATAAAAATACAGAAAAAATCAATTCAATGCATAGTTTCTGTGGATAAATCCATGAAAAAGAGGGAAGTGTTTTTACTACTGTGTTCTCTTCTTTTATTGCCACTGGAAAAATTTTAAGGTCTTTATGTGACTACACTAAGCACTAGCTCAGTGTAGCTGCTTCCCTCTCCTACACACAAATACAGCACAGCTGAATTTTACAGGGAATCCTTCAGCCCTCTGGGAATGCAAAAAAAATCAGCCAAAGATGTAGGAGGCTGCCAAAGAGTTTATGATTATTAATCCCCTAAGATCCTAAATACAATTTACATCATAAAACCATCTCTAATCTGAAAGTTCTACACATGAGAAATGTAGAATGGAGAACAAACTATCCTTAATCAAGTAGAGGGACAAACTGGACTGTTCCCCAGGACAGTTGGTGGGATTTGTAGGCAATAAACTCCCCCTGATTGAGGCACAGAGAGCTGTGGCTGTGACTCAGGTTCCAGTATCATCTGTGGCACTTCATATCAAACAAACTCAAATAAATCTGGCCTAAGCATATACACACGTGCATTTCAAAAGATCAGGAGTGCGCCCTGGTAATCAGGTGACAAACTGGAACTACTGTTTTTATGGCATCTGTGCCAATTGGCTTCTCAAATTCTCCACTTTAGGCTTTGCACGTACTGCACACGTAGGTAGCTGGAATCCAACCAGAATTGATTAGATTAGTTCACAAGTAGTTTGTTTTCCTCCTCTAAGCAGCAGTTATTATAATTCAGTCTTATTTTGAAGTTGGTGTTTTGAATCTCCCCGCAAACTCCATGCACAAGACAACACCCACACGATTGAGAAGCCTCTCAAAGAAAGGGAAGCACCCTTTATTCAGTCCTTGTCAGCTTCTTCTGAGTTGCTGCAAGTTCAAAACCCATTTCCTCAACAACAGAGAGCACCGGATCCACATCACAGTGGATGTGTCTGGAAAACCACAGAAAATGGGCATTCTAAGTATGTTCAGAGCAAAAAAACCCATTCATAACAAGAATGTTCAGTGTTTTAACACCTATCAATGCTTTTTCACCTCCCTTATTGCATTGCCTTCCCATACCACAGCCTGTTATGTCTACCGTCCTTTAAGGATTGTTACCAACATCTGCCTGTGTTAGTCATCTGCAATGAAGACAAAAATAACAATCCATAGTCCTCAGATATTCATTGAATCAAGGGTGAGCTCACCTCTATCTCCTGACTTCAGGATCATCCCTTCAGCTCCTTAGAGATGAAGGGCCTTCAAAAATGCAGCATTAATGCCAACAGGGCCAAGCCACCGATCATGCCAAGCAATTAAAGCAGATACTTAATAAATAAACAGTAAATATTGCATCAGCAGCAGCTGAATACAAACAAACACAAGCACCATAAAGGAACAGATCAATAATTCATAAAGCTTTGTCCCATGGCTTGCGTATTTTCAGGTCAGAAGGAAAAAGCTGATCTCAGCTTTTTACCAATGTTTCTCACACACCAGTGTGTTTTTACAAAAACACACTTTTGCTGCCTTGCTCTACTTAAGTCTTTAAGTCTGTTTTTCCTCAGATAAAAGTCAATCCTCTTGTCCATGTAGATTACTGTGTAAGGTATTGATGTTGGGGCATTAGACTGATATTTGTTCCTCATCTTTTCTTTCAGCTGATCAAAGAACTGTTATCTATGGTTTCTGTGTTCCGCTTGAATCCAGATGGTATCCCCAGTTTTCGCTCCTGCTGACCCAGAGCCACTTTTGTAAAAGCACATGGAGCCCTTATGCAACATAAGCTGTGAGCAAGCAAAAGCTAAATTTCACCTTTAACAAACTCAGCAGCCATGAAGGAAAACTTGTCTGCATCTAGGGAATCCATCCCGAAGCAGAGAGAATAAGGGAAACACACAAAGGCAGAAAGAACAACTGTAGGTGTATTGATTTTGAGCAAACAACATCAAAACAGGTGCTGTTATTTCAGAAGATCTGTCCTAAGTTATTAACTAAGCTTAGGATCTGTTGCTGTACTCATACTGTTATAGGACTTCGGGCACTGGAGCATTTGGATGTTTGGAGCAGATCTTCTTGTCATGGAAAGCATTGGGATAAATCAAACTCTTATTTTTTTTAGTATTAGAAAGTAGGCATTACTTTATTTCAGGGTGCATAGGGGATAGCTCCACCTACATGCACACAACTTTGAAAACTTCTCACTTATTTATACATTTTTAGCAAAGAAATTAATGTTAACTGGTTCTCAATTACATAATTCTCCTCATTAACTAGTATTTGGTCTTCTATTGGTTATTGATTTCTCACTTCTCATGCCAATTAGTCCACACTTTCAGTCTTTTTATTATCTTTTCCCAGATGGGGAGTTCCCAGCACATGATAAATTGTTTTTGTTAGTCTCTTCTTTATCTTCTGGTTACTTGGAGGGCCATAAATTTTGGATTCCAGGTGTCCAGTTTTCAGCTCCTCAGGCTTTGTTCACTGAGCATAACTTTAGCAGTTTAGCATAACTTAAAGTTTTGGTGATTTTTCCAATCTCACTCTAACAACACGAGCTGTGAAAAAAAACCCTAAGCTATGTGCTGGCTAAAGTTGGAAATTACACTGCTTATGAGTAATTAAAAGTTAATTAAGAAGTTAATTAAAACCATTAATTAGAAAAAATAATTAGGAAAGTTATATAATTTCCAACACTCTGAGGCATTTCATGGACTGACTAGGAAACAGGAAAGATGCCAAGGTAGTGGTAGCTGGTCATGGTGACCAAGAAAGTTCACTGCAATCATATCTTCCCTCACTCAGCCCTCTTCTCACATCCGTGGTTCTGTCAGGCCGTTGCTCATGGAGAGTGTGTGATAACCATTATCCAATCAATACCAGAGCACACAGCACGCAGGGTGTCTGGCACAGGGTGACACAGCACAGGGTGCCAGGTGACAGTGTCCATGTCCTGTGTGGCACCAGCAGCAGCCTTGTGCCCTCCTCACCCTGCACAGCACAACGTGAGGCTGGATCAGGAGAGATCTTCCCCAGCAAGTGAACGCTGCCCAAATGCTTCACCTCTTTTATCTTTACATTAGCTTTTACAGCAGAACATTATGGAGCAGTCCCAGTCTGACTCTCTCAGTGAGAAAAAATAAAGTCACAATAATTCCTTCTGGTCAAAGCTTCCTCTGGAAATTGTGCTCCTTGGAGAATGTTTTTTGCATTCTCCAAGGTATGGTGAAAGGGCTTTTAAACAAGTAAAAATCAGGTTTATCATGTTCAGTGTGCCACTAAAACCTGTAGAAAGCACATATGAATCAAAACCACTGCAATAATAGTCAAAAAGTTTGTCAGTTCTCTGCTCTGTAGAGTGAAACCATCAAAGACACAAAACATTAATGAGCAGAGAGTGACCTTGCCTTGTGTTTAATACTTCCATGAGCTCTTTATGGATAGAGAGACTGACAGTCCCCCCCTACAGCCACTCAGAAACAGATGCCTATCAGAAATACTGATTTTACTCCCCTGTCTGCACAAACAGCACTTCAGCTGCAAACAGACACCTATGATAAATCTCTTTTGCAAAGCAAACAAGAGCAAGGAGAACACATAGACGTACCTGGGTAATGACAGCTGGATTTTCTTCCAAGATGGGGTCCTTCAGCAAAATCTCAGTGAAAGATTCTGTGCCCTCACCTCCTAAGCCACCAGCAAAGGCTGTCATGGCAGGTAGGACAGCGTCGGGCAGGTCCAGCCATTTCACAAAGCCCTCAATAAATTCTGTCCTGAAGGAGCTGTAAAAGCAACAGGAGCAGCTAAGGCTTCACAACTGGGTATTTCAGGGCTCTACAACTGGGTATTTTTGGAAGCTTTGAGCAGTCCCTGGTTTCAAACTTTGGTCTGCTACTGTTCACACAAAAATCAAAGCATCAGAAGGAGTCAGCAGAAGGTGAATTGCTAAACAAACAAGGAAACAATCTGAATGGGGCCAGACCTTACTTCAGTACATGCTTTGATGTTAAAGGATGCGATGTGTGCTGAATTATAAAAGTCTTAACAGAAGTAAGAGAGAAAAGATCTTCCACTCCCCAAACTTTAGAAGACTCCCCACAGAGTCTGATACCAGCTCTGTTTGAGCTGCCACCCAAAATCCACCTCCCCTGCCCACTCCTTGCTCCCGCATGCAGTACCTTTGCTCGTTTTCAGGGAACAGCCAGGCAAGAGATACACCACAAAGTGCTGCATAGGCAAATCTTCCCAGCTCTCCCAGCTGCTGACCCAGGAGCACACATGGCTCTTTCTCCCCTGCCTGCTCAGCCTCCTTACGCTGTTTTGAAATCCAACCTTTCCACTTCTCTTCTGCAGCCATTTTCACCTGCAAGGTCAAAGAGGAAACAGCTGTAGAAAAAATCCAACAACGAACAGTTGGAAACCAGAGAGCAAAAAGACAATTGCCTTTGTTTTTTTTCACTGTCACACTTGCTGTCAGTATTAAATCAAGTTTGTCCAGGTCCATCTTGTATATCCCCTCCGCCCCCCAACACACTGCTGTGACCAAAGAAGACAAGAGGACACTTTCTGTTCACCAGTTCTCAAAAGTTTCGCACAAAATGAGCTGCCAATACTTCACACAGCAAAAGGAGAAGTTCCCTTCAAGATGCAAAGAGACTGGGCTCCATTCAGGCATACAATTCACACATTTAGTACAAAAATAACATGAAAGTAAAAGCTCTGCATCTGGTGCAGGGACCAGTACAGCTGCCTGGGAAATAATTTGCCTCTCTCATCTCAGCCCAAATTGTTCCTCTGTTTGTTTTGCTGACGGCATTAGGAAAGTTGAGTTCAACTGCAGCCCCTGAGAAGGCCTTTAATGTGTCCCATGGACATTGCTGTGCTTTGCTTGTAACATTCTCTCCTCTATTCAACCTGTCACTGCTTTTCCCCTAAAAATAAGGTCCCTGCACCACACGGACCTTGAGCTGGGCCAAAATATTATTGTTTTAGAGTGTAGATGTGCACATTTCCAACTGAAGGGCTTCCAGTGTTCCTCTAATGGTACCAGCAGCTGAGATGACTTACCTCAGACAAAGGTGACAACAGCTCATTTCACAACTCAACCTGGGTAACAACCTGCTCCAAAGATCACTTCCATCACTTGAAATTTTTACTGATTTCAATTGGTTTGTAAGGGGACCATATCACCTATTTCATTATATACTTCATATTTAAATGCTTCCTTTCTTCCACATCCTGACTAAATAGGAATGAGGAGCCTACGATACTACAGCCTACTCTCAGAGGATGCAGACACCATTTATGGATAGATTTAGAGTCCTAAAAGTCAGAAATGCAACAGGAGCAGCTCTTTTTAAAGAGATTTTATTATCTGCGTGCCATCTGTCATGGTCCTCCAGGAAAGGTGTCTGTCCTGCACTCCAGCTCAGAAATTTATTGGAGGTGATTTGTATTTCTCAAGGCTTGCACAGTTTAACTGCTGCTGTGTAAATGCAAGAAAAACTCATCACTGAAGGGCCGATGGTTATTGTAACTCACACCTCTTTCCCTGGGAGAGCTCAGCCCAACACACACTCCTGGTGCTGCCTCTGGCTCCAGCACATGGGGCTAGGGCATTTCCATGTGTTTCCATGAAAACATCACATTCTAGCACAAAATTCACAGGAATAAACTAACTGCTATTTCCAAATCAACCAGAGAAAGGAAGGGCCAGGTTATACTTCCCTGGGGAAAGCAGAGGCCTGGGATCAATCCCGGCCTGCCACACCCACTCCAGTACCAACCACACCACACACCAGTGTGGACACTCACTGAACCCCAGCTGTGAACATACCTTCAGCTTTCCAGGACTTGCTTATCCCAAGATTGTTCTATTAGCACAGGAGCTCCAAACGCTCCTCTATTGGACCCCGGAAATTCATCTCTCACTAGGCTCTGATCTTCCTAAAACATCCAAACTTTCAGACCAATTTTCCCAGGAATAATTCACTGCTAAAATCCCAGTAATTTTAAAACTACTTGGCATGTCTGCTCACCTCTGGACACGTTATGGGAAAGAGCATTGAAAATAAAATCCTCTTCCCTAAGACATTTATTGACTTCTTAACTCAGGCTCATACAAGAAATGAAGCAGTTTAAAAGGATCCATGAGCAGTACAACTGTTTAACCTAATTTCCCAATAATAACATAAAACATGGAGCAGTAATGGCAACAGTGGCTTCTGACATGTAACAAATAAATCAGTAATGAGCATCTAAAATACCCAGAGAAAGCTTCTGGAAGACATTGCTCTGAAGATGCTCAGATCAGTACCCTCAATGTGTTTCTCTCAACACAGGTATCTATTTCCTCATAATTACCTAGGAAAAAAATGGGCTTGGATTTTCAGACATGCAGCGTAAAAAGAAGGGCAACATGCGATTTACTAATGAAAATGTGGGCCAAGAAGTTTTGCCACTAGTCCAAGATAAGGCAATTGAGAGGTAGAAACATATCCCAAAAGTTATTTACGGCTCATGGCACTGGAATTCACATCCCTGCCTCGAACAATGGAATTTAGCAATCAACAGCATTGCCATAATCTGAACTGTCACTTGAAAGAGAATTTTGTTATCACTTCCAGCATTCACTTTTCACACAAAACCCTTTGTCTTCTTGAGAAAAAACCATATTTTATACAGCAGCTCATACAATCCTGTTTGGAAAGCAGAAAGATAATTCCTTTGGGGATCTAAAGCTGTACAATACACGTGTTTTCTACTGCTGGAAGAAGAAACAGAGAGATGGTGGCATTGTGTTCGTCCTAAACTACAACAGTGACCAAAGCACTGGCATGATCACCTCCAACACCCTCAAAAGTTAATGAGGCATCTCATTAACTTCAGAGAGGTACTTGTAGATAATTATTCAGACGGGGCTGTCCAAAAAGTCCTATATGAGGTACGCTGGGGGACAGCACAGCCCAACTGTGGTTACACATCGCACACAATGCTGTGACTGTGGAAACATTTCGGCAGATGAGGTTTTTTGGGGACTAGCACAGAGCTCCAGAGCTGACACAGTGGGAGCACCATGGCCTCTGCTTTTAATCCATAGATCTGAGGTATGAACACGGAATACAGTTAATTCAGTCCTGTCTCAATGCAATGACACGAATGCGATATGGATGGCCACAAAGATCAGGGGCAGAGGTGATGGGGGACTTGGAAAAGCCAAAAGCTTAAGTAGTTGCAGAACTAAGCGTGTTTAATTCGGTTAATCCAGAAGTTTGCACAGCAGCGACGGAGAAGCAATGTCCTCACACCGAAGTGGGCAAAGCTGCAGAGAGGGAACAGCAGAGGAAGAAGTGTGAGGGAACCACCTCAGCTGGGAAAGCTGTGAGGGCAGACACATCCACAGCTGCCAGTCCTTGTGTCTGAAACTTCTGTTGAGAGAACGCGGGCACATTTTTAGAAAGCAAGCAGCACTTCAGGCCACGGCTGAGGAGGGGAAAGCAGCGCACAGAGTAGGGCGGCCTGAGGGGAAGGTCCCGCCCGCTCGCCCCCTCAGCCCGCGGCGCTGTCCCGGCTGTACCCGGCCCCTCTTCACCTCCCCGGCCCGGCCCCGACCTGCCGCCGGCCCGAGAACCGAGCACCGAGAAGCCGCCACCGCGTTCCGGCCGATGCCGCCGCCCGCCCCTTCCTGCCCGGCCCGGCCCGGCCCGGCCCGCCCTTCCCGCCGCCTCTGCGCCATCGGCGTAAAGGGGTGCGTAGTGTAGAGGGAACTGCGCTGGGATAAGGGGATGGAGGGGGCCGAGGGGATGCAGGGGGATGAAGGGTGCAGGGGGCCGAGGGGATGCAGGGGGATGAGGGGATGCAGGGGGCCGAGGGGATGGACAGGGATGAGGACATAGAGGGGGCTGAGGTGATGGTGAGGGACTGGGGTGTGGCGGGGGCTGAGGGGATGCTGCCTGGGCCCATTTCTCATTATGATTCTTTCAGGCTAGATTATGTTACCTAGTAACTATCTGAAATTTGGAGCCAGCTAGGTAAGGTAAGGAGGGCAAGGGAACTTGGAGCTGAACCTTCCTTGACAAAAAGACCACCATGACTTAAACCTGAGTACAAGCAAATAGTTTACGTTTTGGAATAGGAATATAATTCCATTGGCCTTTTCTCCATAAACATTGCAGTTGAACTGCTGAAAAAAGGCTTGGAAGGTGTTGATCTCTAACTGTGTGGATCCATAGGAATTCTTTCAGAGGGCCAGCCTCTCCCTGGAAATCACAGAGCATCCATGCTGCCTTCCCACTGCTGTACACTGCCTTGAGGGAAGCCCTTTCCTGTTTGACTTTTCTTTTGGCTCTGTAGAAATTAGTGTAATAAAACTGAACACACCCTTTCAGAAGGGCAGAGTGAAACATAAGAAACAGATTTTACTGATCATGTTCATTCTCTGGTTTCATTTCTTCACACCCACATGCTGCTGACACACATAGGTTGGCGGGATCCTTTGTGAGTGATACAGAGGACAAGGGACACTGCTGATAAAATATTCATTATGTTTTTTGACTGATGGTGGCAAACTGATCCTGGATGTGATGTTTAAACCCTTCTGGGGTTGGTGTTGTTTGATATCTTGCTTGGCCTCCTCCCCTCTTAGGCAAAATTCCCCCTTTTTAAAATTATTTTATTTTTAATTTATATTATTTAATAGTTCTAGTGCAGTTTGTCATCTTGAGGACAGTCTGGGCTGAAAGACTTGCCCACGGTTTCTGAAATTATTTTCAGTGTAGCTAAATATCTGATCCAGTCTTTCTACTTAGAATAATATGGTATGTGGGTTTAAAACTACCTGCCTTTTCCCAATGGAAAAGCTTTTTTCTGGTTGGTTACTAAAAAATGTCATATGTGCTCTGCAATAAGCCTGTTGCTGTCCAAATAGATGAGAAAACCCAAAAGATTTATTTCCCCCGGAGGTTCATGTTCTTAGGTAGAAAACAGACTTGTGTTTTCCAAGACACTAGGAGGACAAGAGGTCCTACCCTCTTAGTCTAATCTGTTTTATCTGCTGTGAGACACTATGTCTATTTATATACCGAGCAACTGCAGGACATCAGTTTCCATTCTTATCAAACACAAATATTTACCTGATCCAAGGTCTGCTGAGATCCATGGCACTTTAAAAAATGCAGCTTAACTAGAGAAATCTCCTATTTTTTTCCCAGTTTAATTTTAGTTGGGTTTCAGGGTATTTTCTTAGCAACTAAACATTTTTTTTAAATAAAGCAACAAACTGACACATTATTGCTTTGCTTTACTCACCACCTCAGCTGTGCAGACTCCCTACTACGCTTTCTCACCTGCAATTCCTGTCAATGAGGAAAATGGGAATTGTTTTGACATTAATTGTCAGTGAGGAATTGAAACACAGAAATCAATTAGCAATTAATATTATTTAAATTTAATGGAGACAATCCATATAAAAACATCACATGTGGTATGACACAGCAATTGATGGATTTCTGTTTATCTCTGTGAGCATCTCCAAGGGCAACGTGGTATTTCATGTAAGAGGGGGCAAGAAGAGAGGTGGTGCAGGGATCCAGATAAAGGAATTCAGGTGAGAGGAACTATTTCTGTGGGGAATTGGGAAGATTGCAAGGTTTTTTGCCCTTTGCAAGCCACAGATCAAGGTTAGGAGTGTTGGTTTTGCCTCCTCCTCTCACGATTTTGGGCATAACTTCAGATGGCATCAACTGACATCCTCTTTTCCCAGTCCCTTTCCCATGCCTGCCAGCAACCCTTGGGCAGTGATAGGGATTAAAGTGGTAATCTGGGTTAAAGCTACTCTCTTCCAAAAAACCACTCCCTGATTTAGCAGCCTTATTTCCCCACTCTGTCCCGAGAAAAGGTGTACTTGTGTTCAGAGAGCAGGAAAACACAACCATAGGCTGTTCCAGGACATTACCTCCCAGGTGTTCCAGATAACATCCTGCAGGGCTAATCAGGAGAGGACACGAACAAGAACAAAGTGGCAAAAGCAAACCAACAGGATTTTTAGCCTGGGATAAAAATCCTGTTGAAAACACATAAATATCAACATATAAATAGTTGAGTTTTGTTTCCAGTAATGAGATTTAACAAGACTGTGCCTTGGCATTGAGCCAGCCTAGCAAGCTGCTGAATTTACTCTTTAAGTCCATAATTCACTGGCATGCCCAACCTGCAGCTCTGCAGGCAGGGCCAGTCTGTTACTTCCGGGACACCCTCGTTAATTAATTGTTTCAGGCAACAGTAACGACGTGGGTCTCCTTGTCACAGGAGGTGGGCGAGTCCCTCTTGCACCTCCAGTGGAATTTAGGAGTGCAGCAAAGCACCATGGACATGACCAACCCCAGAGTAAGCAGGAGACAAATCACCCATTTGACCCTTCCCAAGTACATAAAGGGGAGGATGAGGATGGCGAGGATCACCCCGAGCAGCAGGAGCAGTACAAGTCTCTGCACAGCCAGGCTGGTGTCTGCTGGAACATTCTCCTCTATGTTTAAAATGTCTTGGCTGCTCTGAATCCAGCTCTTGCTGTCCAGCCCCATGGCAGGGATGTGCACCTCTGGGTCTGACTCGAGGTTTTCCAAGTGCTCCAAGATGTCTTCTTTATTCTGGAGTGTGCGGATGAGCCCTTCTGACACAAAAGTGGGTTTTCTGCACAGAGGGCAGGTGATGATCCAGGTATTCTCCACTTTCCTGAGAATAAGCTTGAGGCAGACAGCACAGAAGGCATGCTGGCAGTCCAGGAGCTTTGGGACTCTGTAGATGTTGTACTTGTTGAAGCAGATCAGGCAATCCAAGTCCACGGATGTGGTTGAACACTGGTGGTTCATTTCCAATGTGCAAGTTTTGGGACAGTCTGTGTTCGTTAGCACAACAAGAGGCTTTGAGTGTGGACAGTCTCTTTCCAAAATTGCTGCTTTGAAGGCAGCATGACTGTCTTGCTCTGTGCCTGAAGGCCTCTCCATTTCTTTAATACACTCTTCAGTAAATCCCTGTCTCTTCCCTTGATTTGTATTCTGTGTTAGGGGTCCTGCCCTGCTCATTTCTGCAGCACCTCCTGCCGCGGGCGCAGGACCGTCCTCCTCAGCCTGCAGTACTCGCAGAGCCAGACATCCGTCTTCCTTGTTTGGCTTGTCAGTGGATTTCTCCATGGAGATACACCTCCCTGCAGCTTGTCTTCCCCTGGCTAAAGGATTTCGCTAGTCTCTGGCTCCTTTTATGTGTTGCTGTATTCCTGCTGTATGCAGGATTGATTAGTGACAGCCTTAAGTGAGTCGTGCTCTTACAATATGATGTTTTTATGAGATGGGGACCTGAGTTAATGATTAACTTCCCAGCCAAGACAGTTTACAATGACTGATAACATCACTGGGCAATTCCTGTCCGGAAGCAGACTCCATAGCATAGCTGTGACAGCCAGGCACTACAGTTATTATTAAATTAGAAATTAGAACTTTCTTTGTTGAAAGCATTTTCCTTGGTCTCTAAACAGTGCTTTGCTGGACAGTTACAGATTTAGGGGAATTATCTACTACTGACGTCGGTATGCTGAATGCAGTGCTTTGATTAGAGCATAAGTATCACCAATTTTGAGTGCTCTGGATAGGAAATTTGCTCTTGGTTTAGCAATACTGACTACCCTACAGCACCAAGAGAGGAATGAGATTGAGATTATTAATGTGAGTGATGAATGTCCAATAATTATCAAAACATTATAATGTCTCTTATCCTAGTTGGTTTCAGTCATCAGAGGGCTTCCAGTGCAAACTGAAGCATGTCCGAGGCCCACAGAAGATCTCAGAGATACATGAGAGAGATCTGGAAATTAAAAGCAAGGTTAGTGTCTTGGTGGGACCATCTTCTTTCTCGTGGCGTTCACAGGACAACCTCATGCACTCAGGAGTGCCCTTCCTGAGTGGTTTTGTGAATATTCATCTTGTCTGACCAATTTTTTTCTTGTATGAAAAAAATGCCTGAACAAAATCCCTCCGTCTCTAATTTCTTTCTGCCTTTTTATTTGAGGGGTAAAATCCAAGTGTTTTCTCGGCAAGAATCCTGTGGCAGAATGGAGCAAAGGAAATAAGGAAGGAAAAGAAGGATCTCTAATCCCAAAAAGATGGACTAGGTCAGTCTTACCAGCAGAAGACATGGAGTACCACTCTAGTAGCCTCAAGTGCACCTGAATGCTCAAACTGTCTGTGCCACCATGTCCCAGCCCCTCTCTCCCACAGAGGAGCAACAGAAAGAAATGAAACAACTGCAGTTGAGGAGGGCAAGGAGTTCAGGACAGCTCTAATCTCCTGAACTTGCTGGTGGGGGGATGAGGTGAGAAGCGCTTGTTCTTATTAGCTGAGAAATAGAAGCTCTGTCGTAAGCAAACTTCGTCAAAGTGCCTGAGCACTCCTGCTTGTGTTTCTGCTGACATGACCTGTAGTGGTGCTTGATGGACTTTTGGGTGACCCCAGATTTTAGGAGCCTGGAGATCTTTCAGCTGCAGAAGTGGGACTCAAAGTGCAGTAACATCTGCAAGTGGGCTGGTGAACTGCAAGACTTATGTTTAAAAATAGGATAATTTTCTATTGCATTTCACATTCCGTGCTGTTAAAAAGATCTGGGAAAGTGGAAGACAGACCTGCCATTATTACAGTGCTTTAGAAGCTTCAGATTTACTCTGTCAGTTCCCATGTCCGAAGAGGAAAATGTCTTAAAATTTCCTGATTCTTAATTATTAAAACAATATGAAACCATGAGGTTGGAAGCTCGAACAGACAGCAAGAGGGACACCTATGCTCCTAAATTAGAAATTTTAAAACTAGGTGGGATGAATCCATGCTCCATGTCTGTTTGCTCTGTGTCCTATTAATGGGTGGGGGTGACTTGTCTGTGCCTTTTGTCTGATGTGCTGAAAAAATAGTTTCTTCTTGTCCTGCACTGGCAAAGTTTTCAGCCAGGCCCTGATTCTGGCTCCGCTTTATCCCCGCTGTCACGAGTGATGCTCCCTGGCTGGCATGTGCCTTGTGCTTATCTGAATTGCCCACAACCCTTTCATGCTCCTCAGGCTAATTACTGCCTCATTAATCATTTGCAGTCAGTTTATGTACTCATCCTGTTTTCCTGCTTTCAGTGTGTTTGCATAAGAAAATGTGTTTCTATGAAATGCTTTGTACAGAATTGTTTATGGCAGGAAATAGATATAAAAGAGCAGTTGTGTTATTCCTGAGTAAAATCCTCACGTGCCCATAGGCCAAACATCCCAGAAGGTACTGGTGATAACTGCTGTGAGCTTCTCCCTGTGCTGAGTTGTGGGTCAGGTTGTTGTGACTCTGGAGAAAAGGGACTTAAAAATAATATACAACTTTAAAATCATCATGATGTGAAGCCTCTTCTTGTATCCCCAGGACTGTTTTCTTAGTGTTTATCACAAAGCCATTTGGATGTGCCTTCTGAGCTTGGAATTAGACAGAAATTCATAGAATCACAGAATCCCAGGATAGTTTGGATTTGAAGGGACCTTAAAACTCATCCCATTCCACCCCGTGCCTTGGGCAGGGACACCTTCCACTGGCCCGGGTTGCTCCAAGCCCCAACCAACCTGGCCTTGGACACTTCCAGGGATGGGGCAGCCACAGCTTCTCTGGGAATTCCATCCCCCTCACCACCCTCACAGTGAAGAATTTGATCCTAATATCCAACCTAAACCTACTCTCTGTCAATCTGAAGCCATTCCCCCTTGTCCCGTCACTCCAGGCCCTTGTAAACAGTCTCTCTCGATCTTTCTTGTCAGCTCCTTCAGGTCCTGGAAGGCCACAATTAGGAAACCCCGGAGCCTACTCTTCTCCAGGCTGAACAATCCCAATTCTCCCAGTTTTTCTCATGAGAGAAGTGCTCCTCTGACCACCTTGGTGGGCTCCTCTAGACTTGGGCAATATCAGGCCCCTTCTGTTGTGATACTGGCAGAGAAAAGCAGGGCAAGGAAGACTAGAATCATGGGGCAGAGCCTTGATGGGTGCTGGTGGTGGGTGACTTCTTAAACCAGTTGCTGTGGGACGAGTGGAAGAGCTGTGGTGTCAAGGATGGCAGGGAATCTTCCCCAAGAGCCCTACTCTGGACAAGTCACCAGTGTTCTTGCTGTGCCCCTTCTCCAGCCCCCTCTGAGGAGTTTCCCTCAGCGCCTGAGGAAACAAGACGTGAAGGTTCAGTTTATGAGCTTTATCACATCTAATTAATAGTTGCAGTCTTAGCTCTCCCGACCTGCTGCTGCTCTCAGCCGTGTTCTCCTGGTGCCATCTCGTGGGTAATCCATCCTCTCACCCCCTTAATCTCCTCTGAGTTCGCTTCGGAGCGGTGATTTGAGGTTGAACAGACACAGTCCGGAGCGGCTCGTCCTGGCTTATAACGGGGGCAGAAGGCGCCCACCCGTGTGGTCACGGCGGGACGTCTGGGCGAGGGGCGGGAGCTCTGCTGGGCAGCAGGGAGAGGCATTAGTGCAATTAGCAGTAGAAGCTAATTAGCTGGAATCTGGCAGCCTTGGGCACAGTGTTAGTCATCTGCGGTGCTGCTTCTCGCAGCCCTCCCCGGCCTTTCCCCGCGGATGCACTGCTCCCGAGGCTTGGCTGCACCCTCCTTCCCTTCGCAATTCCCACCCTGTGATTCCCAGCTCCAGTTTCCCTCCAGGGCCCCCTCCTCTGCTCTTCCTCCTTCTGCAGGAATCCCCCGGGATGGGCGGTCACGTGCCCTGCTCCGCGTGCCGTGGTCACGCGACTCTCCCGATGTCGCCACCACGTGACCTCCCCCGGTGTCGCGGTCACGTGCCCGCTCCCGGCGCCCCGCCGGGGATGTCCCGCAAACAGGCGGCCAAGGCCCGGCCCGCCGGGGCCAGGAAGGGCCGGCGGCCCCGCAGCCCCCTCGCCGGATCGGCCCCGGGCCCTGCACCGGGCGGCGGCGGCGGCGGCGGCGGCGGCGGCGGCCTCGCCGGGCAGCTCCGGGCCCTCGGCCTCAAGCTGCGGGAGGTGCCGGGCGACGGGTGAGCGCCGCGACAGGTCTCCCCGGCACCCCCGGGGCCGGCGATTCCCTGGGGCTCCAGCCCCCGGAGGCAGAGGGCTTCCTCCACCCCGGTTGTGGGGGGTCTGTGTTCTCGGGGGCCGAGGGCTTTCACCTCTCGGGTGGAGGGAACCGTGTGACCCCCGGGGGCTGGGGCTTCGTCCCCCCAGTGGTGGGGAGTCTGCGTCCTCCCGGGCGCTGAGGGCCGCCTTCGCCTGATTTGCGGCGGGGATGGGGGGGGCCAGTGCTCTGCAGGGTTGAGAACTTCCCCACTGAACCCTACAAGGATCAGGGGGCTCTGCTCTGCTCCATGTTTCTGTAGAACCTGAGGGCCCTGCCAGTCCCAGCCCTGTTCCCCAGGAGAGCTAAGGGCTCCACGGACCAGCTGTGCAGAGCATAGGACGGTCCATGAGTGATTGGGTGAAAGGAGCATCAGATGTTTCTGCTGAGAAATGGCTCAGCAGGTCGTTGGTTTGCCCTTTGTTGCATTATGTCACTTGTCCCAGTGTCAGTTTAAGACAGTTTGGCCCACCCACCCACCTAGCACTTTTACCACCTCTGATGACGTGATCACTCATCTTATATTCTTACCAGCCATTGCAGTAGCAGAAGCCATTCAAGTACAGAGAATAGGTGCTGTTTCATATTCATATCCTTGATAAACAAACTGGGCATAGCTCTCTTTTCCCTTTAAAACCATATTCCTTTTGCACCGGGTGTTTGTTTAATGCTGTGCCTCAGACATGCCAACTTGTGGTTTCTCTTTTGACAGCAACTGCTTGTTTCGGGCCCTGGGTGACCAGCTTGAGGGGCACTCCAGGAACCACCTGAGGCATCGGCAGGAAACGGTGGATTACATGGTGAAGCAGAGGGAGGACTTTGAGCCATTTGTGGAGGATGATGTGCCCTTTGAGAAACACGGTATGGGCTCCACAGGGCACGCATGGGAGGGCTTATTGTGTAGTGGGATTCCATCTCCTTGGAGCACCTTCTTACTCACCAGTTCCTCATCCCAGAACTATGTCAGGGCTCCTCTATGGTTTTTACAAATTCTTTGCATTTCTGTCTCTGTCAATGCTGTAGAAAGATGAGCTGTTAAACTTGCATTAAATTTGTCTTGGAAATTGTTTAAATTTAGGAGAAACTTGGAGAAGGAATGAGAGGCGAAAAAAGGAAGGAGTAAAAAAAATTTAGTGTTTGTAAAAGGAACTTCAGAAAAATTGTCTAGTTCTCCTTGAATGCTCGTGGGTATTTGGCTGTTTTGGTAAGTGACTGATTTCTTTGGGTTTCATTCTCCTTGGCACTTAATGTTTCATACTGGGAATCCAGGGGAAGATCCAAAGCAGAGGTGAATACAGCCTTTGTCCCACCAGCTTTGAGGATGTGCCAGGTACTATGCAGGTGATGCATGGAAGTGGTTTGGTCACTTAGTAATTGGCACTCTTCCTTCTGAGCTAACAGAGACAGGGGCCTTGCTTAGTCTAAGGGTGTGCTGCTCTTTTTTAGAGATTTCTGTGGTCATTTAAGTGCATTAACTTCTGTTGCTGCCAAAGTCTTGAACACTCACTGTTTCACAGGTGGGATTTCCTTTCCAGAATTTCTTGTGCTCGTGTTGAAATTTCACTACTTGTTATCCCTCCAGTGCTTTTGGAAGTGTCAGAAACTAGGTTTCTAACTCTTCTAAATGTTTTTTTCCTTTAGTTACCAATTTGGCCAAGCCTGGGACCTTTGCTGGCAACGATGCTATTGTGGCCTTTGCAAGGAACAATCAAATCAATGTGGTTATTCATCAGCTCTGTGCTCCACTGTGGCAGGTGAGAAAAAACATTTCTACATTTTGGCCTCATTTTTCGCTGATGAATATAAACAGTGTGAAAACTTCCTGATCTGTCAAAACCGAGCAGTAGCTGTAGTTAGCTGGGCATGATTTAGAGCTGCAGCATTTACTTACGGTCCAGCATATTCATAGAACCACAGAATGCTTTGGGTTGGAAGGGACCTTAAACCCCCTGCCATGGGCAAAGACACCTTCCACTAGCCCAGGCTGCTCCAAGCCCTGTCCATCTGGGCCTTGGACACTTCCAGGGCTGGGGCAGCCACAGCTTCTCTGGGCAACCTGTGCCAGGGCCTCACCACCCTCAAAGGGAGGAATTCCTTCCCAATATCCCATCTAACCCTGCCCTCTGGCAGTTCGAAGCCATTCTCCCTTGTCCTGACACTTCAGGCCTCGTCCAAAGTCTCTCCATCTTATTTGTTGGCTCCTTCAGGTACTGGGAGGCCACAATTAGGTCACCCTGGAGTCTTCTCTTCTCCAGGCTGAACAATCCCAACTCTCTCAGCCTCTCCTCATGGGAGAGCTGCTCCATCCTTCTGATTATCTTGGTGGCCTCCTCTGGACTTGCTCCAGAGTGGAGAGAGCTTCTCTAATGAGAGCTAAGTTGGCTAATTTTCAGAATAATCTTTCAAGAGCTTTGGGATTTGTTAGATACCTATTCAAGCACTGACAGAGGAAAAGAAAGCTTACTGAATTCCAACATGTTGAATAACCTAATAGGATAAAAAGCAGGAGTTAATAGAACCAAGTGTTGAGTTGGAATCTAAAGGTAAGTGTGAAATAGATGAATGGAGAATTATTGTTGGGAAACCTGAAGTTACGAGTGCGGCACAAACCACAGACTTGGCGACTTGAAAGGGTTGAAAGGTGTGACTTGGTGCATGGTCTGGGAGTGGAGATAAGGCGATTCGTAGACGTAAAAGGGTTGAGAAACTCTGTAGCCCTAAAGCAAAGCAGTTCTTGTCCTTTGCTTACTGACGTCTGCTCCAGGAGAGCTGTCAGGCCTGTGAACTCGGGCTGACAACGTCAAGCCAAGGAGGTTTGCAAGTGCAGTGGGATTTTCTGCATTCCTGGCAGGAGCTGGAATGCTGGGTAGCTCTTAGCTAACAGTTTGATGATCAGGGTAGGAATTATTCTTGCTGTCAGTGCAGATAATATCAGAGCAGGAGTTTTCTGTGGAAACTGCTGTACTTGGTGCTGACAAAGCAAAGGGACATTTGATTGTTAACAGTGTTCCTGAGTAGAGTTAATACATTTTTATGGATTGGCTTTCTTTTAAAACCAAAACACAGCCACTTGGAATCCTGTTAAAAAGCATCTTGTCCCAGCTGCAGATCAAAACTTATTCTGGGTAACTGTTTCCACTGTGGTCATCACTTGAATGAACTCTCTTTCCTCATGTTTCAGGGGGAAAATGATACTGTACATTCCCTAGGAGCATTGCTGAAGTTGGATGTGGGAAGATGGTCGTAAAACTGATAGCTGCTGTGGAAAGTTTAGGAAATAGTTCTGAGCTTTCCACAGAAATATTTTCATCCCACGTTTTGTTTGTTATACAACTGACCAACGTTAAGTATCTGGCTTTCAAACCTTCTCCTTGAGGCCGAAGCTCTGTTGTTACTGGAGGCACAGCTGAATTTTTAGGTCAACTCTTCCTGTTTATAAAACTTCGGTAGTGACGTACTCACTTCCTGCCCAAGAAAATTAATACTTGGACAAATCTGATGCTGAGGTTGATTCCAAATCCTCATTTTTAGTTTATTTCTTTTGTGTAGATCCGGGGCACAGACAAGAGCAATGTGAGGGAGCTGCACATTGCTTATCGTTACGGGGAGCACTATGACAGCGTGAGGAGGATCAACGATGACTCAGAAGCTCCGGCATATCTTCAGATGGAGGTTGGTTGTCACAGAATTACCTGAGCCAGCTGTGGGTGATAAATAAAGCTGATGAATGTTGGCAGTTGATTTCCTTTCTCATTTGTCTTGGGATTGAGGGGAAGAGTGTAGTCCCCGTGTCATGCTGGGTTAGCAAAGCCCTGAGTTCGTTGTAGCTCCTGCCACCAGCTCTCCTGAGAAAGGCTGCGAGGGATTCCAACTTCTGGCCTGGAAATCAATCCCAAACCTGATGCTGTGGTGTGGGCTGTCTGGAAGCAACCACATCTAAATTACATATTCATGCACCTCAAGTGGGAAAACAAAAGGAAGGGAGGAAAGAGCTGGAAATGCAACATCTGGATGCAGTTGTCCTCTTCATATGTCACTTTTTGATCTTGTGCTATGCTTGAGGGTCTCTGCACACAGGTATATGATTGTATCGTATTAAAATTAGTCCATTTATAAGCTTGTTTATTGGCATTCATGGTGGTGCAGTACATGAGAGTAGTGCAGGAGAGAGGCGAAACCTCCAGTGATGATGGAAGTTACGATATTTCCAAAATGCTTTGACGCACAATGTTTCTGAGAAAAGTGCTCAATAATAATTACATTTATTAGATTTTTTTTTTTGATTGCATGCTGTGTTATCTGCTGGGCTTTGCTTTTCTTCAGATGCTTTGCAAAAACAATGCAAATAAGACAGAGGAAGTGAAGCCACAGAAGGGTGACTCTGAGGATGAGACTGAAGCGGAAATGGAAAATGCTGTACAAAAAGTGTGCAATGCAGCAGGGTGTTCAGTAAGTACTGAGGAGCCTTTTTGTGCTTAATGTTCAAATGTCCTTGATACTTGAAAGTAGTCCTGGGAAAAATTCTAAAAAATGCTCACCTTGAACAATTTCAGTACCACAGCCCTAAACTAGGATAGATTTCATCCTAGAGTCAACCCTTAAATGCAGATGAAATACCTACTCTGTGTGGATACCTAATAATTCTGGAAAGCTTGTCTTGCAATCTGTCAGAAAATTCACTTGGAAACAAATCCCGTAAGATTTGAAATAATTTGAGGATGTCGAATATCCCACATAACTGGATAATCTGTGACTCTTGGCTGTTGTTACTGTGCAAATGCTTAGAACAGAAAGGGCCAAGAGTGAAACAGTTATGCTGAAAGAGCATATTCCTTTTTCTTGATATCTTCAGGAATTTAAGGGTTCCCCCCTCACCTTTTTCAGAAATGAAGCATTAATTGAACAATCATAAAAGCAGGAGCCCCCTCTCTGTGCTGCAGGTGGTTGTTAAGTGAATGTGTGTCAGAGATTTGAACTCCTTCAGTGTTCTCCTTCTCTTGTGGACAGGACATGGATTTAGTAAGCCACGTCCTGGAAGCGGAGGATTACAACATAGAATCTGCAATATTTGCGATCTTACAAGTGAAGGAAGGAGAAGGAACAAGTGAGTTCTCAGAGTTTGTCACCTGAGGCTTCAGGTGAATGTGATGTCCATGTTCCCTGGGGACAGCAGCAGGACAGATGGGGTTTGCTGTTGTGTGCTCCCACTTCAGCCTTCTGTGCTCAGGAAGGTTGTTAGTGAGGGCAGGCTCAATCCAGCTTCCAAAAAAACCCACTGCTCCAGAAATTCAGGAAGAAGGAGTTGGCTGACAGCGCGACAGCTCCTGGGTAGAGTGTCTGAGGAAAACCTGTTGTTGGTAGGTACCGAGGAGCAGCAGAAACCCCAGAGCAGGGATCAGAAATCCTGCAGCAAAACATTGTGGGAGGAGAATGGAAGCGGTTCAAGAATCTTTGGAAATCAGAGCTTGCATCAAAGTGAAACAGGAAACAACAAAGGACAGGCTGGATCCAGTGGAGAGAACCAAGCCAGCAGGAACCCACAGGTGTGTGAGGGGGGTTTGATGTGAGCACCCTTTAAGAATTAGGGGATGGCTTACTCAGCAACTCTTTTCTTCCAATCAAAAAGAGTTTCTGCTCACTGCATTTTATCATTGCTGCAGCTGTGACTTCTCTGATAACAAACATTTCCTAGTGACTTATGGCACTCTTCCCAAAACAGCCTGAAATAAAGTCCTCATAAATAGTTAGGAATGTTCTCTGGGTGCTGCCTTGATATCTGCTCGTCTCCTTTCCAGTGTGTTAGCAGAAGAAGTGTGGTTTGAACTTTGTGTTTTCACCCTTCCCTTTCAGGTAGCTAAAAAACAGAAGAAGGAGCAGCAGAGGCTGGAGAAGAAGAAGCGGCAGGAGGAGAGGCACCGGCAGAAGGTCTTGGCCATGAAGAACAACTGTGCAGATGACAGGACAGAGACAGACCCCACCAACCACATCACCTTGGTGAAGACCATGGCAGCCCTAAACATATGACTGTGTGCTGAGTACTCTGGGGAGAAAAGCAAATAAAACTGATGAAGACAAAACTCCCCCTGAGCAAATTTCCAGGCACCCTTTGTTACCCTAAAATCAGTTTCTGCAGAGGTTTTCAAGGACAAGAGAAATTCCTGTTCCTTTGGTTGCGGGGAGGACAGTTACTCAGTGATTCCACGTCAACCTGTGTGTGAGAAGAGTTGTTTGAACTTAAAAAGTAGAGACTTGGGTTTATAATTTTGGAGTTAGATGAAGGTGAGAACCTTTTTTTCACATAGCAATGTCACATTTGCTTTGACATCTCTTGATGTGCCTGGATTTTTTTTTTTTACTTGATTATGCTTGGAGGAGCTTTATTTTACCTTTCTGTCAGGGAAAGCTTAACAAATCTCAACTCAGGAACAACTTTGGTGGTTTTTTTTCTATTTAAATTTAAATGAAGTGAATGAAGTCTCAGAATCCTTTCCAGAGCAAAATGTGTCAGCCAGGACTGTCTCAAACATGACATTCCTCTTTTCTTTGCCAGGCAGGAATGCAGTGACAAGTTTTAATCTCACTAAAACTGTTGGCCCTCGTTCAGAAGCGATTAATACGTAAAGGGAGAATGGGATTGCTGCATCCATGCTTGCTGAAGTTTGGGACCAGCTCCTTTGCTAGCTGAGAGCTGTAGAGAGACATAAACCCACCCAAAATAATAATACCAGTGGAGTCATGAGACTGCAGAGCCAACTCATCTGATCCGGTGATGGTTGATGAGGCTGTAAAATGTGACAGGAGCAGGCAGGAGATTTCTGGTGAGTGTTGTTACTTGGACATCTGGAATCTCATCCCCTTTGTCATATTTTGGAGCTTTTGGGCTACTCCAGAGCTTTAGTCCAAGCCAGGAACTTGATAGGTGTTAGTCTCCAAATTACATTAGTGTAGCTAAAGGAACAAGAGTCCTGGGAACAAGCTTCCAAGCACCAGTACTCCCTGGGAAACCTGCCTGTTTCACTTCATAAATCAACCTTTTTCCAGGGTAGAATTTTTCCATCTTAAATTCCATTTTGGTGAGGTCACCAAGTAGGATGTACAGCTTGACTCCAGTGATAATTTCCACTGTAGGACTGAGGATTTGGACCAAGGTGAAAGGACTGTGGGATTCAGCTCTGGATTTATGGCTCCCAGTGTTTCAGCGTTACTCAGGTTTTTGGATTTGTGACAAGCACTAAGCTTGAAGAAAGCACACGTGCACTTACACAACAGCAGGAGACACCTCATCAGCCAGGGCAGAGGTGAAGGGGATTTTTTAAAAGTAAGGAACGTTGCTTTTGAAAAAAAATCTATGTGTGCTTTGAAGTTTATAAATCAGCATGAAAATATAAATGCCTTTTTTTACTGAACTGCCAAGAGCTGGTACTTCGTGTGCTCTGCTGCTGTTAGTTGAAGAATAAAAAGAAGGGTCTCCTGTAAGAATTCCTGGTTTAGGAATTCCTTTTCTCCAAGACAGTAAGTTTTACAGTAGTGGAAAGAGAGGCAACTCACAGCTTAGTGGGGAGGAAGTGCAAATCACTTCAGTGTGTGATCAGTTGTGACAGTGGGTGTAGCAAGGCAGTTCAGGTACGTGTATCACCTGTGTCCTGCCCAGCTGTATTTGGGTTCTACAGGTTTGAAAAAATAAGAAAGAATTTGCAGTTGTACACTTGGAATAAGAGGTTTGATCTTAACGAATTGCTTTTTTATCCTCCTGAGCTAGAGCTGATAAAAGGATCTTGGAGCCTGAGAGCTGTGAAGGGAGTTGTCCTGAAGGCTGAGCTTCTGTAGGTGTGGAGGGAACTCAAACCTCACCCCATTGTGTCCAGGATGAAAGGGCAGTTCTGCACCAGCAGCACAAAAAGCAGAGAGAGAGGCTGGTGAGCAACTCATGGCCACCAATACCTGGAACCAAATCTGGAGCTGAAAATGCTTTCATTTCCAAGTGTAATACGATTAAAACAAACTCTTAGTGTGCTGGGCTCTTAAATCATGATAGAGCAGTCAAATTCCCTTTTCTGCCAATTTCCCTATTTCTGCCAGGATAGCTTTGTGCCTGCACAACCATTGTGTATCAAAAGATGTTAAAACTTATTTTATCTGTTTTAAATTTTCCTGTTGAAGTTTCCACCTTCCCAATCTGTTATTTTTTTTCTAGGGAATCTTTATGCAACATTCCTCATGGAACTCACTTTTATGTAGAGAATTTGCCTTGTAAACAGGCTTTTCCTTGCAGGAGGAAGGGGAGGCAAGAAACAAGAGCAGAGGCACATCATGATTCATAGCTCGTGTTTACTTGTTGGTGGAGCTTTGTAATGCGTGGTCCAAGAATGGACAGTAAGCACTGGATATTCCCTTGAGATCTGAGGAGGATGACTCTTTGTTATTAGCTGCTGGCTGACATCTCTGAGGGTGTTTTGGTTGCTGCTGGATCAGCAGTGGGGTCACCATCAGGCTCTCAAGGGCGACTACACAGCAGGATGATGTAGCACAGCCACTTTCCCTGCATCCTATCTACCTACATAATCTTCCCTTGGCTTATTTTTCCCAAACCTGCAGATCAGGAGTTCAGTTGAACTGGAAGTTTTAAGCATTTAGCCAGGTTTTGGATGACCTCCATAAGTGTTTCTATGTATGGGAGGGTTTTCTGCCTGTGCTGCTCCATGTCTCCCATCCTTTTTTCCTTCTTGGGAGCTTCCTGTTGGTTATCTCACAGCTTTGCCATGACATTCGTGGTATCCACATCTGCACAGCTTCAGGAACTGCAGAACAGGAGGGAAACTGTGCATGAAAAGCATGCCATACTCCAGTGTTGGATACAAGAGAGATGATTTGTGCTGGTGTTGAGCTGTGGGGACTTTCCTTGGTGCTGTCTGGTTGCAGGAACCTTAGAGGGCAGCATTGGCTCTGTCCCAGCTCTTCTCTCAAAATCCTTTAGTGGCTATAGGAAATGAGTAGAAATGAGTGGTTTGGAGTTATAAAGATACCACATGTACTGTGGGAATGTGAGGGTGGGGTGGGGGTGTTGCTTGTGATGAAACGCTGGAGTCAGGCAGGAGCCTCCTGGCGCTGAGGTGAAACTCAAAGAAATTACCCTTAAAACTCCGTTATTTTAAGCAGAACACATCTCCAGAGGCAGCCTTAAAGCTAGAGGTACCTCCATCAAGGCTCGGGGCTGTGGGACAGCCAGCCCTGGCTTGTTAGAGATAATTAGGGCTTATTTGGGATCATGTGCAGTTCTGGTGAGGGATGAGGTAGCTGCAGGGAGTGGCAACCTGAGGAGACCTGTCTGGACTTGCTGGAGATGGGGTGCAAGAAAAGGTCACACTAAACCCCTGAGGCCCCACCACTGAACTCCCCCTTTCCTGCAGTGATGTTAATTGCTTAAATGGTCGTTAGGAACAGGGTGGGGCTGGATTGAGGCCAAGGTCTCAGAGGGAAGCTGGGGTTGGAGCCTGGTTTAGGGTGCAGCAGCCACTCACTCTTTCTGTGGTCTTTTTTTTTTTTTTTTTCTCTGTAGCTCTTAAGATTTACTAGTTGGCTGCTAAAATGTCACTTCTGGTCATTTTTTTTAAGAAAAAGATGCAAAACGTTGTGCAGGCATAAATATTGACTTCAGAAAAACAGTTCTGAGGCTCCATGCTGCTTCCTAGCCTTCCATCATTGATTCCCAAAACACAACCCTGGAGATGCTTTACAAATTTCCTTTGAAAATATATCTTTATTTGCAGGGTTTCCATTTTTATGAGTTGTTTAATCATGGGGAGCAGGTTTTCCGGGTGCGCTGACTCCAGGGAAAGGTGCTGGACACCTTTTTGGTGCCGCAGGGCTCTGCCGTGTCCCGCGTGGCTGCAGGGAACGCAGAACCCCCACCATTTCCATGGACTCTGTCGGGTTTTGACCCTGGTGTGTTTAGCAGGAGGGTGCTCGGCCCTTGCACTTAAAGTTGGGATAATTCTTGTAAGAATTGTGGTAGGTCCCAGCTGCCCTCTGGAAACACTCAGCTGCCTTCTTGTCGCATGCACAGGTCGCTGTTTGGCACTGGTTCCCGGTTCCTGGAAGAAAATTTGGGGGGCAAGGAGGCAGGCAAAGGGTGGGAGAGTCACAGGGTGTTTTTTGGACCATCCCTACTGCATACACAGCCCCCTGGGTTAAATTTGGGGTGTCTCAGGTACTCTCACCTCTGGTGTGTGGAGCTACCTAGCCCTGGAGGGACCCTTTAATTCACTTTATCCCTGGGGTGTGTGCGGATAGTTGCTTGGATCATAGGGATATGCTTTGTTTTGGTCTGTGAAATAATGTGTTGGCTTTGGGGAAATCGAGGTGGCTGTGCCAGGTCCCTGTCCAGGATGGGAAGGTCACCTCAGACCCTCAGTATTTGGCCTCTAGGGAAGGACAAGGCCTCTCCTTAGGGAGGTGTCCAAGCTCTAAACTTCACCATAATCCAGCAAATATTTATTTGCCCTGTTCCTGGCACTTTCCCTGTATTTCCCCCTCCTTTGCTCTGAGTGGTTGCCAGGCCAGGATGGTCTAAAGGACACCTCGGAATACAAGTATGGATGGTATGTGCCTTTCCACTTGGAGCTTTGCCCGTGCACTGGCTCTTACCGCAGGTTATTCGGCTTCCCCGGAGGAAGTATTTGTAGGTGACCGCTTTGGGACTGCAGTGTGAGGAAGCCAACTTCTTATAGCAGCAATTGTGGGCATGGCAGCACCTGAGAGCACAGAAGCCGTGGTCAAGTCAGGATGGGGGACAGTTGGGACAACCCTACATTGGTTGAACTTCAACGACGCGCATTGTTCCCATTGGCCACTGCTGCTAAAATGCTTTTAGAGAGGTTTTAAAGACGAGCAACAATTTTCTCATTGCTCTCTGCTCCCAGAAGCAGGGCAAGATTCCCCTCGCTGTACTCAGGGAGGTGGGGAGGGCTGGGACACCTGCTCTGCCTTTACCAGGTCCCAGCTTACCTGTCGGTGGCATCCAGGGGCTTTTTGGATCCCCCCCAAGCCGCAATAACAGCCGTAACCATTGTAAGACAGCAGAGATTTCCCGGTCTTGTGCTTAATCATTGCTCCAAACTGGAGCACGTTGCAGCTGGCGAGGGCCAGTCCTACAGCTGGAGAAGTTGTTTAGGAGCACTGGAAAAAGCAACCTCCCATCCTACCCTTCCACAGCAAAAATGAGCATTTTCACCCTTCCCATCTCCATGGACAGAACCCGTGAGCACCAGACTTTCCTGGAGGATGGGAGCTGGCAGGGGGTTACTCACAGAAGAGGAAAAGTAAGAAGAGCTTCATGTCTGGTAGTGGCAGCTCCAGGGTTTGGTGAACCTGACGTGCTGCCGGTCACACCTTTTATAGTCACTGTGTACCTTTGGCAAGGCCCCTCCTTTGGAGGGCAAATATTGACAATCTTCACCATATTGCTCTTGCTACGTGTGCAAGTCCCTTGGCACTGCTGGAGGTCCTAGCTGTGGGGTGCCTTATACTGCTGGAGCCCTTGGCAGGGGAGGGTTTGGTGGACTGGCATGAGTAGGGTAGACTGGGGTCAGCTCCATGCATGGCTCTGGGTATCTCAGCATCTCAGTGCCTCCCCGAGCAAAATGGGAGAACCTGAGGGAGAACAGGAACCACTTAGTGGAAGATGTCCCTGCCCATGGCAGGGGGTGGAATGAGATGAGCTTTAAAGTCCCTTCCAATTCAAACCATTCTGTGATCCCATGATTCACTTTCTTCCTGGATGCCTATATTAGTTTTTTGATGTCTTGGCTAGAAAACACCATTCTATGTCTTAGTGTTTCCATCCTGACTTAACTGGGCAGGGAAAAAAGGCAGCCAGTGCAAAGCATCCTCCACTTCTGACTTACCAGAGTGGGTGAGATGCAACAGTGGGAGCAAAGGAAGATCCTGTGGTCCTCCAGAATGGCTGTGGCTGGAGATAGGGCTGAGCCACATACGGTGGGGGTTTTTGGTAGTGGGGACTTCTGAGGTCCCAAATGCCCCTTGCACATGGGGGTGCTCTGTCCCTCTCCCTGTGTATGCTGGGCACTGTGTTTTGCTCTCAAAAAGATGAGCCCATGGCATGAGGTGTCTGGCTCACCTTTGTTTAGAAGCAAAAGAAGGCAAGTGGCAGCATAAGGGGAAAAAATGCAAGTTTAAGGGAAGGGGGAAAGAGAGAGGCTGGTTGTCGTTTGCTCTGAGAGAATCTCTAATTAAATAGATGATGCTGAACAATCATTTAGCAGACTTCTGTCAGATATTGCAGGTGCCCAGTGCTCTGTGCTGCTTTTTGGAGAACCCCAGCATGGGCAGGCAACTGAGGCAGGGGAGGAAATCCCCCCGTGGCTGGTAGGGAAACTGAGGCAGGGAACAGGGACTTGTGTGGGAATCAGAGAGGTGGTGAGAAAAGGGAACTCGGCTCAGCACCATCTGTTCCCCCTTCTGGCATGAGATGTTTGTCTCATCAGCTCTCCGGGCTAATTTAAGCAGACCCCTTGGACACCATTGAGTTAATGACCTGAACCAGGGGTTGCCATAATTCAGGATTTTCCGAGTCTACAACCAGTTTTATCACTGAGAAATAAGGTATTTTCTTATCAAACTGGCTGAGCCCCACGTGAAAGCCTCTTCACCCCAGCCCCTCTACCTGTGCCAGGTTTGCAGTATCCCTTCTCCAAATGGGAAATAAGCCCCAACAGGGTCAAATGCCTCCTGGAAGGATGTGGATTTTGTTTCACAGTACAAACCCACAACTTTTCCAACCCAATTTATTGCCATGTGTCTGACCCCACACATCAGCACTTGGAGCTCCGTATGAATGGATTTGTACAGCCAGACCTCCAAGCAGGAAAATACATGGATAGTTAAAATTCACCCAGAGTTTACAAAGGGAGAGTTTATCTTGGCCTGAAATCTGTCTGGGATGTCCTGTAGGTGAGGATTTGATCCTTGATTTGTGCCTTGCAAACAGCAGCTGCTGGGTGAAGGGCCGCCCACTCCTTCCTCATCTCCCCAGGATTACGTGGTGCTGGAGGAGGAAAAGGAGGGTGGAGGGGCCTGATTCCTGGGTGACAGCTGGTGGGAAGCATCACTGATGTAAGGGATATTGCCTGGCCCCATTGACTTCAGCTTTGGGGCAAGCCAGGGAGGGAATTCCAGCTGGACATCAGCCCCTGGGGAAATTGTGTTTTGTTGCTGTTTCTGTGGCTTTATTTCATTGCAGAGCCCCAAGGGGGTTTGGAGCACCGAGACCTCCTGGGGTCAACCCTGCAGGGCACAAAACATGCGCAGTGGGGAGGTTTTTTCCTAAGGGATGCGCTCAGAGTTGTTGCAGAATCGGGCCAAAACATTCTTTTCTGGTGAGAAGTCTGTTTTGCTCATCGCTGGTGTCAGGCAAGCTCCCGGCCACCCCGGCACAGGGTGTTCAGGGAATCTTAGAATATCCTGAGTTGGAAGGGACTCACAAGGATCATTGAACGCCAAGCCCTTCCACCCACTTCCACTTCTCCATCTCAGAAAAAAACTGGACATTTTCAGAGTCTGAAGGCTCGGGGCTAAGTGGGGCAGTTCAGAGGTGCGGCTGCACTTCGGTGGGAATTGTGTCACCTCTCAGGTGTAATTTTTTCCAGGTATTTCAACAGGAAACCTGTCTGAGAGGCGAGGGGTGGTCTCTGGGCTCAGCTGAGTCATGGCACACTGAGAACTGCTGCCTTGGGCTCTCTGTTTTTATTTGGAGCAACAGAAGGTGAAGCAAGAAGCGGAGAGAGCAGACAGGCTGTGGGGGAGCCGGAGCCAAGGGGAGACACTCCCGCTGGTTCCCTGTGCCCCTCACAGGGACGAGGGGCAGGTGTCCACTCCTCCCTTTTTTTGCTGTGCTGAAACATCGCGTCAGCGCTGCTCCCCCTCCTCAGATCCAGTGGACACTGACGCAACTTCACCGGAGGGTTGTTGTCCTCGTGCCAAAGCCAAAAAGCCCCGAGGAGGAGACTCGCCAGGGCTGGGAAGCGCTGCCGACCCCGTCCCTTCGTGGATCAGCCCGGAGGTGGTTTTGCAAAGGGAATTTTTTGCTTCAACACCTCCCGGCTCGTCCCCGGCACTTGATGCGGCGCCGGAGCAGCCTCTGGCCGCGCATCCGGCACAGCAGGGCCGCCCGCTCGCACCTGCAGGCACTTCTCTGGCACCACGTCCCCGACCCTGCAGGGACCGCACAGTACATCTGAGACCTTCATTTGGGCGTATCTCCCGGGGGCTGCCCAAAAAAGGACACCGCAAGAGAGGGAGATGGTCTGGAAAGGGGTATCCCAAGGCAAGGGGGTGAGGACTCACTGCAGGTGGAGATTCCTGCCTGGGGTGCTGAGAGGGGCTGGAAGGGTCCCACGGGGCACCGCCGAGCCGCCAGCTTGGCATAGCAACAGGCACGGAGCCGGCAGCACCTGCAGGGAGAAGGAATGTGGCACTGGCTGCTTCTGACCTACCTGACATAGGCTCTGCGAGCTGGGCAGGAAGAGCCACCAGCTTTGCATCCTCTGCTCTGAATTGCCCAGCAACTGCTCTTTCCAGCCCGTTCCCATGCCTCTTCTTCCCTGTGCAAGCCCTGCCCAGCATCCTGGCTTCAGGACCATCCCTCTCCACTGGTGCTATCCCATGAACCAGGCAGTTGTCGCTGGCACCACCCTACTGACTGCGGGGCTGGAATTAGGGGTGAGCACTGAGCTTTCCCTGCTTCCCAAAAACCTGTTCCCTTCCTGCTGCTGCCCAGTACTTGGTCTGCGCTTTGCAAAGCTTCGGGGTGGGCTGAGGGGGTTGTGCACAGCCCTGGGGTTACCCCAGGGCCAGCATTAGCCCTCTGAGGTCAGTGCTAGCCCTCTGGGGCAGCGTTGCCTGTACCGGTCCAATGAAGCCCTTGAGGTGCCCCATCCCGAGTAGCATCCGTGGGCAGTCAGATTTCCTACAGTGCTTCCCTCGAGTCCCGGTATGAAGGTACGTGGGTGCTTCCCATGAGCTGTGAACACACCTGGAGTGGCCAGAAAAAGTGATTTTTTTTGTAAGTTATATGCAGAAATGAGGCCTGGGGAACGAGGGAGGAGAGGAGGGAGTCCCCTTGAGGAGTGCACAGGAGTTTGGGGATGCACATTGGCACAGGGATGGGGCCTGGCTCCTGTCTGTGTGGGTCGGGGATGCACTTACTGCAGGCAAACAGCATTGTCAGCACCAGCAGGACCTTCATTTTCCTCTCACCTGGGCCTGGGAGGAAAAACAGAGGACAGGCTCAGCCAGGCAGCTTGGCTGGTGCTGCCATGCATACCTTCCTCTCTGAAATTGGGTCAAATCACCCTAAAATTTGGAATGAAGAAAGCAGCTGGGGCTCCTCACCTCTGTTTTGCTGCCTCTTGGCTGACAGCAAGTGGTTTCTGAGGCTGTTCCACCACCTGAGCATCCCCAACCTCCTGTCCCACCACTGAAGCATAGTCCTCATGTCCACTACCCCAGCAGTTCCCACCCCCTATCCCACCACCTAAGCATGTCCCACCACCTGTCCCACCATTCCAACATTCCCCACCTCCTGTCCCACCGCTTTTGACACTTCTCCCCCGTGGTCCAACGTCCCAACTGCATTTTTATCTGGGAACAATGACCCTTTTCCTACACTTTTCTTCCCTCCCAGCAGAAGGCAGCGTTCCCGATGTCCTCCCGACATCCCCCCCTATTTTTGTTTCCATGGCAGGGGGGTAGGGAGGGGGGACTTGCTCACCGGGGGATCTCCCTCGCTGTCAGTCCGTCCTCCCGAGGAAAGCCTGCCCTCCGTATCTGGCCTGCGGGCTCTGAACTGAAAGCGCCGAAATTACTCTGTCCGAAAAACACCAAGTGCTACGCCCCTTCCCTCACCGGCCAACCCCCCTCGCCCTGTGGGCTGCAACCCGGAGTGACGCAGAGACCGAGTTCTTGGAAAGTTTTGGGAAGATGTTGATTATTTACAGGGATTTCTCTCCCTACCCAGCAGCAGCTCTCAGAGGACGTTGTTTATTTTCACGTTACTTAAATTTACAGCAGTACAGGCAGGAATGCAGGGAGCTCCAAATTTCGACTCCTATCACCTGCACAGGTAATTGGGATAGAACTGGTAGCGTTTCCTGTAGCTCCTGACGTTTCTCTTCAGGCACAGTGCCAGGCTGCGGTCACACTCACAGGAGAGCTGAGCACACCAGGAGTCCTTTCCTGTGGGAAGAGGAGAGCCCAGGGTCAGACCTGGCTTTACGATGGGCTAACACCCCCTTTTCCCGGGTCCTACTCACTGCAGGAGGGGCTGCCGTGGTGCCCCTTGTAGTGGTAGCTCTGCTTCTTGGCGTCACAGTCATGGCTCAGGAGGCCGAGGTAGCAGGTATCGTGTAGCTGGCAGCACCTGCAGGGGAGATCAAAACTTTAGGGATTGGGCTTTTCCCTCCCTCACTCCTCACATTTGAAAATATTCAAGGATGTGTTCAGACAGGGGGGGGTTAGGTGGGTTCTCACCTGTCTGAGGCGTCCTTGGGCTGCCCCTTGCCCCCCAGGCCGCAGTAGCAGCCGTAGAAGGCATAGTGCAGCAAAGCGTTTTTCCCTGTCGCCTCCGTGATCATGTTGTGCAGCTGCAAGAGGCTCCCGTGGGCTGGGGACAAGCCTGGGGAGGGAAAATCAGGGGGTTCATGATGATTCCCAACCCCCTCGCAGCATCTCCATCCCTCCAGCCCCTGAACTGGCACCAGGGTGGTGATGTCTTAGAAATTATAAGACAGTGGAGAGGGAATTTGTTCCCAGCTTGGTGCAGGAGAGTTGTTGCATATTTGGGAGGGGTGGCGATGGGAAAAGGTGAAGAAATCACCAGCCTGGTTCTAATTTCCACAGATGTAACTGCCCAGGGAGCCGTGGGACTGGTGGGACTGAGGACACTTACGCCAAGCAAACAGCACAGAGAGGCCCAGGAGACAATTCATCCTTCTGACAGCCCTGGGAGAGGAAACCAAACCATTCCCTGTTATACCAAAACCAAACCATTCCCTGCTACCCTTCTTTCTTTCTCTCCTCATCTGGGAACAGAGATTCTCCCCCTCTCTATGGACTAGAGAAAATGAGGGCAGTGAAGATGCACCCATTGCTTCAGCACAAAGCACTGGGGAGGGAAAGTCATGGGGATCGGATGGTGCAGTGTTGGAAAAAAGCAAAATGAAGAGAAAGGGAGAAAAGTTGGAGGAATTATCAGCCCTCGAGGGCTGCACCCACTGCTCTTCCTCCAGGCCGGCATCTCAGGTAGCATCTCCTTTGCTCCTGCTTTCACAGCATGGATTTTGCTCCCATCTTACTTCTGGTTAAAGTAGAAAAGGGAGAGAAAGCATTCCTCCATCCCCACTTACCTTGGGAAAGCTGCTGCTGCCTTGCAATGCCCTGCAGCCAGCTGGGCTTGCTTTATATAGGGTTTGCTCCCATCTGTTTGGGGCTCCTTTGACTCAAATGTTGCTGATTGGGCTTTTCTGCAAAGGAGAAGGTACCATCCTTCCCCTTCACAGGAGTGTCAGAAATCCCCCCAGTGCCCCAGCTCTGTACCTCACACACGGGGGCTGGTGCTGGGTGGGATGAGGTGGCAAAGCATCGTCACTTCCAGCCTGAGGAGGAAGCTAACACGCCCTAATCCTGGTCAGAAATGCCTGAAGATCTTTTACTTTGTCTTTCCCAGCACCACGGAGCTGGGAAAGAACAACCCTGGTTCAGCCAAGGCAGGAATGAAGCAGGTTTGGGATTTTCAAGGGGGTTTTCAGTTTGGGAACTGACTCTCTGCAAAACTGGTTCAGGGTAAGTTGTCAGTTGTTTGGGGAAAGTCTGTGGGCAAACTGAAAGTATCTCTAAATGTGCAGTTCCTGGAGACATGAGGTCAGGCAGACACTGGATGATTAAACCCTCCCTCACTGTGAGAAAAAAATGAATCAAAATGAATGTTTTGTGGTGAGCAAATGCAACTTCCCTTATTTTATTCTGGATGATCTTCCCACACTCTCATTACAGCTCTTCTGCAGAAACTATTCAGTCACCAACTGCCCTCCTAAATTAGCATCCACCTAATTTATCTGGTCATGGTTTTGAAATCTTCCCTCCTCTGTGGATGGCTATTCTTTAGCCTTAATTTTCGTAGAATCCCATAATGGTTTGGGTTGGAAGGGACCTTAAAGCTTATCTCGTTCCATGGGCAGGGACACCTTCCACTATCCTAAGTTGCTCCACGTTGGGGTAGGCCTGTGAATTACAGCCCTATTGGGACCATGGAAGTATTGGGATGTTGGGCAGAGGGTGTGGCTGAGGTGTGGGATGCAAAAGTGCTCCCCAAACTCGGCAGCCACCATTGTAGTGCCTCAGTCTCAGTGGCCCTTACAGAAAAACACCACAGAATCAGTTTGCATTCCTTTTATTGTAGGTCTTTATTATCTTTGCTGGGAAGTGAAATCAAGGGAGGAGGAAGGGACAAAAAAGAGGACGTTGGTGGGTCTTTCTGAGAACTGGGGGGTCTCCATTCAAGACGTGTGCCCTTCCTCACGCTGAGCACCTCGCAGGGAGCCTCATGGGCTCTGCTTCTGCTCAGCCCCCACCCCAGGCTTTTCTTGCCACAGCAGTGGGGGAAACCAGACAAAATCTGGAGCTCTGTGTGCATATTCCCCTTCCTCAGCACTGGAGCTTGTCTCCTTGGCATTTCAGCTTGAAGTAGAAGCGGTAGGAATGACTGTACGAAGGCAGAGTGCTTGCGAAGCACAAGGCCACTGCCTTGTCACACAGGCAAGTCTCCCTCTCACACCAGCTCTGCTTGTTACCTGAGGGGTGGAAATACAGTGTCCTGTAGTGGCTTTTCTGGTGGGGTCCCCTCAGGATGCCTCCAGTGCCTGGAGCTTCCTGAGGGAAGTGGATGAAACAATGTGTCCCAGTGCTTGCTCTCTCTGACCTGTTGCATTCCTTGCAATGCCCATTTAATTATCAAACTTGGACAGGAATCAGGCTGGTTTCACCCCAGGGGTTGCCCTCCCGAGTGCCCTGCTCCGGGGATGGGGTGTCATGGGGAGCAGTGCTGGTCCCCCACCTCCATGGAACCCCTGTTCTATACTCACTGCAGGTGATGTGTCCGTCATCAGTGGCGAAGGTGTACGGGGTGATCAAGGGGCTGCACTTGCCCTCCCTCACCCTCCTGTAGCAGCAGTCGTGGGCTTGGCAGCACCTGTGGGGACACCACGTCAAACTGCGGCCCCCCAACCCTCCCTCACCACACCTGGAGGGTAAAGGAAGGTCCAGCCTCAAATTTAAGGTGACCAGGAGGAGGGGATGGTCAGGCAGCAGCAAGACATGGCTGGGGAATGGGGCGAACTCCCCAGAGCACAGGAGCTGCAAGGGAGGGGCTTTTTAGGGACTGCCCTTCACTGGGGGTGGTGAGTGGTGATGCTGTTCCAGATACTCACCGGTCGGTGGGATCCACGGGGGTCCCTCTGCCCCCGATGCCGCAGAAACACCCGTACCAGCTGTAGGAGAGCAGGGCACTCTTCCCTGTGGTCGACCTGATCATCCGCTCCAGCTCCAGGATGCTGGTGCCAGCTGGGAGCAGCCCTGTGGAGAGGCAGAGGGATGGGGCTTGTGCCGGTGCAGCGTGGGGAAGCTGGTGGTGTTCCCGACACCTCACGCCAGGCAGGGAATTAAATAAGTCTGGCATTGCTAGAAACACACATTCAGGAATTTGAACCATGAGGAGCCCTAACACCCCCCAAGGATTATAGAATCATAGAATTCCAGAATGGTTTGGGAGTGAAGGGACCTTAAAGCCCATCTCATTCCACCCCCTGCCATGGGCAGGGACACCTTCCACTAGACCAGGTTGCTCCAAGCCTCATCCAGCCTGGCCTTGAACACTTCCAGGGATGAGGCAGCCACAGCTTCTCTGGGCAACCTGTGCCAGGGCCTCACCACCTAAACAGGGAAAATGTCTGGCTTCTGCACCCCCTTGATTCAGTCGGGCAGAAGGTATTGCTCTCTGGTCAGGCAAACCCGCAAGCCATGCTGCAAACAACAATCCCCCATCACCAGGATCAGCCATGGGCTTGGCACAGGCAGGAAATGTTCCAGCAATCTCCAGGGCGCCATAAAATAAATATGGATCTGGGCATCCCAAAGCCTCCCTGTCACAAAGCCCTCCATGACTCCTGCAGTGCTACACGAAGTGTTGGAGTGAAACCACAAAATTTAAACAAAAACCTGAATTGTTCCCAAATCTTGAGGTTGGCAGGTGGATCCCGGTGTGTCCTGGGGACAGCGGGGCACTTACCACAAGCCAGGAGCACAGCAAGAAGGAGATTCCTCATCCTGGGGCTGCTCTGGAGAGGGAACAGCAAAGATGGGCGATGAACCAGGGGCAGGACAGGAACTCCCCCAGTGCCCACACCAAGGGCATGGAACCGGTTGGTTGGCAATGCCTCGTGGTGACATTCGTGTCACTATGGATTCACAGCCTTGTGAAGGCATCACCATGTCCCTATGACTCCTCATGGGGCCTTTAGCCTGGATTTGGGATGCAGCCCTTGTCACGGACATGGTGGCTGATCCTGCCTGGGGCTGATGAGGCAGCTCTCTATTCACAGCCTCCCCCCACCACCCCCTGAGCTGCCAGATGAGTAATAGGGCAATAAATTCCCACTCTCCTTACCCCTCCTGGACCTGCAGCTCTGATGCCACTGGCTCAGAGGGTTTGGTTTTTATAGCTGGCCAGGCCCACCCCCTCCTCTATCTGCGCTGTCATCCCAAGCTGGGCTCACCCGGAGCAGGGAGCATGTTCCCATCCTTCTCTTTCCCAAAAATCATTAGTTGCCCCAAGCGGTGAGCACCAACATTCCCTCCATCTGCTCATCACTGGGTGTGAGGCCATCTCCATACCTGCATGAAGCCAGTCAAGGCCTTCGCCATGGTTTTAAAATCTGTGGGATCTAGTGGCTGGAGTGATGGGATAAAAGTGATTTACATCGGGGCTGGCACCTTAGAGGTTGCTGAATCCTTGTTCCAGCTGCAGAGATGGCACTTTGGGCTCAGTGTTGTCTCAAGTGAAGTTTTGCCAATTCACACCTTGAAGCTTCAGAGGTGGTTTCTCTTGGCTCCTTCCTTGCAATTGTCCCCTCAGATCCATGGCTGCATCCAAATCCAGCCTCACTGAATCACAAGGGGAGGCGAAGGGAAGACAGCCAACACCACAAGTGCAATTCCTGGGTCTGCAGTTTTCCTGTCCTGCCCTCTGTGGTTTTCCTGTCTGCCCAGAGTGTGTGGGCAAGGGGTCTGAGAAATTAAATCACGAGCAGCAAAGGCTGGAAAAGCCATGGAAACCTGACTTGGAATGCTTGGGGTATACAGTTTATTTAATAACCATAACTCAAACATGATACAGAGAGAGGGGGGAGGCAGAAAACCAGAGGAGATAAGGAACAAAAGCTGCTGGTTTTCCCCTGAAACCGTGGGGCCAAGTGCAAACACAGACACAAATACAGGTATCTGGTGATATGCAGGGCTCCACCCTCAGGGATTAACCTGGGGAGGGGAATTCGGGGTTGAGAATTGTAAGGAAATGACTTAGGGGTCTGGAGTCAAGAAGAAAAAACTCTGTGGAATTTCTTGAGAAGCCACCAAAGCTGTCGCTGGAAGGGACGTCACCTCCTGACTGTTCTCCAAGGGGGCAGAGATGTCTGTCTTGGGGCTTTGCTTCCCTCTAACCCTTAATTTTCTGCTGCAAGTGGAATAAAAACCTGTCCAAGCCCATTAAGAATGGGGAGCAACACCTCACCCACCTCCTTACTCGGCATCTGCACAAGAAACCATCCCAAAATGCCACAGTGACAATCCGACAGCCAAACCCCTGCTTTCCTTACCTCACTTCTAAAACCAAGGCACTCTCTAGTAATTAATTGATCCCTTTCCCACCTCCTCCACAAACGCTTCCATTACAGAAGGATTCCCCAGGTGGTGTTCATTGGCTGTGCTATTTGTGTTTTAGCATTGCAAGTCCTCGGTTTTGGGGGAAAGACCTGAGTTTTTGCTGTAGAGTTTGGATAAACCTGCATGAAAAGCATAATCTGAGGGCCTAATTGAGAGCAGGAATCCTGTGGATTTGGGATCCACACATGGTTTTAACCAAATCCCTCATTTTAAGCCCTCTCTCTCTGCAGGGGGTCTCAGGAGAGTGACCAAATGAAGCTAAACCCTCTGTTTAATTAACCCACAGACTCAAGGGCTTAAAAAACCACCCATAGAAGTTATCATCCCCTTGGATCCGTGGAACTTTTCAGCCTTCTTAGGGAACAAAGAGAGTTGGGTATCACCCACACATCTGTTTGTTCAGGGCCTTACTGAAGTGTAAATGTGCTGGGTGCTTTGATCTGCAATGCTCCAGTTTTCCCAGCAATATTGCCAAATATCCTGGGCTGAGATGAGCTGATAGGAAACTATTTCTTTACTTATTTTGTTTCTTTTTAGTGCTTGGGTTTGCCTTGATCTTCCCCCCTCACAGGGTGGAGAACCCAAGTTTATGATGGATATTTATTGCTTGTTTCTTTGGTGCCATTGATGGCCATCTGTTGGTGGGAGAAGAAGGTGGTTAACTGGGAGTGGGTTTAAAAAGGGTTTAAAAAGGGATTAATGGGGAGAGAGGGAAATATCAGTGTTATGTGGGGTGTTCCCAGAAGGGAAACTGACTCAGGGATCATTTGTAGCCAGGGGAATCAGGACGACTCCCCCTCCCTCCCAGGATAAAGAAAGCTTAAAACTCCCCAAAAGCACAGTTTTAGGTCCCAGGAAGATCTTGTGTGTAAAGTCTAATTTTTTAATGGTGTTTTCATAATAAATTTTGGGGTTTATTTGTCTGGGTTTATTCTGCGGTCACTGAATAATGTCACAGGGGGTTAAACTCTGTCTTGTGCTCCACCTCTCCTCCCCCCCCCCCCCCCCCACTGCCTTTGCTCAGGACAGGCTGTAACACTTCATTTTTAAAATTTTAGAGTTAAACCCCGAAGATTTGAGTATTTAAGTGGGGTGGCAACATTGTGGTTTTGACTAGGGTGGGATGGGGGAATGAGACCTCCTATGTGAGGTAGAGGGACAACCTTGGTGCCATACTCACCTACGGGTGTGGAGCAGCTGTTTGGGAGGGACCCAGCTGTCACCCACCCTGCTCATCCTGCCTTGTGTCCCACAGGATGAGGCCTGCGGAACCTTCTCAAGGTGGTGAGGCTGTTCCTGTGCCACTGATGAGGCCTGAAGCCTCAACACATCCCTGCACAGTTTGCACAGGTATGTCCCTGCCATCTGCACCAGCGTGTCATGGCTGTCCCTGAGCCTGGTGATGTCCCCTGGGTCTGCCCTGGGGCATTCTGGCTGTCCCATCCCTGAATCCAGGGAATCCCAGCTATCCCAAGCCATGGTTCCATCTCTGTTCCACCCCTGTCCCCATCCCTCTCCCATCCCTGTTCTCACCCCTATTCCATCCCTATCCCATCCCTGTCCTCAGCTCTATCCCATCACTTTCCCATCCTTGTTTCCATCCCTATCCCATCCCTGTCCCCATCCCTATCCCCATTCCTATCCCATCCCTGTCCCGTCCCTGTTCCCATTCCTGTTCTCATCCCTATCCCATCTGTATCCCATCTGTAAGGTAAAACATACACAGGTATTCTTCCCAAGAACGCCAAGGCAGTGGAAGGTTTAAAAGAAAAGGATTCCTTTTTTTACGATGCGGTGCATTGGGCCCCCAGGGGAAAAAGGCACCTCCTGTTTTCCCCTTCGAGTTTTTATTATCTCCACTCCCCCCTCTCTCCCTGCTGGAATGCCAAGGCCTACGGCATCTGCTCTCTCCTCACATGTCGGAGAGCAAGCTTCTGGAATGCAGCGTGGGGGGAGAGAACAGCACTGTTTTGAGAAGTGGCAAGGGAACCTTTTCCTAAAGCGAAATAACTGACTCCTGGGTAACAAAGTCTTCGGCAAAAAAAGTTACTTACCCTACCCCATTCCTATCCCATCCCCATCTCACCCCATCCAATCCCTTTCCCCATCCTTGTCCTCATCCCTGTCCCACCCCATCCAATCCCTTTCCCCATCCCTGTTCTCATCCCTGTCCCACCCCATCCGATCCCTGTCCCATCCCTGTCCTATCCCTGTCCCATTCCTGTTCCCATCCCTGTCCCATCCCTATTCTATTCCCGGGGGGCGGTGCTGGGATCGGCGCGTTGCGGTGGGCGGGGCCTTGCGCGTGACAGGAAGTGGCGCGGTCTCCATGGCAACGGCGTCGGCCGGCGGGCGCGGGCGGGTCGGAACAGGTGAGAGACGGGATCGGGATAACGGGACCGGGATTGGGACTAGGATAAAGAGACCGGGATAAAGGGACCGAGTTCGGGGTTCGGGGCCGGGATTGGGATCAGGGTGAGGGATCGGGGTTGGCTGGGGGGCGGTGGAGCCGCGTTATAGTGCCCGGGTCTGTCTGCTCTCTTGCCGTGGGGGCCGGCAGTGGAACCGGGCTGTGGGCTCAGGCCTACTCCTGGTGCTGGGCTCAGCCTTAAGCCCAGCTGTGTGGCCCAGGCCTGGCTGTGGCACCGAGGGCTCTGCTGTGGGGCTGGGCTGGGCTGGGCTGGGCCAGCCCTCACCAGGACAAGACAGAACGGGCAGGAACTGATGCCCAGGAAGTTCCACCTGAACATGAGGAAGAACGTTTTTGCATGGCACAGGTTGCCCAGAGAGGGTTTGGAGTCTCCCTCACTGGAGACTTCCAGAACCGTCTGGACACAATCCAGTGCCATGTGCTCTGGGATGACCCTGCTGGAGCAGGGAGATGGGACTAGATGAGCCACTGTGGTCCCTTCCAGCCTCACCCATTCTGTTGTTCTGTGATGTAGGGCTGGGATTTGGAGTTGTCACCCTCCCAGGCCCTGGTGTCACTATTTTGGGGGCACCCGGCTGCAGGTTCCCATCCCAACTCCTCCCCAGGCACTGTATTTTAAGTGTCTCCCCTTGGTAAATCTTTGACATATACTGTGCTGCAGTGGTACAGGCCCTCACAGGAGGGTCCCACTATGGTTTCTCACAGGTTAGTTGTTTGAGGTTTTAGTTCTTGGAACTGGCAGTGTTACTGGTGATATCTGTAAGTGCTCCCCTGGGCTTGGGAGTCCTTCCTCAGTGCCTTGTTGCCTTGGAGTTTATTTGTTAGGAGCACTAAGGGGAAGGCACACACTCCCCTCCCTCCCACAAGCTCCTGGGAAACTGGGATGAGTCACCCGGGTGGGTGTCCCTGTCTGGCTCTGCTGGAGGCTAAGGAGGGACAGGTCTGTCCGCTGGGGCTGGGCAAGGGTGTGCTAGGACTCTGTCTTGCTGAGCGTTTCCATTTCACGGAGCTGGAGGAGAAATCGAGTGGTAAATAACACACTGCTGGCAAAGCACCACCAGGGCTGTTCCCTCTATTTGATTTAGAATAGAATCCCCAGATGCTTTGGGTTGGAAGGGACCTTAAAGCTCCTCCAGTCCTACCCCCTACCATGGGCAGGGACACCTTCCACTAGCCCAAGTTACTCCAAGCTCTGTCCAACCTGGCCTTGGACACTTCCAGGGATGGAGCAGCCACAGCTTCTCTCGGCAAGCTGTGCCAGGGTCTCACCACCCTCACAGGGAAGAATTTCTTCCCAATAACCCATCTAACCCTGCCCTCTGGCAGCGGGAAGCCATTTCCCCTTGTCCTGTCACTCCAGGACCTTGTAAATACTCTCTCTGTGTTTCTTGTCAGCTCCTTCAGCTAATGAAAGGCCACAATCAGGTCACCCTGAAGCCTTTTCTTCTCCAGGCTGAACAATCCCAATTCTCTCAGCCTTCCCCCATATCAGAGCTGCTCCATCCCTCTGATCCTCTTGGTGCCTCCTCTGGACTGGCTCCAGCAGCTCCACGTCCTTCCTGTGCTGGGCCCCCAGGGCTGGAGGCAGCTCTGCAGGGGGGTCTCACCTGAGGAGGCAGAGGGGCAGAATCCCCCCCTCCCTTGCTGCCCACACTGGGGGATCAGCCCAGGGCACAGAGGGTTTCTGGACTGTGAGCACACATGGACAGAGCATATTCAGCTTTTCATCCCCCAGCACCCCCAGGTCCTTCCCTGCAGGGCTGCTCTCCATCCCTTCTCCACCCAAGTGTGCCTTGGGATTGCCCTGACCCAGCTGTAAGATTTTGCACTTGGCTTTGTTGAACATTGTGAGGTTTGCACAGACCCTGCCCTGTGCTGGGGTGACAAACAGCAGCTGAGTCCCACTGTCATTTCTGGAGAATGCCAAGCAATCCAAGTTGATTTTCTTTTTCCCTTGATAAATGCTGCCATGCAAACCACAGGAATGGAAGGGGGGTGTATGACCCTGTGGCACTTCTCAAAGGGTTGTTGTGAAGTTGCGACCCGGCTGGCTGGGCTGTCACAAGGCCTGTCCTGGTACAGCCAAGCGCTCTGAGTGCAGCTTAACTTGGGGAACATGCAGCAGAACATGGCTTTATCTTTAGTGGAGGTTGCATCACAGTCACAGAATATCCTGAGCTGGAAGGGACCCACAAGGACCATCCAGTCCAACCCCTGGCCCTGCACAGGACACTCCAACAATCCCTCCATGTCCCTGAGAGTGTGGTACAAACGCTGCTGGAGCTCTGGCAGCCTTGGGGCTGTGCCCACTGCCCTGGGGAGCCTGTTCAGTGCACAACCACCCTCTGGAGGAAGAACCTTTTCCTGAGATCCAAGCTAACCCTCCCCTGACACAGCTCCAGCCATTCCCTTGGGTAAATCATTCTGTTAAGCAGCTTTTGGTCACAGAAGGGTTAGAATGAGTTTCTCTGTATTGAATCAGGGGTTTTCAACCTCAAGGATCTTCAGAGATGTTTAAAAAGCAAAGTGTAGTCAATCTTACCCCAAAATCCACAATGGGAACTCAGTCTGCCACTGCAGGAACAGAGAAAAGGCCAGGGCTGTGCTTTGAAGTTTACTCATCTCCCATTTGCACTGAGTTTCCAGCTTCAGAATTAAACAAAAAAATTGTCCTTTCCATCAAAAAACTTACTTTCAGTGGGGAAGGGCACAACTTCCTGATGCTCTGGGTCAAGTTTACACAACTCCTGACAAATCTAGCCCCTATAAATAACACGTCTCCCACTGCCCTTACTGCACCGCAGGACTGCCCACACAGTGACCCACTACATTTATTCTCTTTTTAGCTGACACACAGCACAGTGTGGGAGCCATAGGGAGATTAAACCCTCTAGAAGCTTCCTGGCCAGTTCCTGTAACTTTTCCCTCTGCTCGCAGCCTGCAGGTGCAATGGCCACAGTGGCTTTCCTGGACGCAGCACTAGCTCAGCTCTGCTTCCCTCCGAGCACAGCCACTCTCCTGTGGGCCAACACTGTCACCATGCACGTCACCAGGCCCAAATCTGCCAAGGGACGCAGAAGGCCAAGCTTCAGCCACCCTCAGGACGTGGAAGCCTGTCCATGCCAAGTGCCTTCTTCCCCACCGGCAGCCTCTCCTCGGGGATTAGCGAGCAGCCAGAGAGCACCACTCACAAAACTGGCGTTCCCACCCACTCAGGTGTCTCCTGAGGAAATCCCGGAGCTCCTGCAGCAAGTGCCTCTGAAGACCTCCTCTTCCCTGAACAAGTACCGGGTGCTCCCCTCCATCGGCTGGAAGGGCGTAGGGAGCAATGCCATGGAAGCGCTGGCTCAACAGACCGACCGGCTGGAAGTGAGTGAGGGGCAGAAGAACACTCTGAAATTCAGCAAAACTCTGTCTGGAGAACAGGGATCTGGCAGTACATTGTCAGGAAGCGATGTTCCCGCTGAGGAGAGCTCCCACATGCACTGTCCCCCTGAGAAGCGGGGAAGGAAAATGAGGCAGGAGAGCCCTTCCATGTCCCCTCTAAGCTTAGAAGAGCCCCACATGCTGCTCGCGGTCCGGTCTCCCTCTGGCCAGAGGTTTGAGCACCACTTCAAACCCTCTGACAGTCTCCTGACAGTCCTTGCCATGGCAGGACAGAAATTGTTGGCCAACTACCAACACTGCAGCATTGAAACGATGGAAGTGCCCCGGAGGAGCTTCTCTGACCTTACAAAGTCCCTCCACGAATGTGGGATCCTCCACAAGTCTGTGCTGTGCATTCGACAGGACAAGCAGCACGATGCAGCAGATCTTTAGGCACACGGAGATGGGTCGTTCTGCTGAGTGGGATGTGTTGCTTCTTCCAAAAAAAACTGAGTCCGATGTTTCCTGGGCCTACTCTTGCCATCTTTCACAAATTCCCATGAAGCAGTTATGGATGTTGAGAAATAGTATTTCAGGTGTATAAACCTGCATCATAAAGAGCAGCTTGTTTCACCTGTGCCATCACAAATTGCTTCCTGAGTGCCACCAACCTTCAGCCTTTTTGGTTTGTTGAAGTTGCTGATGTTCTTTTTTGAAAACTCAAGTTTCCAAGACCTCTCCTCTTGTCCTTTTCTCTGTTTTTGGAAGGTACTACTTCCCAGAGTGGATCTGGATGCACCTATTTGGGAAGGTAGAAACAGAACTGTTTTACCTGCAGGACTCAGTAGCTGATCATCATCCTAAACATCCAGAGACTGAAAAGGAGCTTAAACCCCTAAACCATCTGGAAATAAGAGTATTAACACATTAATGGGTTATTAGGAAGTATTAAATTGCAAGACTGATTGTAAAATACCTGTGAGGGCTCAGCTCTTTCTGGGTAACCTCAGTCCAGCTCTTTACTGTGACTAAATCACTTTTTTAAGAACATTCTTAAAAAATCTTCTCTCATTCAGCTTGTGTGGTCTGTAGGTAAGAACAGATGAATAATTAAGAAGGGATGTTACAAATAACTCCATTTAACACCTTAACACTGAAGTGAGTTAGTCCAAGAAGCAAAGTGTTGTTTTGGGAATTTTAAAATAAAAATGTATTAATGGGATGTGACTGAGGAATTGGCTCACACCATCTTTTACTAAACCATTATTAAAAGGCTGTTTGGCAGGTTTAGGTAACTACAATGTGCTTGTGCTAAAAAAAATATCTTCTAGTATCTAATGGAAATTCAAATAATTCAAAAATGGATCACTTACTACAGAGATGAGCGACTTTAAATGGTTTGAGGCAAACCCAGTTTATTATTTCAAACCTCAGTGTAACTGCCAAACCAGCCCAGCTCAGGAGCAGAAACACAACAGGAGCAGAAAGCTGATGCTGGTGCTGATCACAAGTGTAGTATCTGATGTTAAATAAGCGTTCAGGGTCCATGGCTTTATAGAACCAGTACCTGATGAAACAGTTACCTGCTGCTGTGGGTGATGGAATTGCACAGCAGCAATCCCAGATATTGAAACACACAGATGCCTTCAACTAAACCATAGCGGGGAGCAAAGTAGTTCAGGAAAAGGAATGATTTTCTATATTCCCTTCAGCATTAGGTGGCTAAATCCCTTGTTCTGACTGCTGTGTACTGTGTTACTTCACCATTTCAGAGTGTTTCCATCCTGTGATAGTACAGCCAATAAAACCTTTCAGGCTGAAACTTGAACTTCAAATGATTTATGTGAGCTGGAGGTTTATCCGTCACATCTCCTCTTAAGAAATGCCCTTAATTTGATGGCAGATAGATCAGGGATTGCCCAGATCAGCCATTGGACAGTCAGCTGCCCTACACACCACCTTGCACTGGCCTTCCTGGAGTTTGGATCTCCATCCTGTGTTGGATACAACACAGCAGTGAGGGAGGAAGCACTTTGGATCAGTGACAAGCTGTTATCAGACACAGGGACCACCACAGAGATGTGAAAGTGCAGGGGCTGATGCTCTAAGCAAGAACAGAAGAGTAAGATAACATAATAACCTGGATCACAGTGGACTTCTCATGCTGGAGGATGTTCCTCCTGCATATCTAAGATAAAGCTGGATGAGTTTGGTTCTAACCACCTCACCCAGATTACAGCATCTCCAAAGATGAGCATTTTAATGATTTCTTTGTCCAAAACCCACATGAAGTCTTTACCTAGGCAAGCACAGTGCAGGGAAAACAACTATTTTCTTCCTCAGTCCTCCTTCTCTTCCCTTCAAAACTCTTCTGGGGAGGTTTTAGAAGCAAAAAGTCCAGCACAAGAAGCACTGGGAGGAATAACAATACTTATCTGACCTCATTTATTGTCTGACATCACTTAACAAAGTTCCTTGTGGGAATCTTTTAAGGATTTCAGCATTGAAATTCAGTCTGTCACAGAATGAGGTGGTCATAAATAGAAAACTTACCATGACTCCTGGGAATGTCCTTACCCGAGGCTTTTAAACACCAACAGAGCATTCAAGCAAGAAATCAGCAAAGGGATCATTCAGTATGTGTTCTTTATTCCAATTAAAAGTACATTAGAAACAGCACACAGGACCAGCAGCAGCTTCCATGACAATTCAGCCCAATACTCTGCTGTCACCAGGTCATTCAGCTGTACTGGGAAAGTAGGTGATAAAATCAAGTCTTCCACTCGACAGGCAAGCACTCACTCACCTGCCACTTTAAATAGGATTCCAACAGAATAAAAATAGATACACCCCAGAATACAAAAAGTTTAATTTTAAGCGTTTTTTTTTTCTTCACTAAAGCTTTTATACAAATTGATAAAAGGGTGCACAATTTCCTAAAATTTTAGGTACATTTTAAATGAGCCTTTTTTTACTTGGTAAAAGGATCCATGTTCCTGTCTTTGAACAGAATATGGTGGCCAGAATTGCAAAGAAAACAAGTCATAGTTTAAATTTACAATTTATACATTTGTTTTGACATGATTCCCACACTGAGTAGCAGGGCCGTGAGCTGTGCACCCTAAATTCTAGTTCAGGAGCCTCCTTCTCCTGGAAACTGGGCTGGGCAACAGCCCACAGGCTTCCAGCTGTGCACATGAGAATGGTCCCAACACACAGGAGGTGTAAATCCTTTCTTCTCCAGGAATTGTGACTCCTACCTCATCCATAGAACACCCCAAGGCAGGGACCAATGACCTATTTTGCACTATGGAGCACTTCCCACCTGCAATTTGGCTGAGCAATTTAACTCAAAACTCTGGTACTGTAACAGGTAAACTTGGTGTTCTAAAGGTAAGTTTCTTGGTCAATACAGGCTATCGTGATCTTTTGTTTCTTTTATTCCTATATAACTGATGGGTGAAGCCCAGCAGCTGTGTACATTATCCATGCTGAGTTTCACAGCATAGGGAACTGAATCACATGGGGGAATTTAATTCACAGAGAGGATTTTAAGCAGACAATTAATTAGTACAGTTCCCTTCATATTGCCCCTCCCACCCCACCCACCCACACCTTAGCCATGTTAAACATGTCACCACCACCCCTTGTCACAGGGAGCGGCCATTCCAACAAATCCAGGACAAGGGAAAAGAAAATACTGCCCAGCAAAAGCAACACGGCACCTGTGTTTGCAAGTAGGAGCTACTGGAAACATCCTCAGGACAATATACGTAAGGAAAAGCAGGGCAAATCCATCAGGAAGCCAGAAATGAGACTTAAAGAGCTCAGGGGAGTGCCAAGAGAATGACATCCTAGTTTGTATAAGTTGAGTATTTAGCCAAAAACCAGCTGCCTTGTTTGGATTTTTGTTTTTTCTTTACTTATATCAATTATATATTCAGCTGTTGAATTTAAACTGATCAGGTTAATGCTGCACATTATTCCAATTAAAGGCAATAATGTTTCTTTTTTCCTTTTTAAATTTTAGATAATTCCATATTGCCCCTCTTTTGGCAAGTGTATTTCTCAGAATTCCAAAGATCATCTCATTTTAAGGCTAAACTAAGAAATGTTAAAAGCTTCTGTAAACATTTCCTCTTCCTCCCCATAGTTGCACAATTTGAAGTCCAACTGCAATTTTGAAAATGAGGTAATTTTTGTGTACTCATATCTTGAAGAGTCCTTTTCGGGACGAGCCGAGAGGCTGTGCCAATCCAAACGCTGATCCAATTGTAGTGGGAGAGCTTCCACAGCAGGGCACACACCAGTTCCAGCAGCTATTTCAGTTATTTATTTTCTCAATTTCATCCAAGTCATCAGTATCCAATTTGTTTATCTTTTTGTCTAGGAAAGATGAGAAATAAGTTAGATTTCATAACACATCACAGAGAAGGGAACGCTGCTCTCCTTAGCTGGACTTGAGGAGTTTTAGTTTATCAGGGAATGTTCAGTTGGGTTTTAAAAGTATAAATTAAAACTTTTTCCTTTTATCAGAGGCCCATCTGGGTACTCCAGTGTTACCCACCTCTGGAATGTGCAAACACCACTTGACTTATGTCACAGGCAGCAGGCCACAACCCCAAGTGACACTACACCAAACACCTGCTGTGCTCCTCTGCCACCAGTTTAAGGCTCAACAAACGCCCATTAGATCTGCTCAGCATCCAGCTACTGAGAATTCTGCAGGAATCCCACGATTTTAGAGAGAGGAGAAAGCCTGGGGGTACGTACTGAAATGTTCCTGGATTCTGTTGAGAATGTTCATGCTGTGCTTGCTGTCCACCATGTTAATGGCCAGTCCTCGCTTGCCAAAGCGACCGGTGCGGCCGATCCGGTGCAGGTAGGTCTCGTTATCTGGATTCCCATCTTTATCCACAGGAAGGTCAAAATTGATAACAACAGAGACCTGTTCTACATCGATCCCTGACAAAAAGAAATCATGTTATACAACTACATTTAAATCCTTTTAGAGCGGGAACAGCCTCCTCAATCTCTGTAATGGAGCTTTTCCGCAATATCCTCACAGGGTACTTGGAAATAAAAAAACCATCTAGTTAGTGCAGAAAATCCCACTGAAACAGCCAAAGGAAAAGCAACTGGAGATGCTTTAACCAGCACTTAAATATTTTGGAAATTCTCTGCTCCTCTGTGAAGCTCCAAGGACTACTTGTTTTTTTTCCAAAGACTATCCTGTCTTAACTATTCTAGGATGTCAAATTGCAACACAAATTCCTACTGGAATAGTGAACTGGATTTCACTATTTTTCAGCTTTCTATACTTCAGCATGTTTATTGCAAACCCTGAGGGTCAGCAGCACAAGCCAGGCTTGGTGCCAGAAGCAGGAAATTCTCACAGGATGGACTTTTCCATCTCAAGCTGCAGGAAGCCAACAAGGAATCCTGTGTTTGCCCACAGGTATCTTTACTGTAAGGACACTAATTTGTCCCGACTGGAATATCTGAGGAGGGAAATTCTCCCTGCGAGCTGGCCAGGGGTGTGTTGTGTTAGGAAGCACTGCCTTCCAGCCTGCCCTGGTCCCGCTCTACCATGTCCTACCTCTGGCACAGACGTTTGTGGTCACCAGCACCTTCTCCTTGCCCTCTCGGAAGCGCTCGATCACAGCAGCTCTTTGCTCCACCATCATCTCCCCGCTAAGCAAGGCCACCTGATGGCCTTCCCTGGACAGCTCTGCTGCCAGCCACCCCGCTGTCTTCCGAGTCTGGAACACACAGCCCAAAGTTGAGAGGGAGTTTTAATGCTGGAAAGCAGGAATAAACCTCTCTGGGGGACACTGGAAGCTCAGCAGCTGTGTTTGTGTCTCAAAAGGAAACGGCTATTAAGTGCTGTGCCCACTCCCTCCCTGTTACTAACTGTATCACAATGGGGAAAATGGGCCTCTGCCCCTACAGGAGCCCTTGATTAAGAAAAGGACACCTTTTCTTTGTCCTCTCCTCCTTGAATTTCAATCTGCTGGAGACTGGTATGACACATGTACACTGAAAACTCACGTAAATGGTCACAAAAACACAACTACTCAGCTTGGCAAATGGCAGAGTTAGAGCTCAATGTAGTTGTGAAATCCCACGAAGGCTCTACGCAGCCTTGAATTAAATCCAGTTATGATGCAGTTTTTTGAGCTCCAATTATGTCCTGAGACAGCCTAAAAGCAAACTGCTATAGCAGACTCCAGTTTTACCCTGAGCTCATTTTACCTGGCTGTTCTGTGCTGTCAGCACGGGTTCTTCCCTAAAAGTTGTTATGGTGGCTTCCAAAAAAAGAAAACAAAGTCTCAGTATGATCCACAGGGGGACTCCAGAGATGTATCCCCAATTACATGAGGGGACAGCTCTGTATCAGCCACAGAAGCAAAAAAATTCCCCATCCCTCATTCTTCCTGATTTTCACCCATTTTCCAACCTCACTGGTTTTTTCCCTGCAGTAATTCCAAGTATACTTTGGTTTGGAAAACTGTGTGTTACTCTGTTTCAGAGGACTTCGGGAAATAAAATGACTATTCAGGAGTAAAAGTGACCAGTGTGGTCTCCTGGATGGACAATCCCAGGGAAACAAACCAGCCAGTGCTAACCTGGCTCTCAAGATTTCACTCTTAGAGGAAGCCAGAGATGCGAAAAGGGCAATTTATGTTCTCGGTTTCTTTCTGAAAACCATGTCTGGCCAGTTTTTTGACACGAGCAACCACTACAGAATCGTAGAATGGTTTGGGCAGGGGTCACTGGGACTAACATTCCCTGGAAGCACTCACATGGCAGAAGATCATGGCCTGGGCGATGGTGATCGCACCATAGATATTGCAGAGAGCTCTGAACTTCTCATCTCTGTTGTTGCACAGGACATAATACTGCTTGATGGTATCCAGGGTCTCCTCCTCGCGCTTCAGTTTGATAATGTTTGGGTCAGGAACAACTTTTTGAGCAAACTTCCACACAGAATCCTCAAAGGTGGCTGAAAACAGCAGCATCTGGCAGTCCCTAGGGAGCATTCTGCAAGAGAGGAAAATGGGCAGAGTTCCCACATACCACCATCATCTCCTGATATCCTGATGGGATTAATGCTGCAGGGAAAGCAGAACCATAACCTTGGAACCAGGTATTTCAGAGGCTGGAAAGACTAACACTAATCTTACCCACCCCTGATCACTCCCTCACAGACCAGAGGCACCCAGACTTGCCTTCTTAAAAGGAATAAGCCCTGCTCCAGGGACAATCTTTTTATTCTATAAGGAAATGGAACTGCTTGTCATCCCCTGACATTATGCCTCTAATATGAATTAGTGTTAAATCTATAATTTTAATCTTTTTGCATCATCAGTGAAGACACCAGTCAAGACTCCAGCCCTGCTGTCCCTATGGTCCAAGTCCCTACCTCTGAATGCGGATGCTCTGGTCCTGGTGGCCCTGGGTCGCGATCATCACATCGGCCTCATCCAAGACAAACACTTTGATCTTCTTGGGATCTATGAATTTCAGTTTGGAACACCAGTCCAGCACGGTGCCGGGTGTGCCAATTACAATCTGCTCCGAGATCTTCTGCCCTCTCTCCACTGCCAAGACAGAAAGGAAGGCTGTTGTAGGATGGCTGTGCACATAGGGAAATGCTCTGCCCCTCTCTGATCCAGCCTATTTCATCTCCTGGTGCACCTAAGAAACATTATTTTCTCATTCCTGCTGGTGGCACTTCCCCCTACTCACATTTGTTGCCTCGGACAGCATACGCAAGTTTCAGCTCTGGATAAAAGTTTCCCATCTGTTCAATCACTTTTCCTGTTTGAAGTGCCAGCTCGTATGTTGGGGAAAGGCACAAACACTGCAGGGACAGGATAACAAGTTTGAGATCATCAACATCCAGGGCAACACTGTCACACTTGCTTTTTAAAATCTTTGCTGAAGTTCTTCTCAAGAAAACATGCAAGTAGCTGAACAGTTTCTCGACTATCCCATAAGGAAACTGGGTTAAAAAAGTCCCTTTCCAGGCTCTGTTGTCAGATATTTTCTTTCCATCCCAAATCCACTTTCCCTTGAGCCTGCAATACTTCTCTGATTTAATTCCTCCCAGAATGATTTAACTCCTCAGAGACCAATGGCATCCTGTGTGATGCACGGGAAGGACTGAAAGGAATAAGTTTTGAGCAAAATCCACGCCTTTTGCACTAAAGGCATTTTAACAGATCCCCAAATGTCCATCCCCGTTAAGCAGTTTACAGAAGAAACAAGATAATGGCTCCATCAAGCCATGAATTTACATTTCAGGCTCTTCACTAGATGGCATTGCACCACCACGGAACGCCCCATCCACAGGATATCCATCATGGAACAGCCACATCCTAGAAACTTCACCTGGGGATACTTGTTTCCGGGTTCAACACGGCTAAGCATGGCCAGGACAAAGGCAGCTGTCTTGCCAGTACCGGACTGCGATTGTGCGATCAGGTTCTGAGGGCTGCAGGGCACAGCAGACACAGGCTCAGAGGGTGAACCCCACAAACAACACAATCCCAGGGTTGGGCGAGACAGAAAACACAGTGTGTGGCATTTTGGTACCTGTTAGGCTTCCCCTTGCTCTGGACTGGCAGCTAATTTGGCCAGCTACACTCCATGGGGTAGAAATTACTTCCTGCCCAACTGTCTCTGTCAACATCTCTCGATTATGGAGATTTGCAAGGAGAACTGTGATTATCTGTCAGTACTTTTCCATTTCATGTCTCCCCCAGTGTCTCAGTACCTTACATGTTCCAGCTCAGGGCTGTAGAAAGGAAAACCAGCCACGCAGGCAGTGCAGAACCTCAGCTATTCCCACCCACCCAGGATTTCTGAGCTATTTCACATTATTTCTCCCCAATGATGAGGAAAATGGGATTGACCACAGCCAAACACCACAGCACTGAGCGTTTGGTACCGGCCCTAGGAAAATGACAAATCCAGGGCTGGTGTCACATAGTTCATGACCACATGTGGCATGGGAACCCTTAGTCCATATCCTGACAGCTTCCCCATCACCACCTCCCATCCAAAGTCCAGGAAAAGCACGCTAAGCCTTTCAAATCCTTCCATACTGGAAGACAGCGGGAAGAATGTGCACGTACGGTTCAGCAAGCATCATGGGCAGGGCATTCTCTTGGATCTTAGATGGTCTGTTGAAGCCCATGGCATAGACTCCTTGCAGGAGCTGTGGTTTCCTGAAAATAGGAATTTTTATATCGTGACCTTTAAAGTACATTTGGTTTTCATTTGTGTTGAAAAAGGTGAGAAAAAAGCCCGACAAGATGACCTAGGGCTGTCCCTGCTACAGTCCCACCAGTGAAGCAACTATGATCAGCATCTGGAAGTTACAAGTGACCACAGGAAATCTGGAAAGGAAGTTTTGCAAGAACCCCTGGATCTACCACTCAGCCTGCCTGTCACAGCTCCAGGGCAAACCCTGTGTCTAAGGCCAGAACTGCTTGTTCCAAAGCAGCTTTTCAGACTATCCAGGAATCCCAGAGCAGAAAGCATTAATCCTGTCCTTCAGGCCAATCCCATTTCCTCAGCCATGCCTAATCTTGGTGCCAAAATTATCACTCCTTGACGACTCAAACACAGGACAAAGTGACCTCAGTACGTGAGGAACTGGATGAAGAGAAACATCATGAGATCATTGCAAGGACTTTAGGTCATGTGGATTCGGTAATACAACTGACGGTGGAACATCAGAGCGATGCTGGCTGAGGGAAACGACTGATAATTAGTTTGCTGTGACTACACCTTGTGATCCATGGGTACAACTCAGCCCTCACACCCAAAACTGTGTGGTGACACTGCTGGTCAACAAATTCTCACCTATTGCTTTTTCTCAAGGGACCTTTCTACTCTCATCAGACACTTGTGTAGACAAGGAGATCCCTGAACAACCTCAGTCCAGGTTATGGTGCTGGAAAGTCTCAGCTGACGATCCCCAAGTGCTTCCTGGATGCTGCCAGTGCTCTCCTTTCAAAGCAGGTTACAGGTTTCCTGCCCACATTTCCCACTACAATAACTTCCTACTCAGCACAACATGCTTTTGCAAAAATGCTGTATTACTTTCCACCGATGGCTGGAACAAAAGCTCTTTGAAAATGTAACCTTGTGCTGCTCCAAGCAAGGACAGACAAAGCCCAATTCCGCACCAGTTGCCAAGGATACACCGAGTCATAACAAAATGAAGACTCAATTAGTCTGGCTGCCCCCGTCATTAACTCTCTGGGATTGTTTGCCTTTTGAAATACAGGAATTAGTCTAACAGGCACTGCAGGACGTCAGCCTTTTTTTTTTGTCCACATTCAACCACTAACATTAACAAAGCAAAACAGCATCCTGACATTTCACTGGGAGAAGGCTCCTCAGTTCCCATTTCTCTGTGGAACTTGTAGAGCAACAAACCTGAGATCAGAGTAACCACAACAATCTAATGGGACAGACTCTTTAGCACATTATTTTATATACATGCCTTAAATACAGATATCACTTGAAAGCTGCACTGCTAAAGGTTTTCAATGGGAAGCGTCAGAAAATACTAATGTTACTGGTCTCTCCAGTACATAAACCCAGTATTGCTGGGAGAGAAAAGCTTTTCTCTTTGTGCTATTCACTGCTTGTTTCAGCTGGACACCTTCACAAGGCACCCAGATAAAACAACTCTCCTTGCATTTAAATACAAATGATATGCTCATTTATTAATGACAAATTGGCAGTAACCTGAAACACAGATCCATGCACATTTAAGTGGTATCTCCTGTGCAACCAGGGAATTTTTCAGGACACAAGGAGAGGTTCCAGCTACCTGATGGGCTCCAAACTCACATCTGCTGTCAGTCTCACAAAACTGAGTCATAGCTGCTCTCCCTAAGTTTGAGGCTTCCTAAAATTGACTGAAAAATACAGCCAGAAGGGAGCCTGTTTAATATTTCTGGTCCCAGGATTCAACAGCTCCACGCGGAGAAGGCTCTGGCTCATCCCAGCAGGCACTTACAGGCGCAGCTCCTCGAAAGACTTGACGGAGTAGAGGGGTGATGTGGGGTCCCTCTGCAGCACCTCCACCTGATTTGTGGTGTCAACCAGGTTACTGCGGATCAGCTTGTTCAGCAAGGACTGGGCAGCTCTGTCCTCTGGGAAAGGAGGTAGAAAACATAGATCCATCAATCCCAGCCTGTTCCAGGTGTTGCTCCCACTGAAATGCCGAGCCAGTTAAAAGGGACAAAATTCTTCATTAGAGGGTAATGGCTTAAAGAGCCCTAACTTCCTGGATGAGACATCATGAGATCCCAGGGATTCACATTTAACATCCAGGAAGATGAAGCAAGAGAGCACTGTTTTAGAGAGGACTTTAACAGATCCAGAACTCTGCTTATCTAAGACATTTTAGCTTAGTTTCTATCTGGGACAGGGTAAAGGGCCCCTTCAAGCCTCACTGTGACACATGGGCAGATACCTTTTAGGGCTTTATTTTTATTTCTAAGGGAAGTTTGAGGATAAATGGTACTTTAAAAGACTCCAGGACTGAAACACTGCAAGGGCTGAGGATAAGTGAGACCAAAATGAGGTTAAACCACTGCACTTTGGGGTTTTGCTACTAAATCTGTTTCCTAAAACCACCTTCTGAGATTCCGAGCCATTACCCACCTCTGAACAGCCACTGCATAAATGCAGCATGCTGGTTGCTACAGCAATCCCAGCTCCAGGTCATCCAACTGCTCCTGTATCCAGTCCTGCCTTGAGGATACTGCTACACCCTTATTTCTCTCCACACTAATCCAGGAGTCTCCCAAGTTATTACAGAACACAATGGCTTTGAAAGTATTATGGAGGAAGGACATGCCTTACAATTAAGTCCTTGGGGGCAGGATACAAGATCAGCCGTCCTGGGACATAAGGCAGACTTACTTTAAGTATATATTAGATTAATATAACTATAATTAATAATTATATTAATTTCCTTGACAAAGCATTTTTCAAGGAGGCACTTACCCTTCTCCTCATCCTCTGTCTTCTCCACGTTGTCGTCAGCCTTGACAACGGCACCTAAATTAAAACAGTTTTGGGGGGCACACATGAGGTCAGGCCTCAGAGACAGCCCACACCCATGGAGCTTGGGAATATTGTGGGAAAAGCTACAAAACAGCTCCTTTTCCTGATGACAACTGCCCTGCTCCATTGCTGTGCAGAGAAAACCCAAGTTCAAGCTCAAAGTGGAGTTTATCAACCACACCAACAGATTCTGCTCACAGAGCTCCCTGAAGACAGCAAAATATTTAGTCTTTGCTGCTGTCTAACCTCAGCTTTGTCTTCCCCTCTTCTGGAATTTCATTATTTATCAGGAATTTACTTTGGCAGCAGCGCTTGGAACCCCACGGGAAAATGTTCCATTTCAAGCCTACTTGAGCAGCTGGAACTCACCATTGGCATCTGGTTTGGTTTTTTCATCCTTCAGGTGTAAAGTGCTCAGCTAGAAATGAGGAAAAACACAAAATCAGAGAAATTCAAAGGCTTCCTACATTCTAATTCCAGAAGGGAAAACCTGAGCTTTGGATTTATTAAGTATTGCACAAGCCCCAGCCCAAACCCTGCTCGATGGGAAGGGATGAAAGTATGAGATTAACTTGATTTCAAGAGTTTTAAGGCAAATACAACTATTTCTAAGCAAAAGTTTTAACAGAAATACAAGGTTTTCTAATCTGTAATGACAATACAAAGAAGGAGGTGTTTTCTCTCCAGAATCTTCAGTCTCCACCAATAGCTCTGCTGATGGAAAATGGGAGAAAAAAAATCAACATCCCAAGACGGAGACAGGATTCAAGCACACTCCCGGGTGGCACAAGGTCTGCCAGGATGAGTTTGTTTCACCACTTTGCGATATGCCAGGGAGAGCAGCCCGCCGAGGGTGCTCCCCACATCCAGGGGCTCAGTGAACGCTCTCCATGCCCAATACAGCACTTGGAGGCTCAGGAAAACACCATCTTATCATAAAAAAAAAAGGGAGACAAAAAGGGATTTTTTTGGAAGCTGGAAAACAAGAGCTGAGGCTGGGTGGCTGCCTGAAACGGTGCTGTGTCTGGATGGAGGGTGAGGGGGAAAACAGAAAACACAGTATGGTTAGAACAACTGTAGATCCTAAGAAAATAAGAGGAAAAAGGGATTTTTTTTTTTTTGGATGCTGGAAGACATAACTGAGGCTCAGTGGGTGCCTGAATCGGTGCTGTATATGGATAGAGGGGGAGGGGGAGGGCAGGGACGTCTTTGCCCTTTGGATACGCGAAAAACAGATGAAGGAAAAGAAATGAAAAAAAAAAATAAAAAGGGGGATTTTTTTTTTTTTGCTTCTAAAGGAAGAGCCCAAGCCCAGGGACATCCCCGTGACGGCACGAGGTCCTCCCTGCCCCCGCGGCAGAAAATGGGGCGAAAAAAGGGTTTTCTGCGATCGCTGTTTTCTTGTGAGAAGGCGGCCCCGCGGCCCCGGGAGCTCCGCGCCGCTGATCTGGGCCTGATCATCCCGAGCTCCTGCAGCCCTCGGCGGGCACTTACCGACTCTGCCGCCGCCTCCTGCTCGTCCACGGCCAGGGCCCATGAGTCGGTGGCCATGGCCGGCCCGGGGTGGCCGCTCAGCCGCGATGGCGCCGGGCGGGAGCGGCGCCTGCGCGCGCGCGGCACCGCCCGCGCCAGGGCAACCGCGGCCGCGCACCCGCGTTCCGGGGGCGGCGCGTTCCGGGTGTGGCGGGGGCAGTGGGCTTGAAGGGTCTGGGCAGTGTGGGGTGGGGCTGGGGCTGTGATCCCGGTATGATCTAGTGCTGGGGCTTGGACCCTTGTATGGTCTAGGGCTGGGAGGTCAGGCTGTGCCATGCTATCTTGTGGGGCCTGTGACCCCTGTGTGGTGGGAGGCTGGGATGTGTGATGTGGGGCTGGGATCCCAATACAGTGTGGGGGTGGGTCAGGCTCTGCTGTCTGGTGTGGGCTCTTTCCCCATGTGTCTTGGAAAGGTCTGAGGGTCAGACTGTGCCTTGCACGATGTGGGGCTCAGTCCCCCATGTGGTGTGGGGTTTTTGGGGTCAGACTCTGCCATGCTGTCTGATGTAGGCTCTGCCCCCCTCTTTGGTGTGGGGCTGGGGCTTCTGTTTCCCGTGGAATGGAGTGCCTTTGGGAGGTGAGGCTGAAGGAAATCACACAGACGCTGTGACATTTGGGAGGGAACAGCAGCTCTGTCTCTGGAACAGAGGTGTAGATGAAAATGAAGTTGTAGGATGAGTCACAGAGGTGTAGAAGTGGCAGAAGCTGGACAAGTCACTTCTGTCCTGTCTCTTACTGTAGGGCAGGATCTGGCTTAGACCTAGTATCAAACCTGTTCTTTAAAGCTCCTGGAATAAAGGGGAGTAAAAGGGAAAGTAGAAAGGAAAAAAGTGTGGGAGGAGCCTGTGGGATTTCCTCACTGGGCTGCTCTTCCCTTCCTTGAACCTTGTTTGAAGGAGCAGCCTTTGATGAGGGTCTGAATTTGTGTTTTGTTACATGCAGCAGGGCCAGTAAAATGGCCAAGCCCACAGGCACCAGCTAGAAGTTCCCAAGCTGAGGGTTATTTCCTTGTCTCAATATTCCCTCTCCCTTTTACTGGAGACATGGAGCCCCTTTGTTCCCACAGCCTGAAACTTTCATCTGAATTGTTATTTCCTTCTGTGCTGAGAAATCTTGTCCCAAGCAGGGCCAGACACTTCACTATTGCTCTTTACACACCTGTCTGTGGTTTGTTTTTACCTTAAAAGTAAACCCCATAATTATCAAATATTGTCATCTGATGCTTTCCCATCTAATTAAGTTTCCTGCTCAGAGGTGGGAGCCCCTCCCAGCCCCACAGGTGAACTTTGGGGTTTTGCAGCTTTACTTGTGGAGGTGATGTCATGGCTTATTTTTTCCATGGCAACACATCGCAGGAGGATGCTGAACACAGGAGCAAAACACGAGGAAACAGGGCAGGCAGCCAAGACCAAATCTGAGACATTAATTAGGGTAAAAATAAAGGTGAATGTGGGAAGTCCCAGAGGCTGATGGTCTCATGCTTCCCAATTTAATGTTTCCTTGCAGACACACCTCCCATAAACAGATTTACTTGGGATTAGCCCCATTTCAGAGATAGGAAAACTGAGGCACTGAGAAGAGAACAACTGCCTGTGGTTCGGCAGTATTGGCTGGGGGCAGATCCCTCCTCTTCCTCCTTTCTGCCTGTTAACCTTGGCTGCAATAATTCCTTGGGATTTTCAGGGCTCTGGAGACTGTCAGTGAGGTGTGATTGTGGCAGGTGTTTCTCTGTTCTGTACATGAGGAAGGACTTTCCTCCTCAGCCTCTGGACCAGAGATGGGTTTCTGGAAGTGTGGGTTTCCTGTGGGTTCCTGGTTTCTGCTCTGGGACAGGAGTGGGTTTCTGGAGGTGTGGATTTCCTGTGGGTTTCTGGTTCCTCAGCCACCATGCAGGGTCTTTCATTTTGCTGGAGACTCTGCTGTCATATAATAATATATTTATTCATTTAAACATGAAATAAATATTCAGATTAATTTAAATAAATGCTTAATTCCCCTCACCAGAAGACTTTGGCTGTGCTGGAACTAGAGATCTCAGGTTGGAGTCTCCTTGTCCACACACAAACCTGCTGTGAGAAGGAGAAGGAGGAGGAGAAGGAGAAGGCAGTCCCTCCCCAGCCCCGTGTTTTATTATCATCATCTACCAACAGGGTTGTATTTTATTTATCATTTAAATATACTATTACTTATTTTTTAGAGCATTCTAGGCTAAGAAAAATGGCATTATGGTGCCAAGAGTGACGCACCAACTGCACACGAGAGACGGAGGGTCAGGGCTTTTTTTCCTGGGTGGAAGGGCAGTTGTTCGCTTGCAGGCGCTCTGCACTGCAATGGGCCGTGTGACTGCCAAAATTCAATACAGATGAAGATTCCTCCCAGACCAAAGGGGCCCATGCAGAAAGCTCTTGCTGCATATGTAGTGCAAATAGTATTGAATTCATGCTCATTGTTAATTGTGGGTCCCTCTTTTGTGGGAGGAGTGTCCTTCATTCCCGGGGATCCCTGTTTCATGGAGTGGTCCGGCTTTGCCATGGGAGAGGTACTTTATTCGGGAAGGGGGGCAGTTTCCCTTGGGTGTGGGTGTTCCTGGTATTCTCCTTCGTTGCCGAGGCTACCTGTTTCACGGGGGGGATGGGGTGTCCCTCAGTCTTGGGGTGTCTCCCTCATTCCCGGGGGGGTCCCTCTTTCCTGGGTGGTCTGTCTTTCCCTGGACTCCCCGTTTCTGGGGGGGAAGGGTCCCTGGTTCATGATGGGGTTTCCTCATCGGTGTGGGTGTTCCTGGGGGTCTCCCTCATTCCCGGGGGTGTCCCCCATACCCGGGTGGGTCCGTCGTTGCCGGGGGGTTCCCGTGGCAGGCACAGGAGTGGTACTAGTCGCTGCTGTGCCCCCGCTCACGGCCCTACTCCGAGTGTACAAGTAACACCCGGGTGAGCCCCGCCCCTCCCCCTCCCTTCCCACCCTCCCGGGTGTGGGGGAGGGTCTCCAACTGACCACCCCTCGGTCCCCCCACGTCCCCTGCCCTCTCCAGACTTGGAACCGAGCAAAGCACGAGGATTTTGGGGGCAATAAGGGGCAATTTGGGATCTCCCCGCCCCTGGTCTCCCCTGTGATGCCTTAAGCCCCTAATGGTTTTTTTTATTTTTCTAATATTTGTAAGACTTGTAAATTTTATAGGTAGGTTTTAAAAAGCAGAAACCCCCTTGTCCCTTGTTCCTTTCCCTTATTTACACATTCCCTAACCTACCCCTGAATTCAGTAGCAATGTTTAGTCTTCTGTCAAGGCAAAGGCCTAGACTGTTTGGAGAACAGCATATCAGGGCCTAAACCACAGAATACGGTCAAAAATTAGGTAAATATGTACCCTTTGTGCTCTGATGAAGCTGAAGGTGAAGAAGTAAGTGGTCCCAAAAGGACCCCAGACCCATTTCTCAGGGGGAGGGCCCGGGGCGGACCAGAGGAAGGGCCAAAGGGTGGACACATCTGGGATTGGATGGATAATGTTATAAAATGTAACCTCTTGGGCGCGTCTATATCACCTACTGCCTTGGCAAATAAACCCTTTCTTATCTCACCCCTAATTAACTGCTCCGGAGATTTTTTTCAGCACCAAAATACACAGGCAACACCTGGCTTCAGCCACCCCTCCTCCACCCCTGAATGCCCCTCCCCATTCCTCCCTGTAATAGATTAGGAGTAGTAATTTACTCATCAAATTAGTAGTAGTATTGTAGTAAAGTTTACTTATCAAATTAGTAGTAGTAAAGAAATTTACTCATTCAATTGTATTGCATTTTATATTCCTATATATATATGTTATTGTAATCAATGTTCTGTTAAGGCTGGAGAACTACAAGCTGCAGAATGGTTAATTAATCTGTCAGTACTATAGGCTGATAGTCCTGTAGCTGCAGTTCTTAAGCTGACAAGACAAATTATTGTGCCTTGCTGAATAAGTATTTTGTATCTTGTTTTTCTAAAAGTATATTGTCTAAAAGTGTACGCCTAAAGTAACAAAGGGAAGGACAAGGATCAAAGAGTCAAGTATGAGGACGATAAAGAGTATCCAAGATGGACATCTGGAGGGACTCACACACTAGGCCTCAAGGACGAAGGATTACCTAAAACTATGGATGGGGAAGTACCTGGCAACTGAAATGGGCCTGCAAAAGAACCAACCAGAACCAGACCTGCGAACTCGGATCCAATAGAGGGATAACAAGTGACTGTGGGAGGGGAATTTAAGGGTATAAAGGTTACTGTTTTTGCGCACTGCGCTTGCGGGCCGTGAGTGGAGCAGGGGTCTCCCCCGGCTGCCCAGCGCGCTGTTTTGCTTATTTGCATTTTATATAAATCTTTAATAAATTTTTGCTGCTATATTTCAGCCTAAGTTTCATTTACCTATAACATCTGCATCTGGCTTTGGCCAATGGCCATGCAGATGTCATTAGATATCTGCTAAGAAAGAACAGCCAGCCGAACCTCACTGACAGCTTCAAGAGAACGGCCCTGATGAAGGTGGAATGCCTTCTGAGCTTGTAGGTGGGGCTTAGTGCTGGTGTGTTAAAGGGGAGGTGTCTGGCAGGATTCCTTGCAGCGCAGGGCCATAGAAACACGCCTGTTGCAATGGGCACACCATAGGCCTCTGTTAGCTAATCTTTGCAGATTGTCTTCTATGCCAGCACTCAGGAGCTGAGGGAGTTGTGACAGAGGGGGATGGATGTAAAAGTTGGAAGTCTTTTCCTTTTGGTGTGTTGTTCCCAGGCAGTCCAGCAGGAGCAGGAAGAATGTGTTGCTGTTCTGCTGGACCACGGTGCCGACCCAAATCTGGCAGATGCGGACGGCAACACTGCCCTTCACCTGGCTGTCCTCTCTAAAAACACAGCTGTAGCAGGGCTGTTACTGGAGCATCATGCCAACAGTGATGCTCAGAACCAGGTAACCTTGGCATGTGGGTAAAGCTGCTCTTTCCAACAGCTGCAGAGCTTGTCTGTGTCTTTCTAATGGGGATTCTTTCTCCTTTTAGAGGGGATTTACCCCCTTGAAACTTGCAGCCTTGCAACAACATGAGGAGATTGT